GAACAACAGGTACGACGACGTTACCCTGGATGAGTTGGTTAGTAAGGTTATTGAAATGGACGAAAAGCCGGTCCATATCTCTCAAGCAGAGGAGAAAAGGGGTGTTGACGGGCACCACGTGGAAGTCGATGGGTCCGAATGGTGTAGGGACCATGATAGTACCACTCGAGGCGATGGGATCACCACTACCGAAGCGAATGTTTGCTTCACCGGCCCGTGATGGGTCAATTCGTACGCTTGGGTATATGCGACGAAGGGCCAAGACTTGGAGGTGACCAGCCGTGGAGTGGCCGGCTGCTCCAGTATCCGGCAAGATACCTTGAAAGATGTCAGAGGAGTATCGGTCGAGTGTGAATTGATGGGCTGCCTCTCTAGCAGGTTCGCAAGGGTCGGCTTTGATCAATTGGTGACGGAACGACTGGTTCGCAAGGAAATAAGTAATGGTCTTTCCATTGAAGTCCGATTCGCCGAAGAATGTGGTACTGATGTGGAAGGTATCGTGGGTTGTGTGGTCTTCGTCAATAGTCGTGGTCTGGAGGTATTGACGAAGGTCCTCGTCTTCACTGTGATAAGGTTGATCATCATCGTCGTCAAAGGGCTCGTTGCCCTCATATTGCGTAAGGAAGCTGCTGTACGCAGCCAAGGAGTTGTCAGTTACGTATTGACTGTTCTCGAACTTGCCATATGCAACTTTTCGTTCCTCCTTTGTGTGCTTTGTCGACCAGCAACCGGGTTTCTTGCATATATAGCACTTGCGGTCAGAGGTGTATTTGCCTCGTGGAGGGCCGCTGCTGCCACGGCCGAATCTGTTGCTCCTGCCGTTGCCTTGGTAGGTACGGTCGACCCAATGCTGGTTATCGGTCTGGTTAGCAGCGTATTGTTGGTCGGGTCGTTGTTGGATCCTCAGTTCAGTGCTGATTGCAGCACGAAGCTGATGGACGACTCCTTCGAGCGTCAATGATGGGTTATACAAGCACAGCTTGCATTCGGGGACGTCTGCGCACGCGTTGAGAAGGGTAAGACGTAGAGCCTCGTCAGTATGGTACTCCCGGGGAAGGGCGTACTGAATTGTCGTCAGGCGGGTTATGAGGGCTTCCAACACTTGAAGCTTGGTCTTGCCTATGTTAGTTTGCTCCATGCGGTGAAAAGTGGTCGACTGCCACTCCATGAGGTAATTCTGGTGGCTTTCCTGCCCCTCGAAGTGCTGCCGGACCTTGTCGACCATGACAGTAAAGTCACGGGGGCCGTTGTTGCAAATTCGATGGAAGTAGAATGTTGCGGCCTTTCCGCGAAGCATCGTCGAGAAGGCAAGGCTAAGGTCGTGATGGGTCGATATACCCACTTTATCGCAGTTATCGCGGAAGATATTCAACTTCAGGTCAAATACATCGTACATTTCGCCGCTGAATTTCATGTCGTCAGTGGTTATCTTTGTGAGGTTAGCAAGTAGCTGTGGAAGCTGATTCTGGGCAGGGCGGGACGGGGGTTTCTCATGTAACCATTGCCGCTCCCGATGGAAGTCGTCGCTATGGGATTGCGGTTGGAAAGGGGTGCGCTGTGTGTGTTTCGGTTCTTTGGGAAGCTCGTGAGTCGGTAGGATGCCGGTAATGGGCGGAAGGTCGTTCTGAAAGCCGGTTCGGCCTTGCTGGAAGCGAGGCTGTTGTGATGAAGATGGACGAGGTATCGTTTGGTGAAGCAGTGATTGACGGGGAGAAAGATGAGGTGACGAACAGCGGCTCTTGCTCTTTTCTGTAAGCTCTCTGATACGGTCGTTCCTGGCAAGTTGCTTCTGGACCATCTGTTGGAGTTGTAAATCCAGTTCAGGGTCGAATTCCGGCTCCTTCTTGATATGTTGTCTTTGCTGCTCTTCGCGCATCTGGCGGCGTTGTTCAGGAGTGATATATCCTCGCTGGATATCTTTGAGGAACTCGTCATTGTTGTCAACTAGCTTGTCGAAGTATGAGGACTTGGCTCTCAGGCTCTCGACTTCATCGTCGGTCCAGGGATGGAAGTGTTCTTCTTCCAGGATCCCCACGAGGTTGGGAGCAATCTTCTGGTCCCTGTGTCCCTTGCTGATGTAGACGCCGTGATGGAGAAGGTGATCGCGGAGGATTCCCAGAGGTCTGGTATCAACGGCGTTGAAGAGGGCTTCGTCCCAGTCCGCGAAGTCCTTCTGGAACGCCTCCCAGAGCTCATGGCCCAAGAGGCCATCGTGGAGCCAAGTGGCGATCTTGTAGGCCATGTAGGAGCATATTGTTTTGCTGTCGCGCTCGTCAAGGAGGAGGGAGTTTTCTTGGTCGTAGATGCCCCAGTTGGCGTCATCGATGAAGCGGTAGAATCCATCGGGGACTGGAAGAACATCTGGTGATGACGATAATGGTGGTCGTTGCGCCATCTTGGTTGCTTATACTTTAGCGATAGTAATGTAATATGAGGCTTGTTGGATTCGAAGATAAAAACAAATAGACGCGTACTTCGCGTCTCGAGGTAGTAGGTGAAAGGAATACCACGTTGGGCGAGGCCTCTTCCAAAGGCGCACTGGCGCGTAAGAAAGAGCTTTTTCGCGAGGCCAACGATGGCAGCGTTGAGGACGCCTTTTCCGACGGACCGCTGGGTCGGAAGGAAAAGTGAAGGTCTCGTGGGCCAAGGGGCCGACGATGCCTTGATTAGCACGTAAAGGACCTAGGGGTCGTAAACGTCTCTTCTGTAGGTAATGCAAATACCTGGCTAATCTGTGATTGAAAAAACCACTGATCAGTGTTGGTTTGCGTGTACCACAGGTTAGTCACACAGGTATTCCTGGTATCGCGATCGGTAGCAATATCGTTGGGTTAATCTGGTGTTCTGTTGTTGTTCTTAAGGAGAGTATCTAAACGCGAAGGCTCGTGATATGGAAGGAGGGAGCTGAGGTGTGTCACGTGCCGAAGACACGTGACATAGCTCGGCTCCGTGTATACCTAGCGATTGCCGTTTGTTCCCACAGGTTCACAATGGAGATGGCAGACCACTTACCAGGTGTCGTGCGAATGACGCGCTTGTAGGTCGCCACCACGCCCATATTGTTGTCCTCAAAAGGAGCCAGCACCGAGGTTATGAATTCGGTACTGGGCCAGTAGACGTGGTCATCAGCGAGGATCGTGATTTCGGTGTCGACGTGCGGTACGGCGTGGGCGACCTGACGGCGCTTCGAGGGGTGGAGGATTGCGCTCACACCAATTCTGGTGGAAGGATACTGTTTCTTGTAGCGCCTGGCGACTTTCTCGCAGCGCCGGCGCATCCTGGCGCCGACGGTGACGATTAGGATGGCGGCGGGCCTGTTTTCGAGTACCGAGAGTATGCACTTTACGAACTTTACGTTACCTGGGTCAATCGTGGGGAGGATCACGGTGACGTCTCTGTTGGTCCATTTTGGCCAGGCCTGAACTGGGGACGGCTCGTATCGCCAGCTTCCCCAGATGTTGCAAAATAGGCGAGTGTAACGAAGGACGAAGGTGTATTGAAAAATCGTGGCCCATTCCCCTGCAGTCCAGTCGTTGAATGGCGTTGCTAGATTGCTGTAAATTTCTAGCTTCCAAGATAGAAATATGGTAAAAATGAAGAAAATAAACTGTTTTGGGTTGTTTCGAGGGAAATCTAGTATTGCAGTCAGAAGTGAACGGGGGTTGGGTTGGGTTGCGCTACGGACTTGACCGGCAGGAGCAGCCCGCGTCGAGTTGACTGATAACACAGAACCTTCTGTGTCAGAACTATCCGAGTATTCAGCCGTGTAAATCATTTTGACTTGAGTTTAAGTTACCTTAAGTTCGTGTGCTACTGGTGTCGTACAAGTGGGATGAGGATGCTGGTGGAGAGTGTGTTGATAACTCACAAATTGGAATGTCTTAGATCAACGACGTTGAGCCTACTTATATGACACACGTAGCATGTGACAGATACTGAACATGTCTGTTGGCTTTCCATACTTTCGAAACAATGGCATTCAACTTTGCATCGAGTCTTTGTTGCCAACCGATTCTCCTTCATTCTCGACAATGCCCATCTTTGGATCAAAGGGGGAACAACACAAGAGGCTTTGTTAAGTCGCAACTAAACTGATCAAGAAGAAAGAGCAGCATGGCTGACGGTTGTTCCTCGTTCTGAAGAATGATGGCCTTGTTGTGAGTTGTCCTAGGAACATGGCTCTTGCCTCGACAAGGCTTCGAAGGCCCCGAAGTCTAATAAATTGACTCGAATGGGCAAAACAGCATCACTTTAACGCGTTTCAGCGAAGCAAGATTATGCATGAGCCGTAGAAGCCTCAAGTGAGACTGTGAGCCTAAAGTGAAGTCGCCTTTGATCGTGTAAAATTTTTCTCTGCGATCTATGTAATTGATTAATCGAACACGGTGTGGTATCTCAGTGGTGAGTGAATGAAAAGTAATGCGCTTCGAGAGCCTACAATGATTTTCGCTCATCTCAGTGCATCATAGGACGAGCATCCTCAACCATCTCACTTGAGCCAAAATACTTTTCCAACTCATTCTCAAGCTCTCTGCCCTCGACGTGGCGCATCTCCATGGCCCGTTTGACGGGATTAACCTTGTCAGCATGGGCGCTGGCGAAGATAACATCAAGCTCCTCCAAACTCCGTCCTTTGGGTTCCGGGAAGAAGAGGTACACGCAGGGGATGATGGCGGCGTTGAAGACCGCAAACATGACATATGTCTGGTATCCCAAGTTGGCAAAGGCAGGAGGCGTGATCATGACAATCAGGAAATTGGAAAGCCAGTTGGAGCAGGTGGATAGGGCGTTGGCTTGGATGCGGATTCGGAGGTTCGTGATTTCGGCGGGGTAGAGCCAAGTCATTCCGAGCCAGCCTGGTTTGACGTTAGTATTGAAGTAAAAGAACTTTTGATTCTTGAAGGTGCAGCTTACCGATGGCGAAGAAGGAGTTAAAGACAAAGAGGAAGACTGTCGCGGTAACTCCGTAGCGAGTCTCGAGATTGGGGGCTCCATTTTCGGCAACTGTGCCTGTCGAAACAGTGCCAGCCAGGATTGCCATTGACGCCATCATGCCGAATGCGCCGAATAACATGAGCTTGCGTCGACCGGTTCGCTCAATTAGCGGTAGAGCAACGAGTGAAGCCAAGAAGTACTCGGTGCCGTTAAGAGCGGCAAGAAGTCGGGATAGTTCCGGACCGAAACCCAGGGAATTCTCGAACAAAAAGCCAGCGTAGTAAGTAATTAGATTGATACCTGTGAAAACATCTCAGTCAAAGCGTCTGATAACGAACGCACTTCCCAACTTACCGCAGATCTGCTGGAAGAATTGTGCAGCAATGCCGAGCAAAGTCCTCCTCAAATTTTGCGAAGGCCCGTTGGTCAGGAGTTCTTTGTACTTGAAGCCTCCCCCTTGGCTCTGGACCTCGAGGGCTTCCTGGATGGCCTTGACTTCGAGAGTTACTTCCTCGTCATCGATGGGCTTCCCGAGCAGGCGAGATGTCACTTCGCGAGCTTCTTCCATACGGCCCTTCATGGCCAGCCAACGGGGCGAGTCGGGGAGGTAGAGGAGTCCGATCATGACGATGATGGTGAAAAATGACTGGAACGCTACGGGAAATCGCCAGCGGATGGTGCCTTCGAGGAAGTAAAATCCATAATCCTATTACAACATTAGTTTGTGGGAGTGAGGCAGTCGTGGAGTCAAAGAACTTGCCACCCAGTATGCGATCATGATGCCACCAGAGATGAGAGCGCCGGAGAGGGTAATGAGAAATCCACGTTGATGAGGGCGGGCGCATTCAGATTGCCATGTTGGAATAGCTGCACTTCGGTTAGGTCTCCGCTGTGAGAGAGCAAAATGCCATGATTGGTCTTACTTGATGTGACCATGCCATTTCCAACACCACCAATAATTCTGCCGGCGGAGAACAGACCGTATTCGTGAGCCCCAGCCTGCAGAATCGTTCCGAAAATCATGATGGCGCTACCCCAGAACGTAGACGACTTGCGCCCCCAGGTCTCTCCGTAGAAGAGAATTAGAAAAGCTCCTAAGAAGCACCCAATCTGATAGACGGCAATAGCCGCGGCCTGCGTGTTTGGGTCGCCGGTGCACTGACTGTAGTCCCGCTGGGTATTCTCGGGGTAATCGAGCCAGCATAGAGCGTTTGACTGGTCCAGGGGCGTCATCAAGGTGATGCTCCTCTGGAAGTCGTCGAGAGTGAGAAGCGAGCTAAGGACACCTCTGAAACAAATGTTAGATCTGATTTTCTTGAAAGCCGAGCGAGAGAATTTACTGATCATAACCAAACATCAGGAATCCACAGGACGCAATGAATCCGATACTCCAGTTGAGTAACTTGCCCTCGAGGCGCTTCCCACGAAATCCCCACTCTGGCAGGTTACCCATCTTGGCAAACATGCCCATCAAACCTGAGGGAGACTTTAATTTCTGGTCGACGGCGCGACTGCTGTCGTCCGACGAGGGCGTTCGGCTGCCGCTGTCGCTGGGCTGTTCGCGCTTCTCCTGCTTCTCGGTCATATTGGGCTCGACAGCCGTGCTGTGTTCGGCCATGTTGATCCAGATATCGACTCGAGTCAAGAAGTCGGAAAGTACATGTAGTGGTGGTCGATCACTGGAAGCTTGGGAAGCCTTGGAGGAAGCGTGGATGCAGGACGTGCGTGCAGCTTTGTACTCGCTCACCTCTCACCCTTGGCTCATTTTCTCGACCAACATCGTGGGCCTCCGATGAGACAGTACTTGGTGAAGGATGACTTGGCTGAGGTCATATTGGGAGTTTGGGGGGCTGACAGACGAACGAGAGATGCCGATATGGAGACTTTGCGGCTTGGAGAGACCAACGCTACCCACCCTTTTTCTCCGGATTGATGTCTTGGTCGTGGTCAAGCGACTTTGGTTGATTTCTCCAGTCAACTGCAGGAAACGGCCCGAATCCATGTCGTCGGTTGATGGGTCAAATGGCTTTTGCGACCTTACTTTTGTTCCGAGAAAATTCTCATCCTTATGTCTTCATTCATCTGTCAGAGTTTAAGGCAGACCTGACTAAGTACATCGCGCGAGAGTTGCTCTTCAACCAGTTTGAACTCCAGTCAAATCCCAGAAATACACCACGCAGAATGTCTAAAATACCATAAAACGAACCTTCAAGATACCAGTCAACAGGCATGTTGTCTTCCGGCAGTGGACCGCGAAAACCATTGCCGAGCCCGACGAGCCAACGACTGGCCGGCACGGGATGCCTAATAAAGTAAGCCGAGGCTGGGCGGTCCAAGACTTTGTTTTTTTCCTTTCACCTGAACAAATATGCGGTAAGCTGAAAGATTGATGGGAAGATTAAGACCCTGTTTTAGTCTTGGTGTTGTCTTGGTCGTCGCTTGGTATTTCTCGGCGACCAAGGGTTCACGTGCGGATGACGTTGGCCAAGTTTTAAGCTTAAATATCTAGTTGGCTGCTGTCGGACTGTTTGATACCCACGGGGTTCTTGGGGCTCTCCACTCCCATGCTAGCATCTGCGGAATCTCAATCTTGGCGAACCTTGAGCCAACATGTTTGGGCGGCTTTTTTTTCCGAGGAAGAGAAGAACCGGCGCGATCTGCGTGAAACAGGAAAAGCTATGCGAGCGTGGTATTGGTGCATTACCTGGGCAATGAAGGCGTCTCCTTGGGCGACTCGGTGTTTGGGGAGCAGCAATCACATCGACTCTTCAGCAATTAAGTATGTCTCGCGTTAGTACGGATAGAGTGTGACTGAGCAACTTTCCCCCTTCTACATGACGGAGACAGATTGCTGTCAAGTCTCCGCTCATGATGGGCTCAACTTTCAACTTCAGAGTTTGCTGTGAGCCGACCTAGACTGTCTTTCGTAAGGCAGTGAAAAGTGACTTAAGCTTTTGCTTATAGATTACGGTCTGACGAGGGCGGCTAATGTAACCGCCGTTACTTGGAATGGCCCAGATATGAATGGAGCAGATCATGGCATGAGAGTTTTCATCAATCATTATTTCTTTTCTTTTCCATTTAGCCGTTATGTTTGTGGTCTATCAAAGCTTGAGAATGGCCTTGCCGAAGTTCTTTCCGGTAAGCATGCCAATCAAACCATCAGCAGCGTTGTCAATACCCTCAGTAACCGCCAACTTAGACTTGACGCTGCCCTCAGACAGCCACTTCTGCAAGTTCTCTTGATGATCCTTGAAGTAGGCGGGGCCGAACTTGGGGTTGCTAACGAGGAAACCCTGGAAGGTGATCTGCTTGGTGACAACCTGCATCAGGCCGTTGATGCCCTTTTGCTCACTAGCGGGGGTGTTGTAGTTTGAAATCTATCCTGTGCATTAGCGTCCCATCTAAACTCATTTACCGAGATCCCATTGACTTACCATGCCGCAGACAGCAATGCGACCCTCGCTGTTCATGCTGTTGAGAGCAGCCTCGAGGTGGTCTCCGCCGACGTTCTCAAAGTAGATGTCAATTCCGTTGGGGGCAAGCTTGGGAAGAGCCTCAGCGGGCTTCTCCTTCTTGTAGTTGAATCCGGCATCGAAACCGAGCTCCTTGGTGATGAAGTCGAGCTTCTCATCTGAACCGACGGAACCGATCACAGTAAGACCCTCACGCTTGGCAATTTGACCAACAAGTTGGCCAACAGCACCCGCGGCCGAGCTGACAAAGATTGTCTCGCCCTTCTTCGGCTGTCCAATCTTGTGCAGGCCGGACCAGGCTGTCAAACCCGGCATACCGAGAGGTCCAAGGAAGAGGCCGAGGTCCAGGTTGTGAGGGTTCTGCACCTTGCGCGCTTGCGACAGGATCTGAGGCGTGACGCGAGCGTACTGGGCGATAGGGGTGTGGGAGTAGACGAGGTCGCCCTCGGCAAAGTCGGAGCTGTTGCTCTTGAGGACCTTGCCGACGGTGCTGTTGGTGACGGGCCCATCGAGCTCGAAGGCGGGGGAGTAGGACTTTGTGCCGGCCTCGCGCATGCGGCCGCGCTGGTAGGGGTCAAAGGAGGCGTAGAGGACCTCGATGACCAGACCGCCCTCTGGGGCATCGTTGAGGTCGATGGGGCGGTCCTCGATGGTGAGGTGCTCCCCCGCCACCGGGAGACCGGTGGGGATCTTCTTGAAGATGAGAGTCTTGTTTTGGGTCATGATGAATGATGTGGCTTGGAAGTGTATGTAAGATGGGAGGGAGAGCTCGTTGATAGTGAGCTTTCAAAATAGGTACCGGGACTATCCGACAACTTGAAGACAGGACGTCAAGAAATAGTCTTTGAACTAAGCTGCATTGACGTAGTTGTGGGCAGAAAGTTGTGCCGAGGTAGGCAAAGTATGATTTGTAAGGATAATAACGGCATTAACGCCGATGAAGAGAACCAACCCCGCGCGCGTTCCACGTTCCACCCCGCCTTTTCTTAATTGCGATGCTTTGGACAGTTACACGAGTAAGGTGCAGTAGATATGACGTGCCGTTGCTTAATCATCACAGAAGCTATCGTACGACGACGGCTACAATGATGGCTTATGGGAAATCGCCACAAACATGTCTTTGCAAAGGATTGAAGCTATTCACAAGTCAGCTGACAGAATATCAACCGGAGTCGGTTGTGGTTCGTACACTTGGCCGGGCGACATGTCAGCACTCTAAGATCATCCCCCGTTTGGTTAGTCTACTCCTTGGGCGGGTTCTGACAGCTCGGTATCGCATTTGTATTCCAGAGTGCTTAGACGTTTTTTGTATCGCAATTTCATTAGATTGGAGTGCAAAACGAGGCTTCCGTACCTTGCATCAGTAAACAGAAGAGACGGGCCTAGAATAGTCATATTCACCGTCCTGATGCCGCTATCTTGCAAGCTCGAGATTGAAGCCCAAGCTTTTAAAGCTTATTTCGCTGCTGCACAGGGCTGAAAGGCCTGGTTGATCATATGTACGGAGTACTAGCAGCTGTCCAGTCGATACAAGGATGAGATTCAAAGCCTTAGCGAGTCATGGCGGCGATGCTTGTCTCGGCGGCGAAGTGTCGCTCGAACGCATTGTTTTTTTGTCTGCCTGTCGCGCTCATCTTAACATCTTGGTCATATCGTGAGTGTTATCGAGGCATGTCTACTTACCTCAATGTACCACAAGCCCTCGCCGTTCAAGGTGTTTACTTTTGTTGGAAATGTAAACAGGTAGTCAGAGGCACTTGATTGAATGTCATTTCGATACAACATTTGAAGCTTTCAGTCACGTAAACTATAATGCTTGAAAGGCACGGTGAGGTATACATCCCAATCATCAACCAGGGGAAGGACCTTCAACAGAACCCTTGAGAAAGCCTCATTGTCGGAGCTCCCCCACAGCGGCCTGCCCGCGACCATGCCTAGACTTGACTCGTTGGTCAAGACAAGCTCGCAATACATGGGCACCCCCTAGTCTAGTGGCCTGCAATATGAATAGTCTCTTTTTGCAATTATTACATTGACTGTCAATGGAGTAAGCAAACGAGGAAAAATGCACCAAACCTACCGAAAAGTGGGAAGTATAAATAAATTCCTCGAATTCCTGCCCACTAAATCAACAGAGATGTTTCTCTTACAGCAGAGTCTAGATCTCTATCCTTTCAAGACTCCGCCACAACTGACACAAAGAACATGAACTTCCTTACGGGCACCTTCCTTTTACTCGTGGCTCATGGCGTCATCGCCAACACATGCGTCCAAAAAGGACCGCCGGGTCTCGTTCTGACTGACAACGGCCCGACCCGCCTTGTTAATGGGATGTACGTGATGGACGGCTTCGATATCACGGTCACTTTTGCCCCAGCATCGCGCGATACCTCAGCAGGCCTTCTCGAGCTCGCAAACGGAGGATCCACGGTCAGATGGGTTACGATCTTCGCTGCGGATAATGTGCGCTACAGCTTTCAAGTCGATGGCGCAACGCGGTGCAAGACCAATGTCAAGATGGTGAAGGTGCAAGGAGCGCACTTCTACAAGAGTATGTATATGTTCAATGTGACTATGCCGAACTACTGGGAAACGTTTCTTTTTTCTGTCTCCAGATGGTTTAACAAATTTCTCAACGGAATAAACTTGGATGGAATCCCTGATGAGGGACGACGCATCATCCGAAGCGAGGAAATTGTCAGACGGACACATTTCAGGGCCACGGTTGGCAAGATCGGGATACAGTGAGGTATGAACAAGACGTCAAGCCAATGGTGGGATATCTAGGGCAAAGTGCCTGATTATTTGTATGAAAGTCACAAAAACAACGGAGAATCGATCAAGAACGCAAAAATCGACTTAATAGTACACACCCAGAAGACTGCAGTTTACCAACAGTCCGCTTTCGAGCAGAATCCATCCAAGTCTGCCTGCCTGGCCAAGTGAAAGACCGCAAGATACGCCATCAACTCTAGGTGCACCAGTCCCACCGACGCCCATTCCCTCACTAGCAATCTCTTCGCATTGCCAAGTACCCATGAGACCAAAGAGGCTGACATTATCGTAAACCAGAATCTCCACGCTAGAGGATAATACCAGCATGGTCCAAAGTATATCTCGACTGTCGTCCACGTGCCGATCCCCAACAACCACATGAAAGCTCTTCCAAAAGTCCATTTCCACTTGGACATCTGCGTCATGCTGCCGCCTGTCTTCAAGTGAAGACCTGCGAGGCCGGCCCATCCGTCTAGTATTGCTTTGATATCATCCCGTGTTCGAGGCGGCCAGAACCGGGGAATGTTGGCCTTTGGGTCGCAGAAGCCGCCTGGGACAACTGAGGAGACTGTCGCTGATGTTGCGGTGGGAAGAGTGAAGTAGCTGAGAAGCGTAAGGGTCTGCCTCAACGTGTTGTTTTCCAAGAGGGACCGCGGCACAGATCCTGCAGGAAAGAAGTCGACGAGGCACTGAGACCCGTTGGTGATCATGTACTTGCCACCAAGGGTGGCAATGATGGTTTTGATAACAATGGCAGCGGTCTCGGTGGCTGTCTTGAACCAAGAACCTGAGGGTGGTGATGATTGGGCTACAGAAGCTTTGGGATTGCCGCCTAAGATAGACCCTAGAGATGGGAATGATAACCTCAGGTCGATTTGGGGAAGAAAAGTATCCGCAGCGAGTTTGGCCATGACGAGGCCGATCACTGCTAGTGAGAAGAGCACCAAGTACACAACAGTGCTCATTCTATCCGGCTGCACATGCCGTTCCGTTGCCATCGGGATACGATCGTGGATCCGGCGGTCCCGATCCGATCGTGCCGCCATGTCATGGTGCTCCCAGTCTTGTATCGGCCGGCCGATCCGAGTACCTTCGAGTGTCGAGTCGTCGGCGGGTGGCGCGGTAGGCTCCGTCAACTCCGTTACAGCTCTTCGGTGGAGAGACTGACTTGGAGCAGGTCTATGGTCCGCTTCCGTCCCCCGCGCAGGCAATGCGCTGTCTGAAAGTGATGGCATCGCTGGATCTGGAGAGAATAAGGAAGCCTGACACGATGAGATTACGAGGTGCAGGTGAGATGTGGCTTAACGAAAGTACTTAGTAATAAGTAATCGCTGTGCCTCTCACCAAAGTCCTCAGGCTAACCTACACTGCTCAATGGATGTTGGCTGAAAGAGTTAGGTAAGACAAAGGCGGTTACATTCGTTGTAATGAAAGGGAATAAAAGTCGATTCTCTTCTAGTGGCAAAGCCCTTTCTAATTCGTGTACTTGTTCTTTTCTTTCGATTTTACCCCCTTACTGATTCCCTCAGAGTTCTAGATATTTCTGAACCGCCGTTGATTTCACAACAACGGAAACAGTTTCCCTCAGATCACCCTTAGTCAACATGAATCGATTCGTCGGCTTGACTTTGCCAGAGCGCATTTTGCAGCTTGTCATACCACAGTAACCGAGAAACAGCATGGTACGGGGTCTGTCAGCATGCAATGCGATGGGTCCCATCCACTGAGTGACGGCCCGTCTTCCCCTTCAATCCCTCTGTCGGATTGGAAGCCCAATTCGACCGTGAGTAAGGGTAGAGCAGGGGCCACCTCGAGAGAATACAATTAGACCTCGACGGTCCACCCAGCCTCCGGTTGGAATCTCCCTTCTACTCCTTACGCAGAATCAATCAATACAGAGATATTGATACTTCGTCACCCCCAGGACCCTACGGTTCGAACCAACTTCCCTGTTATAGGGATACCAACACCCTCCAACATCCATGCCCCAATCTGTCATCACAGCCGAGAGGAAATGCTACGTCGTGCTGACGTCTTGCTGGGGACACGAGAGACTATCGAAACTGGCAGCCGGTTCAATGCAACAACAGAATCCGAGTCGGCCTCACAGCATCTCTGAATCAACCCAAGCACGCCCGGGCAACCCAATTCAAGGGTGTTCAAGCAAGCTCGCCTAAATTCACAGCAGTGGCGCATGTCACCAGCGTTCCGGTGACATCAGTTCACGATTTTGAGATGCATCCCCGCGTATGATGATGTGATTCAGAGGGTGTACTTAAGTATGGGCCTGCGCCATTGATATTCGTAATGAGCTTCTTGAGGAAGCTCAGCTCAGCCCACGCCTTTGGGTGAGACGCGTCTGGCAAACTCACCAATTGAAGTAATCCAAGCGACGAAAACATCTTCCACAGCATGATGCTGCGGACTCTCATCTTGTCCCTCTCGAGTCTCGCAGTGGCACAAGACCGCCTCTTCTCCTCCGCCTTTGGATACCCCGGCCGCAATGCAAGCTACGACTACATCGTCATCGGCGGCGGCACCGCTGGCGTGACTCTCGCATCGCGCCTTGCCACAACCACTGCCTCCGTCGCCGTCATCGAGGCCGGTGGCTTCTACGAGGTCGAAAATGGCAACAACAGCGTCGTGCCCCTCCTCTCGCTGACGGGCATCGCTTTCATCGATCCCTCACCAAATTTCACCCCGCAAGCCCTGATGGACTGGTCTCTAGTCTCGGAACCGATCCCGGGCGCCGGAGGGCGACGGGTGCACTACGGGCAGGGGAAAACGCTTGGAGGGTCTTCGGCGATCAACACCATGTCGTATATTCGCGGGACAAAGGGGTCTTATGACCTCTGGGCGGAGACGGTCGGCGATGAGACATTCAGGTGGGAGAACATGCTCAAGTATTTCAAGCGCTCTGTCGACCTTACCCCGCCGAACGTGGAGAAGCGGCAGAACACGAATGCGTCTGTGCGATTCGATCCCGGGGACTACGACGAGCAGGGAGGCCCGCTACAGGTTTCGTGGAATAACTGGGTTGATCCGACGCTGACCTGGCTTGCTCAAGTTGTTCTCAGCCTCGGACTGAGCATCAGCCCCAAGGGATTCAGCAGTGGTGAACTGGCGGGCTACGGCGCGTGGGTGCCTTCGACGATCGAGCCCGAAACGGCGCAGCGATCTACGAGCGAGAGCAGCTTCCTGCGACAGGCTATCAAAGATACTGAGGTCACTGTGTACACTCACACTCTTGCAACTAAGATCTTGTTCGATGGCACCAAAGCTGTTGCCGTGAGCGTCAACTCCCAAGGGGTCGAGTACACCCTGTCCGCCAACAAAGAGGTCATCCTCACCGCTGGCACATTTCACTCTCCTCAACTTCTTCAAGTCTCCGGCATTGGACCTCGCGAAAGGCTGGAGGCTCTGTCGATCCCGGTCATCGCCGACCTCCCCGGCGTGGGACAGAACCTCCAGGATCCAATCCAGATATTCGTCGCGTATCCCGTCAGTACGCCTTCTGCGCAATCTCTCACCAATGATCCAGCTCTCAACCCGGGTTTCGTCGAAGAGTACCTCAAATTTGGCACTGGACCCTACAGTTCCGCTGCGGGCTTCCTGGCTTACGAGCGTTTGCCCAACTCTACCCTCGCCAACCTCACGCAAGCAACTCGCGACAAGCTTGCTTCGGTTCCTTCTGACTGGCCTCAGCTTTCATTCATCGTTGGGTCCTTCTCAACCGGGCCTGGACAGACTAGCGGAACTCTCGCCGCCTACCTCCCTCGCGTCTTCTCCCGCGGCAACGTCACGGTATCCTCAGCTTCCATCGACGCGAAGCCGATCATCAACTTGAACTGGCTATCTGATCCCGCCGATATAGAGCTGGCCGTCACTGCCGTCAAGCGGCTCCGCACGGCCTGGGCTTCAACATTCGCTAATACCCCAGGATTCAAGACTGGCCCGGAGATGCTCCCCGGTGATTCGGTACAGACGGATGAGGAAATACTAGACTATGCCAGGGCCAACGTGGGACAAGTGTGGCATCCAGTATCCACTGTTGCTATGGGCAAAGAGGAAGATGTCGCGTCGGGCAAGGCGGTGGTCGACAGCCGTGGGCGTGTGTTTGGTGTCCAGGGTCTGAGAGTTGCCGACGCAAGCACTTTTCCGTTCGCGCTGCCGGGACACCCTCAATCTGCCGTGTACGCGTTGGCAGAAAAGATTGCAGAGGATATAGTCACTGGTCATTGAACAAACCACATTCATGGGTATCGTGTTGGATTAATTATGGTGACAAGGATCCTGTGATTTTCTTGCGTGGCCTACGATGCGTCATGTGGCATATCGCTTCTCCCCATGTTCAAGTCTGATCCCTGACTGTTCCCAATCACAAGTTCCGAATCTCTCCTTCTACCCTTCTGTACGGTAACTACCCAACGTAGTGCAGTAACGCAGCAACGCTCCTCATGCGCGACTGTCATGGTAGCCGGGGAAGAGCTCTCAGCTCAGCGAGCAACCTCAGTGGTTGTGCATCTCTGTGAGAAACTGTTGGAGGGCGTCGCAGTCGGACTCTAAGGCAGCCTTTCTCGCCCGGTCCCAAGGTGAAAGTTCCTCTTGGCTCCTGAGAAATACACAATCGACCGGAAGTATGTAAGCGCCTCCTGGGCTACTTTGGCCCTTCCACCACTGGACATATTCCCATTGGCAGAGTTGAAAACTCGGCGGAGATCGGCGTTGATCGGGAGAAGAGCCTCGTCGGCCAAGCTACAGGCTGCGCAGTTGAGTTGGATGCAGAGGGCGGTGATTCTGAAATAGCGTTGTTGGTCGATCTCTTCGTTCTATCAAATAATTAGTTTTTAGATAACTCTCAACACTTCCCCTCACTTCCCGGCCGGAGGCTATACCGCACTTATAAACACACGAAGGGACAGATGGAGAGGAATTGAAAGGGGCAGGAGGAAGGGGGACTAGTCTTACGGTGACGGTGCGAGCATTGTCGTTGGCATCGGCGCTGGCATCGGCGCTGGCGTTGGCGCTGGCATTGGCGCTGACATTGTCGTCGGCACTGGGGTTGGTAGAGAAAAGTCTGTGACCCATTTTGACTCGGTGCAGCCTTACTGCCGGTGTTGATACTGAAGTATTCCTGGTGCGTGCGTCTGTGATAGCAAGGTCCTGGCAAGCAGTTAGTAAAGAGAGATCTTGAGAAAATTCATAGCGTCTCACCGACTGATCTCACCGACTGAGTGTGAAGCCACTGCGTATCCGGGATGGTAGAGCTATGATTGTATAAGGAAAAGTGTATAGTAATAATAGCCCAAGGTACCTCGCTTTATGAATCGATGAGTTGTTGCTTATATGGTGTCTGAGCGGGGATTGTTGTGAAGAGAAAATCTGTGCAAAGGGACTCTGCAAGGTCGACTTGGGAGAACGCCTGCTTTAAACCTAAGTAGAAGTTATGAAGGAATATGGGTAGCCACTTCCTAAACTCGTTGCTGGGTGGATTGGGCTTGGGTCGGTAGGGCGAGATCAGATGGAATCTACGGAATGAATAGGTTGAATGCACCGAATACTCGGAATATAACCACAACTTCACAAGCACGTGAGCCACGCTGAACAGGATCTTTGATATCAGTTGAATGCTCTATTCGGGATTGAAATTAGGTTTGGAAGTGTTCAAAGCACTTAAAGTAAAAGATGGAACAGGTATGGTCCCTTTAATTGATATAGAACTCTGAACCAATTATGATAGAAGCCCGCCTTGATTCGAACACCGGTGTTCAGGGGCTGAAAGAATCCTTGTTATAGACAATTCAAATAGTATCAAGGACAGTAATAGTCAAGTGCATCAACAAGTAAGTTTGACATCTTTGTACATCTTTTGCAACACTCTGATGTTGCTTTTCTGGGCTTTTTATAAGCGGGCAGCTTGAAGTTTCCAGTCGATGGGGGTGAGTTCAACACTTTGTAATACAAAGGGTACAATGGCCGCTACGTTAACTCTGATGCATTCGGGTCTGAACCTACACCTATAGCGATGCTTCGGATCCGTGCGAGGAGGAAGATCAGCCTGAGCATTTCGTAGTTGGGGACTCTCCATAAAGGAGTTTCGTTCATGACACCTGAGCCCGGGGCCGCAAAATTCGGATGCTGTGAGACTGCCAAAGGAAGTGACATTCGTCCTGGATATTGGGTGAGTCGCTTTGGCAGCATTATTTCCTCCAGAAAGATGGGATGAGCTGAATACAGGAGACACTGACCGTAGAGGCGACAGATCTCTAGAGATGGGTTTGTACACAACTGCTATAGACAAGTCTCAGAAAGAATCTCCTTGAGCTTAATCGTAAGCAAAGATACTTATATTGGGTAGACGGACTGGATGAAAGTCTGAGTGAAATATCCAGACGAGTTGTGAGGGACCTATATGCCGAAGCGAAGAAGCTATTTGGTTCTTCAACTGCGACGCCGTCTTCTCGCTGCTTTTCGAGTTCTTACACTTAAAGATGTTGATGATACCGGGGATTTGGTGGAATACACCCCATTTGGTTGGTGAACTAATCCTGGAACGGGCTCCGATGCTTGAGGTTTATGGCGCCGTTGGCGCTTCGACTCACTGAGGACTTGTCGGCGGCGTTGACGAGATTAAGAGTTGGAGGGAGCAGGATAACAGTTGCCAAGGGCACATGTATAAATCCGCAAATGAGGACGGAGGGTTTCGCGACGTTCGAAGCCAGGGCACGTATCAGTAATGCTGTCGCTCTGGTCTCCCATGCTGTAGTACCTTAGTTACACACCCTATTTGTGGCCTGTCTTGAAGGCACATAGGCCTACCTTCAGCTATAGAATTAACTCGAAGTTATCAATGACGATCGATATGTTGTTACGGAGGACAGGTGACATGGTGCGACATCCCCATTGCGCTCAAACTCTTGCAAGGACTTTTCCAGATTGACTAGTTGTCCCATCGCTGCGCTGGATAGGTAGTTCTCGGATTGACGAAAGAACATATCGCTAGTTAAACATGTTATGCACTAGGAATTACTTCACCTACACGGTGAAGAGTATACAAGTGCTAAGAGAAGAATTCAGTGAGAGTTGTAAAACCAAGTTGGGCCACGAGAGAAAGGCGGGCCCCGGTGAGCTCACGTTGCTGTGGAATAATTGAGATGGGATGTGATGGGATCTTATAAGCAAATCACCTCTGCGGCTGTGGATGATTCAACGGCGAAAGGATGATATTGTTTGAAACTTGCGTAGTCGAGCTCCTCCAGTATGACAGTCACTCTTTTCTTGTCCTCTCTTGACGCAGTTTGCTCACCGGGAGGTGGTTTCCAACCAACCCCGCACTTTGAACTGCCCATGTGCCGCTTGTGCAGGATCAGAATGCAGAGATCTGCAAGCCAACGCCTCACTCATAGAGGCAGGAGAGAGTTGATTGGGGAAACAGGGTAAGCGATACACGGGACTTGTGCGGCGTCCTTGCTGCTACTTAAGATTGTCACTTGCCGTTTGGTGCGCCCGCTTTAGTGTACCCGGTTTGTCCTTTGCGGGAACATGGCAAATGTTGTTGATTGCCGCCTCAAGCTGAGAAGCACAATCACTTACACATCTACGAGCTTTAGGACTTATATTTCAGTGCTAACGAGGCAGAAAGACGATGGAGACTACCGAGGGGAAGCCGGGAGGGAGGCCAGAGAGGTCAGGAGACCCCGCCGACATTGACATCGAGCCGGCAACGACGACAAGAATCGGCACAGTAGCGGACCTCAAGCAACAGCAAGAGCTACAACATATTGGAACACTTGACCGAAAACTGAAATCGCGGCATGTCCAGTTTCTCGCTCTCTCGGGAGCCATCGGCACGGGACTCTTCGTTGGCAGCGGTCAAGTTCTGTCGCTGGCTGGGCCGTTGTCCGCCTTCATCTGTTACGCTGTGACCGGGTTCAACCTCTACTGCGTGATCAACTGCCTTGGTGAGATGGCTGCGTGGCTTCCAATCCCGGGAGCTGTGCCAATCTTTGCTGCGCGTTTCGTTGATCCTGCGCTGGGGTTCACTCTGGGATGGAATTATTGGTAAGACAGGTTTCATTCCTCGATGTCGCTCAGTGTGCGGAGATGGAGAGATAACTGTGGGCGAGGAGTAATCTCAAGCTTGGTGTGTGAGACAGGGCGTGTAAATTGCGGTGCTGAAGATGAGACAGGTATCAGTTCGCTATCGGCGTCCCGATCGAGGTCACCGTCTCGGTGGTCATCCTCGACTACTGGGACCACGCCACTCCGCAAGCCGCCCTCATCACAATCTTCTTCGCAGCAATGGTCCTCGTCAACTGCCTTCCGGTCCGCATATACGGCGAAGCGGAGTTCTTCTTCGGCGCCATCAAACTTACCACGATCGTCGGGCTCATCATCCTGATGTTTGTGATCACCGTAGGCGGCGGGCCGAGTGGAGACGCCATCGGCTTCCGGTACTGGCACGACCCCGGGCCGATGAACGAGTACCTCCGACCCGGCGCTCTCGGCCGCTTCCTCGCCTTCTGGAAAGTCTTTATCCAAGCCACCTTCTCGTACGGTGGCAGCGAAATGGTTGTCGTCGCGTCCGGTGAAACGGAGAACCCGCGCCGCAATATCCCAAAGGCCATCCGCCGCGTCTTTTGGCGCATCGCAATATTCTATGTTCTCGCCATCTTCCTCGTCGGGCTGTGTGTCTCATCAGAGGACCCTAACTTGCTCAACGCGATTAGCAGCAGCAGTCCCGGCGCCGCGCAGAGCCCGTTTGTCATCGCTATCAGCAACGCCGGCATCGGGACACTGCCCTCCATCATCAACGGCGTGATCCTCAGCAGTGCGTGGAGCGCCGGCAACAGCTTCTTTTACGCCTCGACGCGGGTCCTCTACGCCGCCGCGCTCGACGGCAAGGCGCCCGCAGTCCTAAAGTGGGAGCGCTCCGGTGTGCCGTACGCCTGCGTCGCAGCCACGTCGGCGCTGGGATGCCTGGTCTACCTCAACGTGGACAGCCGCGCTACCGAGGTGTTTTTCTGGATCAGCAACCTCAGCGCCGTGAGCACGCTGGTTGTCTGGGCCAGCGTGTGCTACACCTACCTGCGGTTCTACCAGTGCCTGCGACACCATGGCATCGACCGCAATACGTTGCCGTACAAGGCGCCGATGCAGCCGTTTCTCGCGTACTTTGCCATCGTCTTCTGTCTCGTTGTGGCGTTCTTCAATGGATTTGATGCGTTCTTCCCGGGGCGGTTCAGTGCCAAGGCGTTTTTGCCGCCGTACATTGATATTCCGATCTTCTTGTCATTGTTCCTGGGGTATAAGCTTGTGAAAAAGACCAAGTTTGTGAAGATTTCCGAGATGGATATTTGGTCGGGCAAAGCGGAGATTGATTGGCTTGAGCCGACGTGGCCGGTGGTGAAGCCTCGCAACTGGTTGGAAAGGATTTGGTTTTGGATCGCGTAAAGCGCGGCATACCATTGTCGGCGACGTGGCCGTGCCTTCAATTGTACACATCAGAGACGTAGTAAGAATGAATCACTTGGTCTTCTTCATCGCTGCTAGCACTCCTTTCGGCGATAAGTTCTCGTTATAGTTGGCTAAGAAGAGGTGAATGAGGTGGGAGTTGGATCTAGACTAGAAACTTGCAGCGGCGGATGAGGCAGCCCTGAAGCCCGACCCTTGGAGAGCTCCCTCACAAGTTCCAGACCAGTGGAAACATCAGTTTTGAAGAACCCAGACCCAGCGGTGAGCAACTAGTTCTTCGCGAGTGAAAAAGTTTGATCAATAGCCAGATTCCTGGCGCACCCGACACTCTGGTCAATATCCACAGATCGGTGGCCGGGGAGGTCGGGCACCGCCTGGGACCCCAGCGCCGATGCTCCGATGTTACTGCAGAGTTCCACCGACCCTCTGGTTACCATGGTCTTTTCCATGTGTCTCTTGACCCTCCCTCAAGAAGAGATTAGATCCTTACTTAGTGCTATAGGTAGAATTCCAGGGAAAAAGCCTAAGAGGTACTTGACAACGAGGTATTTTGCAAAGATCACGATGCATGCGGCACTTATGTTAGTGCCGCAGGCTAGTACCGGTAGCCTAGTGGAAAGACGGCAGTCAGACGCATCATTTGTGGCGTTTTCGTGGTGTTGGTGGCATGCGCGGTCATATTTCAGCTCTGCCCACCCGCCGACATGTTCGCAGGCGTGTTGTGGGGGAAGCTTGGAGTAATACTCTGATCTCCTAGCCTGAATGTAAAAGAGTTCTAGACTACTCGGATTATCGATGGTTTGTGGACAATGTTCCGCAATAGGAGGATCAAGTGAAGCGATGACAGAGGATCGTACTGTGGGTTCTACTCGTGAAGAGGCCAAGAGACCTAGGCTCTGGAGATGAACATGGGCCGATTTTTTCCACACGGAGAGACCAACCACCTCTAGTCGCCGAGGCCGGTGCCGCCTTTTCTTTGGAGGTGACTCTTTTGCGGTGGTGCTGACAGGCGCAAAAGGCGGCCTCGCGCGGTTGCAAATCCATTTGTCAAAAGCGACCGGGTTGGCCGATGTTCTGATCACTTGGCCACCCCGTTCCTGAGCCAGTCGGGAGCATGCGGAGATTGGTCATAGAGTGGGGGCCGGATATAGAGACACAGGGTCGTGGATTCGGGGGTGTTCTTTGTGGGCGACTTTGGGGTGAACTGGGTCAAATTTGTGGTTCTTTACGAGGTGGCAGACTGGGAATAGGATCCCGACGCTCGTTGCAATAATTGCTCGTTGAAATAGTGCGCTGAACGAGGCCGCAACATTGTAGCCGCCAGCTGGGTTGCGAGTTGGGAGGATTCTTGCACCAAAGTGCGCCGAGGTCGTTGGTGGTGGCTGCGGGTAGCCTGATCGAGTCAAGCAGATGTTCTGTTGACGTCCTTCCTTTGGCGGCGGTACTTCATCACAAGTGAAGTAAAGAGGATGAGTGAGTATGAGACAAGAGAGGAAGACCAACTCTGTGTCTTGGCAACTTTCGTGCCGAGGGATGGGTGGTCGGATCATGGAATGCGCGCCACGACGGCTTGGGAGAGGTAACCGTTTGCGACATCGATCGCAGCGGTTCGTGGTGCGAAAGGCGCACGCTAAATCAGATAAGATGGATCTGATAAAAAATTTCTCTGACGGCTTGAGTCCTTGATCCCGACACCACAGAGTTTCACACCACCAACTTGGAGTGCTGGATACACTCAAGGACTGCAACTCCGAAGCCTGAAGACCCAGGGACCAGGGATCAAAGGGGCGCTAGTCTGTTAACTAACAAGATGCGAAAAAAATCATCACGGCTAGCGCAAGCTGCGTCAGGCTGGATCGACTGGCTCAATGGTTCGACCCCCTCTCCGTAGGCTTCCAGGCTGCCCACCGAAATGGCTCCGATGGGCAAAGATGGGTGGTGCGACTTTGATTGGGCAGCGCGCAGACTGCCCGCGAGCCTGAGAGACATTGATAAAGCTCTATTCGCCATATCTGGAAAGTTAAAAAGGGCCATGGATGTAACCTCACCACCTCGTCCTCCCTGTCGTCCCTGCAGGCGGATCCTCTTTCTGAATTTTCTCCCTCTTTAATTCATTCCATCCCCGACCAGGTCGTCCATTTGACTGCGTCTTGTTGCCCTTCTGGTCTGGTAACAAATAGTTGCGCAGTGTGCTCTGTGCAATTGAGCAGACTCGAAACCCAAGAGACTCAACCTTCACCTGGGTCCCGAAATCCTCACCTTCTCGGTCAACGCTCACCTTGGTGCATTGACGTTCGGTGTGTCACAGCTCCTGCCACAGACCGCAAGACGTCACCGGAGCCCCGACTTCTCTCCGAGTAAGTGCCGCCGTCCCTCAACGTCAGCCCGGTCCCTCAAGGTTGCCGGCACGGAAGTGGAGTTCCGCCGACTTCATCCCGTGGATCTCGCGGAGTTCAGCTTCATCTACAGCACTTGTGTGCAATCAACCTCTGTCCTGGCACTGACCTTCATCCCAGGCTCTCTCATCATCCATCTCATCTGGGTGCTTCAGTCATTCAAAATGGGTCTCTTTGGTCGTAGGAAGGAGACTGAGTCTCCTTCAGACATCGCCTCACCCACCGCCGATGTCACCTCGGCGGAGAAGAATGCTCCTCTCTCCCATAGCACCCCTCCGCCTCCCGCGTATGAGTCCAACAACATCTTCGGCGAAAAGTCGCCAGGTGTTGCGAGAATCGAGGTCCTCTCTGCCGCCATCACCACTACCGACCGCTACTTCATCTTCTTCGGCGTCTTCCTAGTCGCCTACGCCTATGGTCTCGATGGAACTCTCCGCTACGCCTACCAACCCACCGCCACGAGCAGCTACGCCACGCACTCTCTCCTGGCCACCGTTAACGTCCTCCGCTCCGTCATTGCCGCTGCTGCCCAACCTACATCCGCCAAGATTGCCGACGTCTTTGGTCGTGTCGAGCTCATCTGCGTCTCCGTTGTCTTCTACGTTGTTGGTACCATTGTCGAGGCATGCGCCACAGAGGTTAAGGCTTTCGCCGCCGGCGCCGTTATCTACCAGGTTGGCTACACCATGATCATGCTGCTTGTCGAGGTCATTATCGCCGACATTACCTCCACTCGCGCCCGTCTGCTGTTCAGTTACATCCCTGCGCTTCCCTTCATCATCAACACCTGGGTCAGCGGTAACATCTCTGCAATGGTTCTCGGCGAAAGCACCTGGCAATGGGGTATCGGCATGTGGTGTATCATCTACCCTGTCTGCGCTCTCCCCCTCATCATCAGCCTGTCCATCGTCGGCCGCAGGGCTAGGAAACAGGGACTCCTCGACTCTTACTCGTCTCCTTTCCGCATGCTCGGCCCCAAGAAGTTCCTTATTGAGTTGTTCTGGCAACTCGATGTCATCGGTATCATCCTGGTTATCGCCATCTTCGCTCTGATCTTGGTTCCTCTCACCATTGCCGGTGGCTTCTCGACGACGTGGCGCGAGGCTCACGTCATCGCCCCCCTCGTCATCGGTATCCTTTGCATCCCCGTCTTTGCTGTATGGGAGATGAAGGCCAAGCACCCTCTCGTTCCCTTCATGTTGATGCGCGACCGTGGTATCCTGGCCCCCCTTGGTATTGCGCTGGGTCTCAACTGGGCTTGGTACATGCAGGGAGACTACCTGTACACCGTCTGTATTGTCGCTTTCGACTTCAGCATTGCGTCCGCTACCCGTATCACGTCGCTGTACTCCTTCTGCAGTGTCATCACCGGCTTCATCCTGGGCTTCATCGTCTTCAAGGTTCGCCGCCTCAAATACTTCATCATCGCCGGTACCATGCTATTCATGGTCGCTTTCGGTCTCTTGATCCACTACCGTGGTTCTCCTACCTCCGCCGGACAGAGCGGTGTCATCGGCGCCCAGGTCCTTCTCGGTATCGCAGGTGGCATGTTCCCCTACCCTGCGCAAGCCTCGCTCCAGACCACTTTGAAGCACGAGCACCTTGCAATCATGACCGGTCTTTACCTCTCCACTTATAACATTGGATCTGCCTTTGGTAACACCGTCTCCGGCGCCATCTGGACCCAGGTTTTGCCTTCCGTCCTCCAGGAGAACCTTGCGCCGTTCGGTAACGACTCCCTGGCTACCGTAACCTACGCCCAGCCTTTTGTTGCCATCGCCGAGTACCCCGTCGGAACTCCCGAGCGCGCGGCTATCATCGACTCGTACCAGCACGTCCAGCGTCTTCTTACCATAACCGGTATCTGCTTGACGGTCCCTCTTATCGCGTTCGCTTTCCTCCTGAGGAACCCCAAGTTGAACGACCAGCAGACTCTTGCCGTCGACGACAACCAGATCCGCTCTGTGGAGAACAATGACAACGTACCCAACAAGATCTAAGGATCAAGTGTAGGTGTACCAAGACTGCTGATGTAATGATTTCATGTAATTGATTTATGGATATCCGGAACCCTGTACGAGGCACGATGATTCGAGTCCTCATTTAGAGATTGTGGTTAAAAATACCACGCACAGAAAGACATAGTCGTAATTTAATTTCCATCTGAGCCAAATACTCGTCCCTCACACTGCCTACCCTACCTTGTTGACCATCACAACCACCGTTAGTGCCTGGCGTGTAGACTATGCCAAGACTAGCTCTACGTCGCAATTGCTTACATGCGTCCATCCCAGCCAGGGTCGAAGCTGGACTCTGAGTCCTTCCCCGCACGAGGCACACGGATTTTCATGCGGCTTCATTTTTCTATCGTTGCTCACGGGTTGATTCTAACTCGTTTGTTTTCGAGAATGAAGCAAACATGCGGTTCCGTATGGTGAAGCACCTCCGCCATGCCCAGAAGCGAGCTCTCTCAGCACATTCCGATTGGCGTTCCTGCGACTTCACCCGTCTTGAGTCACTTCAGTGTAACGTCGTTTAAACTTCAGCTTACTGGCATATGCACGTCCAAGGCCTCTGCATCATAACAATGGCGAGATCGTTGCCATTCTCGATGACGAGAAGCTCCTCTAAAAAGACAGTTTCCAGCGTTTGACTTCTTCGTTGACTCTTGTCTATCGTTTTCGCTTCATCTCTGCAAGCACTCCAGTTGAGATCGTCTTGGTCTCGTAGTCTAGATGCCTAGTATTCGCACAACACCCGTGAAGGCCATTCTGGCACTATTGGCGTGCAGTTCATGCTCACTTGCACTACAGATCCCTCGCCACGCGACAATTGCCTCACGAGATGCGATTGCCGCGAATGATTATGACTTTGTCATTGCCGGTGGAGGTGTCTCGGGTCTTACCGTCGCCGATCGGTTGACCGAAGACCCAAGCAGTAAGTAGAGACAGTCTCATTACCTAATAACCTCACGTATACATTCTCTATCTAACATATACCATCTAGTCAATGTTCTTGTCATCGAGACCGGACCATTTGACAAGGATGAAGACAGCGTCCTCATTCCGGGTGCCTTCTTCCCCGTTCCGTATCTTTGGCCCAACTTGAACAGCGCGCCACAGTCTGCGCTGAACAACCGGACCTTCTCGGTTCCCGCTGGACGCGTTGTCGGCGGCGGTTCAGTCGTCAACGGCATGGTCTTTGTGCGCGGTGGAAAGACGGAGTATGCGGCCTGGGAGAAGTTGGGCGCCAAGGGCTGGGGATGGGACGACCTATTGCCTTACTTTCGGAAAGTGAGGTTGACATGAACACGCAAGCGGCGATCGGTTTCTAACTGAACTTTGATAGAGCGAGAACTTGACGACCCCGCCTAAGGACTTTGCTGACGCTGCAAACATATCGTGGGTAGAGTCGGCTCACGGCCACAGCGGACCTGTCCACGCTTCGTATCCCAATTATTACTTCCCCGGAGCCGGTAAGCGATCCAAGATAATCGCAGAAAAGTCTCGGAGATAACCCAGTCGCTGACATTTCACAGAAAACTTCTGGCAAGCCGCTCTAGAAAGCAGCCTCACTCCCTCCCCGGATCCCAACGCGGGTGACCGTGCCGTGGGTCTCTTCAACTTCCCCACCCTCGCCGACGCCACCACCCGGACCCGTAGCCATGCCCGGATCAACCACTATCAGCGTGTCAAGGACTCGCGTCCTAACTACCATATCTTGGCCGAGCACACCGTATCCAAGGTACTGTTCGAAGGCAAGCGGGCAGTCGGTCTCGAGTACCTGCCTTCAGCTGGTGGTGAGCGCCTCGAGGTCTACGCGAAGAAGGAGGTCCTCCTCGCTGCCGGGGCACTTCATACGCCCCAAATTCTACAGCTTTCTGGCATTGGCTCAAAGAAGTTCTTGAAGACCTTTGGAATCTACATGGTCGCTGATCTGCCTGGGGTCGGCGAGAACTTTATGGATCAGGGTGAACTCAAGGTCCCCTTCACCTGTGAGTATCACTTCAATTCATAAGCAAAGGTATAATCACTGAAGACAACAATCCAGTCGAGAACAATATCTTCCCCAACTCTGGTGCTCTAGATACCAACGGAACATACGACGCTGAACAGCGCGCCCTTTACGACGCCAAAAAGCAGGGAGCGTACACCATCGTCAGAACCCTGAGCACTAACCTAGCTGTATCGCCCCTCGCAAACACAACCTCATCCTGGCGCGACATCCTCGCCACCGCAAAATCTCACAACCCCACTGAGTACCTCGCCCAAGACACACCTTCCTCAGTCCAAGAAGGCTACAAAATACAGCGAGAAATCGTCCTCGACCAACTGGCAGGGCAAGACGTGCCCCTCGGCATGGTCCACTGGGGCACCGGCAACAGCATTACACTCTACTTCCTCCGGGCACTGAGCCGCGGATCGGTAAAGATTAGCTCCACGGATCCGCTCCAGCAGCCTGTCATTGATTTTCGCACCGCTTCTGATCCGACTGACTTGGACCTCGCTGTGGCTTTGTTCGAGAAAGGGAAGCAGATTATGTCTGCGCCAGCGATGAAGGTCCTTGGGCCTAAGATGGCGGCACCGTATGACGCCGCTTCCAAGGAGGATATGAAGAGATTGCTGGCTGCTAACATGTCGCCTTCAAATGCGCACTCGTGTTGCACTGCGGCTATGGTGCCTAAGGATAAAGGAGGTGTGGTGGACACGGAGATGCAGGTTTATGGGATCAAGGGGTTGAGGGTTGTTGATGTTAGCTATTGGCCCATGGTGTTGACTGCTGCGCCGACGGCGACGACGTATGCTTCAGGAGAAAAGATTAGTCAAGCTTTTGAAAAAGCCTCATGGGCATTTAAGTCAAACCCCCCACTTCCTGGCACCCCCCTGTTTCTGGCACCACAAAAACGATGGGATCACAACCCGACCTCCTCATTACTATTAACTATTGATCCTCAACCACACCCACTACAATACAGCTGCCAGCCTCACTAGGGCATTCAGAGTCGCTGGATTCAGCCGTGATAACCTCCTTTTCACCCGCTTCGATTTGAGCCCGATGGATATCCCTGATGTTCGCGAACTTCGTGTTGGGATCGATTTGAACAGTCTTCCTCTTCTTCACTGCAGCGTTGGTAACTTGAGCCCTCAGGTGAGCTAGTTGCTGCTGGGCAGCTGCCAGTTGCCAGGCCTGCTCTGTGAAGCCTTTTTTCACCTTCCTGAATAGCAGCCGTTGAGTGCTGGTATCATTGTCGAGTTGGGTGTATAAGTGCAGTTGACCGCTGAGCTCTGCCAGCTTCCTGGGTGTCGACCAGACCACTGCAGAGGAGGCAGAATCCCATGGCTCAACAGGGGTAGTTTGTTGACCATTATGGCATCGCTTTCTGCCCTGACTAGTTGGTTTGGGTGTGGTGGGCTTAGCAGGAGGCTCAGGTAGTACCATAGGGTTCATCAGGGGCTTAACCATCGCCACAGGGTGTAGACCAGTCCACTTCCAACCACTTCTGATGTTCGAGACTGATAGACCAGCAAGTCGAGCCTTCTGGTAACAGTCCAGGAAGTTCCTTTTACCTATAATGGTAGAGTCGTTCCATTGAGACAAGTAACCGAGCTCCTTCCGATAGGCTGACTTAACAGGGCTGAAGACAGACTGGTCAAGAGGCTGGAGGACATGAGAGGAGTGTGGTGGTAAGAACAGTAAATGGATATTGTTAATATAGCAATTCCACATGAAGTCTGTCGTCGTATGACTCCCATGCCCATCCACAATCAGCAGTCGAGCCTCCCCCTCAGCCTCAGGCATAGTCTGTGGGATGAACACCTTCTCTAACCATTCAATGGCAGTTAAGTCTGTAGTCCAGCCATTATCTGTTGCTGTGAACTCCCACCCATCGTATGGAACGAGATGTAATGGAAACCACTGCTGTTGGACTGTCTTCCCCTTGAAAATGATAAGAGGACGAAGTGCCCTACCCAAGGCTGAGATACACTCAATGATAGAGACCCATGCCCTCGACCCAGGTTGTTTCTTGCGAACAGACGTCGTCTCAGCCATACCCAGCACTAACCCATTAGCTCCCTGACCCTCGAGGATGCCAGTCTCATCCATATTATATCTGTTGGCTGGTTTGATGTCCTTGATCTCAGGGATAGCGAGGAACTTAAACCAGTTCCTAATGACCTCAGTAGATGCCCCATTAACGCGTCTAGAATCGATAGAACGACTTCTCTGAACCTTAATGATAGGGTTCCTTCTCACAAAGGCATAGATCCAGCCTTTTCCCAGTGGTTTGGTATCCCCAGCAGCAGCCAGAACTCGCTCTGCGAATTCCTTCACCTGTTGGTGCGTTGGTGCGAGGCCCAGCGAAGCCTGAATGCGAACCCATTGTGCCAACTTACTCTCCTGGTCAGGAGACAGCCTCTGCCAGTCAGCAAAAGCCACTTTCCTAGTCTGACCACCTTGGAGACGTAGTTGGAGGGTTGATCGTGGTATCCCATACTCCAATGAGGCTCTCTTTTGACTCTTGCCGTTTGAGATGTCCTCGAGAGCCTGACGAAGCTGATCTTCGGTATATTGAGGCATTAGATATAGAAGAAGGTATGTGCAAAAGATGAGCCCATTTGGACGCGAATTGAAAATGTTGTGATAAAAGGAGGTTGGGGGTGGGCATTGGGTTGTGGTGGATTTTCGCGTTTTTGTGGGTGCCAGAAACAGGGGGGTGCCAGGAAGTGGGGGGTTTGACTTACTAACTTCGCTTTAGATTGCGGATATCATCAAGAAAAAATACGCTATCTCCTGACACTGAATACGACGACGCTAGCTGGCATGAAGGAACTATGGGCATTCTCGCACTTTAAATCAGGAAGGAATCATGTCGATTGACTTAAACGCTGTAGGATGGCTTGGTTTTGGTATGGCAATAGGGACATCTAACTTCTAGTCCTCTACGTGCTGTCCCCCTGTGACAATGCCGAATGTACCTCAACTTTCAAGATCATCTTTTTAGATACTTTTTGCAGCAATATCAAGCATATCGCAACTGACGTACCAAAGATTTCAGTTAGGTCCTTCTTCTTCAATTTAGCTCTCACCTAACCGAATAATAGTCCTGGAATCGAATATGGTGTGTCGTATCAGAGGGTCGTGGCGATATAAGCGTTGACTGAAGCCTGTCCGCTTCTTGGTATATGACACAGTTTTCGAGGCTGTAGAGGTCCCCATTTCCAAGGGGTAGGCAACCGACGGCCAGCCAGAACAACGTCTGTATGCTCAGTGTGTCCAAGATAAGCTTTCCGGACTCGTCAGAAGTGTGGCGCTGATAGTATAGCTTATGACGAGAACTATCTGATGCATCGCACAAGAACCATAACGTTCCAAACATACCGAACAAGGGGTAATACCCATCGCCGGTCTCGTCTGTCATGGTAACATGGTCCAAAGGTGCACGGAAGGTCCAGTGGCCGCCGTTTCCCTGGGGTACCTCTTCTGGATCCCAAACCTGGTATGTTTGGAACAGACTTTGCTCTTCCCTTCAACTTGGGCGGCATCTTTCCCTCATCCAAACGTATCGTAAATCTTCCAATAATACCGAACACCAAAAACCAATTCTTATGTAACGGCAACCAAGTTCTCTGCTCATCAATTGTGAGAAGGTCGCTGAGGCTCATCTCAACACCGTGTATTTTGATTAATAGACAGAACTGAATCCATCCTGCTGACTCTGGTGACACGTTTCGGGTTTCTGGATTCCAGACGAACTGCTGGTCTGCAAATTGAGGTTCTTTGCTAAGTTCCGGAACACGCACACGTCGAAAGAGGCGAATCGTTGGAGAGACTCGAAGGCCTTTAGATATGAATCCACCACCCTCGGCATTCCCTTTCTCTAGCTTGTCCAGTGCTTTATGCCTTTCCGTCTGGCTTGCTCTCCATATAAAGAATGGGCCGACGAATACCCCCAAGGCAAGGAGGGCGAGGAAAGCAGCAACCCAAGTACCCACTGTGGAAGCTAGGTCTAAGTTGGCCATGATGTTGGAACGAGTTCAGAATCGGAAGAGAAGTCGGATTTTTATGAGAGCTCGAGGAGGCAGATGACTACATAGACTCGAGAGTTCTTTCAACTCTTCGACATGGGGTTGACGGGATGAACGGAAGGTAAAACCTCCGTAGTAAATGGGGTCATTATTGCTTTTGTCGGTGGAGAGGGGTTGTTCGGTACGCATGCAGGCTCTAGGCAAGGACTGGAGTTTCCTTCACTCCGTCCACAGCCTGCTTATAAGCCAATATGCAGATTGAGCTAAATCAATGCGATTTTCCAATAAAAACCAGCTGCAAATTAGAATTATTTGGGGCTGATGCTGACAGTTGTACATTCATGACGCACATTCCACAGTTCATTGGTTATCATCGCTTTGCATCATGCGCAAGTCAATAGTGTCAACGCCTACTTCCACGCCTCTGCCCAAGGTTAATGTCTTAGAAACACCGGTAACTGAGAGATCTCACCGAATTCTCACCCCATGCCGAGCTCGGGTATGCACAGAATCGTGGAATCATGCCAAAGTTGCGCCCTTCTTTGACCATAGTCGACGCCAACGTAGGCATACATCACAGCTTTTCAAAACAAGTTTTTAAGACCTTTAACGGAAATCCAGCATCCGCTTATTGCTTCCATTGCACGCAGTAGAGTTCTCCAAGAAAGAGCTCAGTTGCCATGGTCAGACAGCGCCTCGGCCCTCGAATGACAACCCCTGTCACCTGCGTAGCTCGCTTTCTGCACAGTGCAAACATAGTTTAACAGCGATTGCTCTGTATCAGTCGTATTCCACACGGCCTTTTTGTTCCCAATGCGAGTAGTGGACAGTATGCGCTACGCTCCGATGTTCTGTAAATGCATGCTTCCACCGTTTAGCTCACACAACCTTACTCCGGCTTTTGTGCGTAAACGACATATCTGCCATGCTGTCAGCTGAAATCAGATTTGGAAGACAAACAAGGTAGTCCTTACACTGGCCACCATCCGTGTATAGACCTGTCTCTCATGTCTTTCCTGGCATCCACCAAAAAGACCTCAAGCTGCTCAGCAGACCACCCAAGAGCCCGAGTGAAAAGAGCCAAACTAAGTCCAGACAAACCATTCCCTAGGTTCTCGTACGTCCACACGCCTTCAAAGGACGATTCAGTCAGCAGCCGAACTTTCCGTAACGTGGTACCAGCAAGATAGATATACCTAGCTCCTTATACTTTGGATCTTTCGGCCACGGGTTCGACGGCCATTTGTAAATCTTTTCCTCGATATTAGTGAACCCCGCTTCCGCGAGCTGCTCCTTGTAGAATTTGCAGCTGTCTAGCGGCCGCTTCCATATCGCTGCCGCCTCGAGCATGTGCCCTGCCCACTTTTGAGTTGCGCACTCTTGGGTGACTGTTCCGTCGTCGCTTTGGAGGTCTAAGAGGATGTCGGACAACTCGATCCAGCCCCCTGGCGCGAGGTTTCTTCCAAGGTGTTAGCTAAGTCAGGGACTAGAGTTCAATGTCGATTCAAGGAAGCTTTCAAAGTCCGATGTAAAGGGAGTGGCAACTTACTCGTAGCTTTGGCGGATGAACCTCGGCCAGTCTGCTATTGAGCCTGTGAGCATTCGACCAAAGACGAAGTCGAATTTGTAGGAGTATGTCCAGTCATCCTCCAGGTCGTCAATGTAGAATGTGACGTTGGGAGGTACACTGGATTTTGATCAGTAAATCAGCGGGTTGTAATATCTCGGTTGTTGCAGAATCGCCAAGCTGAACGTGCTTACAAAGGCGGTTGTATTGGGCTTAAGTCAACGCCAGTAATCTGCGAAGTCATCAGTCGCGAGTTTTAATCGAACTCTCGGCGGGAATACCAAAGTTTCTTGGTGATCATCGGCTTCAATCAACCGAGGAAAAGTCAGTCAGCAGTGTGGTCCTGAAATTGATGAATGGAGGGTGTCCTACCGAAGTCCATTGCCCAAATTCCAGTCCCGGTTCCTGCATCCAATACTCTCTTCAAAGGCTTGTCGCGACCAGCCGGTGATACAAATAGCTTTCCATCAAACGTAAGTGTGTATAAATGATGTTGAAGATCTATACGCAGGCATGAACATCTCTATTACGAGATAATTGACAGTCTGTAACTCACCGAGTCTGTCGTTCTCGACCTACAATCCCGTATACGGAACGTGTTAGTTCGTTGCTGAGCTGGGAAGAGCTGCTAAGCTGCTAAAGACCACCTACCGCGTCGTTCGGCAAAACATATCCTGAGCAAAAGCTATGGTCAATACAATTGACACTGTGATACTCTTTCTGATACCCAAGCATTGTAATACTCACTGCCTTCTCGATATGCGTGATATGTTCTTCCATTTTCTTCGCGGTAACGCATGATGCTGCTAGTCATGGACGCAGATGACCCGAGCACAGACTGCGACACGGGTTAGGTTACGCGTAACATTGCGCCGCTAGACCGAGGTACCACTACTCACCACTCCCATGGCCGAATCGCTGTCATCATTGGTATCATTCTCCTCTCCATTCTATCGAAGAGAATCAGCATCATGGTCCGTCTAGCGCAAGCACAAAGGTTGAAAGGCTTCCGGACTGACGTCTGCTTCGAGCGGGCCGGCTTCAGCCGGTGCTGGATCCGACATATTTAAACCTGTCAGAGGGCCGAGGCTCAATGAGCGATGAGACCCCCGGGTGGCTTCAACGCTTTTATGGGGTGTCGATTCGAACTTGGCGAGGATCAATTAGAAAATGCGCGATTAAAGAAAAGTTGTGAAACCTGAAAAAAAAGGTGAAGGGAAGAAGATTCTCCAGAAAAACAAAAGCCCCAACCTTCCGTAACCGCCAGATCGAAGATTAAGCAGAGTCTAATTGGACGGCCGGGCTGTGCCTCTCGTAATGAACCAGCAGATGGCATCAAAAGTTGCAGATCAGGAGATGCGACCTCACCGCTTGCCCCCTCTCTCATCCCTTGCTTCTCCTTCTGGCAATGCCCCCGGGCAAAGCCGTGCCTGTTAAACGTTGCATCATACCCCCGCTAGACGCATCCGTTGGATTGGTCAATGCCGATGCGATAGAGGAGGAGAAGAAGGATAGCAGGGCATTGCAAAACACGGCAACAATCTCATTGGATCGAAACCCCGTCTTGCCGGCCCCTGCTCCGTGCGGGAAGGTTGCATTCCCGAGTCTGCCGTGTCAATTATCTAAGCCGCCTAAAGACTAGGGGGTCCAGACCCGTCGCAAGTGTCGACACTATTGGGCAGAGACCGCGAACCGACAAGGATATCGCCATGGGTCGTCCGCTCGTCAGAAACTTTGGTAACATTTCGGCGTCATGTTCGCTGCTATTGCAGAGCCATTGAAGGATTTGACCGTCTTATCGATGCAGTCTCTCGGTCAAAATATTCCCCAGCTCCTCCCCGTGCCATCCACCGTGCCGCGGCATCCTTGACCGAGAGGGCAGTTCGTCTCAGGATTTCTCAGACTTTCTTTTTCCCCCCTCCCATGTGTGGTCCGAGACACTGTTTCCTCCTCTTATCCACACCCACAATCCCATGATCCAACCTTTTTATACACGAATCGGTTTTTCGTGGGCTCGAGTGTGACCATGAGTCGGGACTACCTCGCATACGCCAGTATCGCAGTCTCGGCCTTCATCGCCTATAGCGTCGTATCCATCGCTCGCCAATACCTACGGCTCCGGCACATCAAGGGGCCACCGAGCGCTGGCTTCTCAAAATGGTGGCTCGTTCGCGCCGTCGGCGGCGGTAGGACGCACCTCGACTTTTATGAGGCGTGCGAGAAATATGGTGTGTTTTATACTTCAACCCCTTAGCCTGCGCTAGAGCGCTTATGAAAATAACCGTTTTCCATTTTTGCCGAATAGGGTCAATAGTTCGTGTCGGGCCGAATGATCTCATCACGAGCGATCCAGATCTCATGAAGCGTATGCTTAATGTGCGGACAACTTACAAGCGATCTAATTGGTATGATGGAATGCGACTCAAGCCTGGCCAAGACAATGTCTTATCCACTCGAGATGATGAGCTGCATAATAAGCTCCGGACAAAGATGGCCGCAGGTGTAAGCAATTGCATAATTTTGTTTGTTTTATATTTAACGCCATGGCGGCAAGATCAATTGCATAAGTGTTTCGTATACAAGAGGAAGGAAAAATGAACTAAGATGAAAGATAGTACTCTGGTAAGGAAGTCGAAGATCTCGAGGCCAAAATTGATCAGAACGTCCTCCGACTCATCGGTCTCCTTGAGAAATATGCTTCTCAAGACGAAGCTTTTGACTTTGGAGCCAAGGCGCAATACTTCACTCTCGATGTCATCTCAGACCTGGCTTTCGGTGAGCCATTTGGAGACTTGGCAACTGATTCGGATGTTCACGAGTATATCAAGACCATGGAGCAGAACATGCCGACGATTCTCGTGACGAGTGTTCTGCCCTGGCTTCTGGCACTCCTCTCTTCGCCTCTTTTCAGGAGCATGATGCCTTCCGAAAAAGATGCAATCGGTGTGGGAAAGACGATGGGGTAAGTTCAAATTACACACTCTTCCGACAAACTTGCTGCCCATGCAGCCAACTTTACGCGTCACCCCTGCTCACATTTGGTATCCTTCGCCGCCTCTAGCATTGCCAAGAAAGTTGCATCAGAGCGTTTCGGTCCAAACAAGAAGGTGCAAAAGGACATGCTTGGATCGTTTGTCGCGCGAGGACTTACACAAGCTGAAGCCGAGTCGGAGATTCTTATGCAACTGTAAGACTCAACACTCAGACGGTGATAGTGGCTGATCCTCTAACATCGAAGAAGACTAGCTGGCTCTGACACTACCGCGACCGCCATTCGAGCTACCATTCTTCACATCATCACAAATCCTCAAGTAACCGCTATGCTCCGAGCCGAAATCGACGCAGCCAAACTGTCATGGCCCATTGTCTCCGATGCAGAGGCTCGCGAGATGCCATACTTGCAGGCCGTCATCAAGGAGGGTCTTCGTATATTTCCACCTGTAGTCGGTCAGATGTCAAAGGAAGTCTCAAATGGAGGAGCCGGTGATTACTTCAAGAGTGTTCATCTCCCAGAAGGTACCCGCATCGGCTACTGTGCGTGGGGAATTTTCCGCAGGCAGGACATCTGGGGTCAAGACTCCCACGTGTTCCGGCCAGAACGATGGCTCGAGTCCGATCCCGAAACGCTGCGCTTGATGGAGGGTACGCTGGAGCTTGTCTTTGGGTATGGTCGCTGGCAGTGCCTGGGTCGAAATGTGGCCTTGATGGAGCTGAACAAGGTCTTTGTTGAAGTGAGTCATTCGAATTCTGGGTTTTTCGTACTCGTCAATCTACTTGGACGCATGTTAATGATTTATCTGTTAGCTCTTGAGAAGGTTTGACCTTGTCCTGGTCGATCCAACGAATCCATGGCACTCAGTCTGCAGCGGTGTCTTCCTACAATCCGAGTACTGGATACGAGGGTACGTGAGACCGAAAGTGTAGAAGTTAGGCATCCTTATAGTGTCTCAAAGCTCCACGTTGTGACCTCAAGATAGTCTGAAAGATCGACGACCGGCTTACAACTAACATGGATCTACTCTGCTTGACTCTCGCAATGTGCTCATAACGCTAGTGGGTCCAACTGTTCTGTTCGTGTCTGCGGCTTCGAAAGCCTGTGAAATATGTGCAACTTACATTCTTGTAGAGTTTAGACATATTAGAAACCACTACATCCCTCAACCAATATCTATTTCTGTCGGAACGGCAAGGCTGATAAGGAGCAATGGGCAGGTATCGTGGGCTGGCTGGCGCCTGCCCTGGGCGAAGTGGGACAACCGGCTTAGTCATCACGGCCGGTTAAGGTGGGGCAACCACCCAGGCCGTCCCCACCTACTTCGATCGGCCCCTGCCCACAATGTAAATAGGAAGAAGAACAACAGCAAATATCACGGACATCGACGTGATTGTTGCCGAAGATACACCCTCATGAGGAAATGTATCACGCCTGTGATACCAACAATTTCCTATGAAGCTCTGCTTCTCCATTCGGTACCTCCCACCTGCGATGAGACTTTTGAGTCGACTAGAACATTAAGGCCATAGTTGCCTTTAGGCACGTTCATTAATTCTTTTAATAACGTTTATGCTCCTTCCGTCGCATATACCAATGAATCTAGTCGGGGACGGACCACCGGCTACAAGCAAGATTGTTCTTGAACAGCGTTTCTTTTGTACAATGACTCTTTTCTTTAGGTCCCTGGCATTCGTCACATACATTTGGGGTAGGAAACGGTAAACCTATCCAAGGACAACTGTCTATCGAGGTAACAGGCCGAGCCCGTTTGAGAAACACCAAGCCACCAGGTACTGACATCAAGAAGCCATCCCACCCGCTCGCGCCCCATTCCTCAATTCGGCAACGCTCACCCTCATGCTAAGTAAATTACCACTGTGTTGATCAAGATGAGACGAATGAGGGAGCGCGGAAAAGTTGACCTCGCTCTCTTAGTGTGGATGCCAGATCGGATTGATGGCTCGTAAATTCCTGACATCAAGACTGGATATGTCTGAGAATAAAGTATCCCATCAACTGCTAGATAGCGTCAGTATATAGGTACGTACTTCAATAGGGAGAATAACGAATAATTTAATAATCCGACCTTATTTCCCTTATATTCGCCTATGAATAATCTCGAAATAGGGCGAAATTAGAGAAAGACTAGAGATAGATGTAGTGTTAGACGTAGTGATAGACTTAGTGACGCCATCCAGCAGTCAATGGTATGGGAATGATTAGTATTAAATAGCTTGAAATGAGCCTTCGGATTCTCTTTTCTTGGTCACCTAGGCGTCAAGGTGGTTTCCTGATTTCTCTCCTTCTAGCATAGGTAGAACGTAATAGAAGCGCTATCAGCCACGTGGTTTGCTTGCAAGACAAGTCGCCTTTCTACTGAATTCACCCAGCTTACCTAACACAAGCACCAAATAAAGCTGCCTATAATCTGTGGCAGCCGACGCTTTGTGTGCCTAATGCTGAAAGGTGTTCTATGTCTTCTCTTTGTGGAAGACCTATCTCTTGCGAAAGCTGCACCTAGGTCCTGCTTCGACACACTGAGAGCGCAGATACTCATCTAGTGCAAACTAGCTTTCAGATATGTTCCACTCTTGAGAGTTTCAGGCGGCAATTCATAGTCTTCAAGCAACATAGCGTTTCACACTGTCTTCTGTTAACGCCTTGGTGTGGTAGCCCGCCCATGGTAGCTTTAGGAACTTGCATTCAGCATCTCATCTAGCACTGCAGATCCGGTGGAATCACACAAAGCTGACTTCAGAAGATTGGGGTATGTAACAAAGCTCCCCTGCAATGATTCAAGCTGCCTTCCGGCTCTCTTAGCAAAAAAGGCTTTTGTTTCTAAACTTCCAAACTATCACAGGAATATCAAAATCCGAGGATTGCGCTGATGTTTGTTGGAGAGATCAACATACAATTGTTTCCTCAAGGCTCATACACAAGTGCTATAGTTCAATCAAGGTAGGAGTTTTCCGATTCCATTAAGTCGCTGTCTCGTCTGCTGATCTTGGTGTTTGCTCTATTGCAGGAAATCTTGCGTCGGTGGTCAAGCACACACCATCCATGGACCAAGTGGCTCTTCTTCTACCCCATTGCGGCAAATGAAAAGCAAGCCGCAGTCCGTGGGAGTTCTCCCGTCGATGTTCTTGGAATCGAGATTGGAACCTCTGTCGATGAGTAGGTTCACAATGTCTTGTGTACGTTGTCTGGGCTCATGGCTCTTATCAGTCCTGTCATAACATGGGTTATAAAATGGTTATACTGATTGGTAGCCACGTAGTGAAGAGGTGTATTGCCTTTTGAATCCTCAGTATTCGGATCAACCCCTACTTCGTCCAGGAGAAACTGAGCCACGTCAAGGTCTCGGTAGGCACAGGCTTGGTGTAAGGCATGGACATTGTCTTTCTCGTGAGTAACCAGGGATGACCCGGCCTTGATCAAAGCCTTGACAATCTCGAGACGTGAGACGCTTGCGTCGTCGGCTACAAAAGGGACAGTACCGAATCTGTAGTATGTTGTAGACGTTGCCTCCCATAACTCGCGGTTGTCGCTGTCAAAACTGCCTCTCAAGGCGAAGAACAGCGGATTGGCGCCCATTGGCAAAGGTAATGGTTCTCGGCTTGGGGCCGAGCTCCGATCTATCCGCTTCCTGCATTTTGCCATAGTTGCGCAGAACAAAGCTCGATGAGGGTCATCCTCGTCGGTTTCAAACTTCTGCCAGCTGTTCACATACGGGTCGCGGTCGAAGTAGTGATAGAAGCCCAGGTCGGCCCTTTGCTGGACATCGGCGCCAAATTTGAGCAGGTGATGTATCACATCTGTGTATCCGTATAGTGACGCCCAATGCAGTGCAGTCAAAGATGTTTCAACCGGAAACAACGAGCGCTCGAATCGATGTTCCTCCATTATTTCCTCCTCGTGAATATGTATCAACGACCTATCAGTCTGATTGATATTGGCGCCGTGGCGCGTTGAAGCTGAGACACCCTCAATGTTGTTTCTTTTGGCCGATAGTAGCAATGAAGATGCGTAATGCTGCGGAATGTCATGTTTGAAGACTGCTGGACTGACGATGTTGTAGAACCGCATGCAAACTCTTGCCAAGTTGGTGGCAATATGCACTCCCCTGCTGCGCCTATAATCCGGGCTGCACTCCTTACAGACATCGTAGCCTTCTTCGACCCTCTCAAGATAACCAGCAACGCCATCATCGTCGAGGAGCATGTCGACAATGTTGAGGACCACTACATCGGGCATGTATGCAAGCTGCGTAGCTGCGGATGCGAGCGGGGGCTGGCATGTGGCGTCTTTTGAGGCAACGTCCATCATGGCGAGACTGGCCAGTCGGGTATGACAACGTTGTTTTTTAGTAAATTGTGCCGAGTGTTTTGTTCTAGGTGGGTTGTTCTAGGGGCAAGGTTGGTTGTTTGAGGAATTGGTGCCGATGAGCGCAGATGGTATGAGAAGTGAAAGAACGATAAGAGTGAACGATTTTGTCAAGAGGTGAGGGGGGGCGAGTCTCTTATTTATTCAAAACTTAATGGGTGGAACCTAAGGTGCCTGGGTGGCTTGTCGTTTTGAACTTGTGGAAGTCGGCAAGGTTGGGACTATCCGTGGTCGGTGATCAAAGTCTCGGCTTTGATCCATAATGGTACTGCCTACACATCTCCTGGAAAAAGGGGTTGTTTAAACACAAAGATGCTAAGACTTCCTTGGTACAGTGTTAATTGAAGCAAGAATTTCAATAACAGAGTGATACGAAAACGATGCCACCGATTTCACACGTTCACAAGGCACCAATCAAGCAAGAGTGCTGCTATGTGCATTATCATTATAGAAGTATTCCATCAACTGCTGGATGGCGTCACTACATCCGTCTCTAGTAATTCTCTAGTTTTACTTCATTTCCCTTATATCCGCCTATGAATAATCTTGAAGAGTCGAAATAGATCAAACTTGGAGAAAGACTAGAGACGGATGTAGTGACGCCATCCAGCAGTTGATGGGACAGTAATCAACACTACATCCAGCCCATTGAGCCGCATTCTTGGCCATACACACTATCACAAGACAAACACATGGTTGGGATTGAAGTGGCTCTCTTCGGACAGAAAGGTTTTCATAGAGAATGAGAGACTTTCAGAGGCGACTAATTCAAGAATCTTCCTCAAAAGGCTTCTGAGCCACCACGTTATGGCTACACACTATGTTAGCTGCAAGACGCATAGACTGAAATTTCAATCGGACTTACATGTCGAACTGAGCATGGAAGGTGTGAACTCCCTTCAACTCCTTCCTTACCTGTGCAAGCAGGACTTCAGCCTCAACCTTCGTCCAGCCCAGCACGCCACAAAACGCCCTCATGGAGAATCCGTCAAGGCCTTCCAAGATTTGAGTCAAGTTGGCCAAGCCCAACTCCCGATAATGCGGATCCTTTGACCAAGGGCCGATGGGAAGGATGAACTTTCTGTGAGTTATATTCTGGAAGTTACCGGCTTCGCGGACCCATCCCTCAAGCTGAGGGCCTGGACGGGCCTCGCGGCCCATGGAGGCGATGGTATCCATGAGCATAGAGTTCCATTTGAAGGTGGCGTGCTCTTCCGTGAGAGTGCCATCTGGCGAGTAGTACTTACCGCTCATGTCTGAGAACTCTGCCCAACCGCCGGGGTTGAGGTTGTCGTAGACGTTTTTGATCAGCTTTGGAAAGTTGGCGATCGAGCCGATCATGTAGCGGCAGAAGATAAAGTCATACTTCCGATCGCCGATCCAGTCGCTTTCGACATCGTCGATTTCGAACTTGACGTTCGGCGGAACCCTATGGACAAGGACATTAGCTTGTAATCTTGGGCTTCGTTTCTGTTGTGATGGCGGAACCCACCATTCTGGCTGGATAGCACTCAAATCATTTCCATAAACCTATAAAATGCCTGTCTTAGCCTCTATAAGTTGATTAACAACGAGAGTTTTGTGTACCTCGGCATTGGGGAAGAGGTCACCCATCTCCATGGACCCTAAAATATTGTTAGTGTCATCCTGATCGGGTCGGGAGATAGGGCCGAGTTCGTCAACGACTCACAGATTCCGGTGCCAGTTCCAATGTCCAGGATTCTGTTGACCTTTTCTTTCTCAAGGGGTGCCAGATAAAGCTTGTGTCCCAGCATCCTCAGTGTAAGGTCATGTGTCATGTCAAGGCGATCCATCTCAGTCTGCATAGGTCAGCTCTTATCAACGAGTGTAATGTATGGGCAAGGGAGGAGTCACTCACGTCGTCATTGGGCAAATAGTACGCTTGTGAGCAGACATGAGAACGTTAGCCGTCCACTCACACGTGCTAGATGAATTTCTGATAAGAGTATTGCTCACCTCCCGGGCGGAATGCATGGTAGCGGCGACCAAACTCAATAGGATAGTCTACAGCACTCGATGCCAGTGAAGCCGTGTACGATGAGCTGTGCAAAGTCGGTCAGTCCGAATGTCTTAGGTGGAAGCAGTTGAGGCTCAAGAGCAATACATTTGGTCATCAATGGAAGCGCCATCATCAGTCTCCTAGAAACTCTTGTTAGCGTATTTAATCCTTCAATAACTCTCCTCGGTGACGAACACTTGCTGGCTCCTCCGCTTCCAAGGCATCCGCTCCTTCAATCGTGGCTTGAGGATTGCTCGGTGAGCTGCCCCGCGAGCTCTTGGGTGGGCTCCGAGGTGAGGCCGTTGTCGCGGGTTCCGCGGCCGGCGTCGGGGATGAGGTCGCCGCGACAGGAGGCGAAGCCGGCTGGGCCTCTGGCCTGTTGACCATCTTCAATCACGAAAACAAGCGTCCAAAACAGTGAAACTTAGTCACTGGAAACAAGGTTTTAGGGACGTTTTGCGAGAAACGATGAAAAAAGAGAGAAGAAAGAATGAGAGGAGGGCGGAAACAATCCTTACCAACCAACCAACGCACCAATGGAGGGGGTGTGCAGCAAAAACATGGATAAAGGAACCGCTGTTGGCGCAAGCTGTTGGAGCAGGCTCTGCTGCTGCGATCCAATCACAACTGACCCGGTTGACGAGGGTGCCGTTGCCGAGAACAGTATTGTGATCCTTTATCCTCAGACTATACGTTTTCTAGGCGAGGAAAAATGTCCAGTACGTTGCGCGGGCAACTTGTCGACGGAATCGAGAACCACTTTCGACAGCCTCGTGTTGGATAAGTGTGGCAGGCAGGCAGGCAGGCAGTCACCCACACCTACGCCATAACTTACAATCAACAACGCTCTTTGACTAAATCGATGCACTTAAACCCCACTTTCATTCCGAGCGAACCACAAGCCTGTTTTACAAATCTTTATTCGTGTGGTGGGAGAGATACTCCGCATCAACACCCGAAGCCAGGGGACTCTTTCATCCCATCTACCTTATTTACACAATTGTCTAGTTATCAAACATCGTACACATGCCCAAACACACCTTCTTGGGAGTTGTCTTGCTTCTTGGGTTTTGTTTTAAACGCCGTCCTTGGGACCATCAAAAGAAACGCCCCCTTTTTTGTACAATCATCAACGCCATCGCGGATGCAACCAATCAGAATATGCAATCAATCTCTCCCAAACAAAAAAAAGGTCCTCCGCATGCAATGGCCCATGTCTTTCGCGTCGACTCTTATGCCAAATATGAGAAACGCAGATCACGAGAAGAAGTACTCGCTCTCCTTGAGTCTTTGCACGTCAAAGTCGCCCTTCTCGGGGATCGGGGGGAAGGTCAAAGGAAGCCAGACCGAGATGGTCTTGGGGCGTGGCGCGCCTCTCTTGGGCGAAGAAAAGACACTTTTCTTGAAGTGCGACTCCTCCATGTTCTTGAGCATTTTTGAAGCGAACTGGGAGCTGGCGCCGCTGAGGAGCCCTTCCTCGACGATCTTGGAGGAAGTCTCGGCATCATTGGCTTCGTCGCCAACGCTAGACTCCATCTTGACATCGGTCTCGTCCGCGTCCTCGGCAATCTCGCCGAGGCCCATGGCTTTCATGTCCTCGCCCTGTGCCAGGGCTTCGGTAGCCGACATCTCCTCAAAGATGCTAGCGGGCGTGACCATCTCCTTGGCCTCCGCAATCTGCTCGGGGTCCCCGGAGCGGAGGAGCGTCTGTCTCTTGTACTCCAATAGGAGCTCCTCCTTGGACGTGGTCTTCTTCTGCTTTCGCAGGGCAGCGATCTTCTTCTCGACCTCGGTTCCGACGTTGATCTTTGCCAGGTAGATGGAGCCGCGGTAACGAGCCTCGAACTCGGCAGCGAGACGGCCGACGACATCCTCCTCGTGGATTCTGACAAAGGCGTCACGGAGAACACGGTTCATCGTGTTGACGTCAGAGGCGTGCGTCCAAAATGAGTCGTGGACAGCAGCAAAGTCCAGTCCCATCTCAGAGCACTCCAGCGCTGACAGCAGCATATGCGTTGCGTCGAGGGAGTGAATGAAGTTGGGAGGGAACGCTTGCAGCTGCTTCTTGCGGTGGACTGGATCGGTGCGATCGGGAATGGTGAGAGAGAGATCCTGGAGGGACGTCTTGATGATTCGGGTCCCGCTCTTGCGATACGGCTGGGCGACGGGCATGCGTAGCGGTGTGGTCCAAACAATAGTGGCGCGGAATTGTGCCAAGAGTTCGTCAGTCGAAGTCATTGTCTCGGTGGACTTCGTCCTCGACAGCACGGGCACGATTCCATCGTTCGCGATCCGCTCCAGTTGCTCAGCTGACAAAGCCCTGCAAACACGACCGCCAATCTCACCAAGCCAGTACTGGATATCGTGAGCACCGCGGAACATGGACGAAAGAGCCTTGAAGACGAGAGTGGCCACATAAGAAGCGGTGACAATATTCTCGATGCCACACTCCTTTGGCAAGTTGGGGTACAGCGAATCGAGCTGCTTGCAGACCTGTTTCTTAGCACCAGCAAATGTGACGCCGTAGACGTTGGTCATGACGGTCTGCTTGACCACCTTTCTCGTAATCTTTCCTTCCATAGCCTGCGCAAAAGGGTTGCCCCCTTCCGCATCCTTGGCAATGTGATCTTTGACAATGTTGGCGACCGCAGAGTAAACGTCAGCAGGCTTGTCGCCGGGCTCGAGATTAACCTGGCGAGCACCCCAAATGTCACCACCGAGGGCGGCATAATGCTGGAGACCGTTACAAGTGCCATCCTGATGCACCGGAAGGCTAGAGACGTATTTCTCCGGTTCCGGGGATTCGAGTGCTGCCTTCAGTTCGAAACAGGCTGCAAGACACTGCCATGGGTCCTCGGCCTTTAGCCACCAGCGGTTGCCATTGAGCGGGTTATTGGCTGAATCCATGACGTTGGCCAAGTTATCCATGGTGAAAGCTGCTCTGTCGTTGAGACTGGCCTTGTCGAAACCGAAGACGTTGGACAAGTGAACCTTGAGCCACTTGAGACCCTGCTCGCCAAGCTCCTTGCCCTTAGCAAAGCGAAGAATGCCACGGACATGGTCGGGACCCATGTGGTTGAGGTAGGTCGGGAGAGGATAGGCACGACCTCGGAAGTCAATGTTGTGAGGGAAGTAAAAGGTTTGGTTCCTGAAAGCACGAGCGATCTCCAACTGGAAATTCATGAAGCAGCGAATGGAATGTAAACCACCCCTCTCGTTCTCGGCGGCCTTTACGGCTCTAATCCAGAGAATGCGTTCAGAAGGATCCTCAGAGGGTGCGGGCTCGGTGGGCGTAGGTATATTGGGGTTCAACGCCGGAATGTTTGCCAACGCCTCGCCACTATTCCAAACCTCGAGCATAACGTTGAGAACTGGATTGTTAATCCGCCAAGGGGTTCTTCCTAGAACATCCAAGCCTTTGAAAACTTGGTCCATGTCCCCGCGGGCGATAGCTGCTTCGCTGTACAATCTCTGGTCCCTGTCACCCTGCTTGACACGAACAAGGGCGGCTCTGCTTTCGAGAAAGCCACCCTTTTCGAAGGACTGCCACGGCTCCGGCTCCACAACCATGGGTAGGTGTTTAGCCAGGTAGTCGCCCTGAGGTTCTCGCTTCATGACGTTGACGAGCTCCTTGTTGGGCAAGATCATACCGATCTTCTTGCCCCTCTTGAGTTGAGTAGCGTGAGAAAACGCGGGCTGGAACTGGCTAACGAGGGCCTTCGTTTCGGGATGTTCCCTCACAACTTTGATCTTGGCAGTCTCGAGGAGAGCAGACATGAGTGCCGCGCCGACCTTCGCCTTCACTGCAGCAGGCCAGGCTGCATCGGCGAGGGCGGTCTCCCTGGCTTCTTCATCACTGTACAACTGATTGCTGGCCACCTCGTTCGATGACGTCTTGCTCTCATCCTTTGCAGGTTTGGCCATGACCACCTTTCTGCTCCTGGTGGCTTTCTTGACCTTCTGGGTTGCGAGTTGAGCTCGGATATCATCTTCGGTGAGTCTTGCGAGGCTAGTAATGACGGTTGTAAGGCCCACACCACGGTCGACACCAGTGATGGTAACAGAGCTCAAGGTGCTGAGAATGGTAACAGCGGCAAGACGGCCGGGCGTAGAAAGTCTGAAGAAGGGCCCGTACACACATCGGTCGTAATCTTCAGGCGTCTTCTTCGCGACGGCCTCGGATTTCTCGATTTTGGTCATTTCTTCCTTGAGTCGCGCCTCCAGCGCAAGTTGCCAGTCGTACAGGCGGGAGTTGAGTGATGCGTGTGTTACTACAGTATTGAGACCCATCTTTTGCAGGGACTCGGTCTCCTCGCGCCAACGCTCAACGGCTGCGTCAATACAGTCGCGCTCGAGACGGGCTTGGATCTCCCGTCGTTCGCGAATCGGAAGTGTGGAGATGTCGCATGCTTGAGGTATTTCGTCGAAGAGGCTCAACGTCTGCTTCAAAGTCTTCAGTCCGATGCCTTTCTGTGGTGTGGCCAAGACTTCAGGCACAAGCTTCGTGAGGGCGGACTTCAAAGCTTCGCTTGATTCGTTGACCGCCACTTCAGACTCATCATTGCCTTCGAGGGCTGGAGTCTCTTCTTCAGGCGCAAGGTTGTATATGGGGCAGATTTCCGTAATAACTGCGAGGTCTTGGTCGCTAAGGATCTCAGCCATGGATAGGACTTGCAAGCCCGCCTCGCCGGGGGCCAGTTTCATGTAGCGAGAAACCAATCGGTGGCGTCGGTCGTGGTCGCGTTCGGACATAAGTGAGGCCTTGAGCATGCAGGCGATCGTCTCGGCGGTTTGGGGGAGGCCCCTGGTGTTGATGTGCAACTCGTACCACTTGTGAAGGCTCTCGGCTTGTTTCCGGTCGGGATGGAGGCGCAACTGGTCGAGAGAGGCTCGGATGAATCGGTTATGAAGGAAAATCAAGTCTTCGCCGGGGAAGCTTGGGACAGCAGCCAAGCGCTTGAGGACCATTTGTGCACGATCGACTTTGCCTACGCGGATGCAGGCATCGAAGATCGGTAACAATTCGTCGACGTCACCAGGAACGCCGTTATTGTTTATTTTTCCGCGCGCATTTGGCGGTGCATTGTTCGCTTGGAGTACCAGTGGCGAGGAGGGATCGAAGGCGCGTAACTCGTGGTAACTCGGGCGACCCGAGACGTTTTGGTATGCTGGCAGAACAGAGCTGTTCAGTCTGTCGTAGTGGGAGCTTGCGATGGATTGATGGTCATCGACTGCGGTGGCAAGACTCCGCCCACCGCTAAGGCTGCTTCTTCTCATCGTGGGCCGTCCATCATGCTGTGTGCCGAAAAGCCGTCTGCTTCTTTCGCTTGCGTTTATCGTCGTCAATGAACATCTTGGTGTCGGTCGACAGGGTCGGAAGACTGTCGCGTGGTGGAGAGAAAGACTTCTCCGGCTGTTCCTGAGGAGCATCTTGAAAGCTCACGCGACGAAAGGACAGACCAGGGCAAGTTGTCGTCGTTTCCAACAGAAGGAAATCTGTTGAAGGTCTAGGAGAGGTAGCGGTGCATTAAGTAAAAGAAGTATGAAAAGAACGTGGCTATATTACAAAGTACAGAGAATGAACCAAATGCGTTGCGATGCTGAGGCGCATGAGGCAGATGCAACAGATTTTGGGTGGAGGGAGAGATTTTGGGGGGGGGGGAGGACAGGAGCTTGTCGATAGGAGGCGCGAGCTCTCAAATTTTGCCGTCCTTTTTTTTTATTTTATTCCTTGTTGGCCTTTGACTCGGGCAATCGGGGTCGTCCCACTCCACCCGCCGGGATGGAATGACCAACCGTCAACGCCCGTCGTTGGATAGAATTTTCTGTCCACTCAAAAAGGGGACGCCCCGCTTAACCATGGGCTTTCATTCGTCAGTGAGGCGTCCTCAGCACGTGCCGTCTTGCAGGTATTGAGGTACGTACTCAGCACTGAGGAAGGTACGGAAATAAGGTATCTCATGGAAGATGGAAGGCACGACCCGATTCAATTTGACGATTGGGCCTGCTCATAAGGTACTTGGAAAGACTCGATTTCCTCCGATGGGCTTTTACATCCTTTATCACAGTGTAGTTCGTCATGGGTCAAGGAGTTGATGCAAACCCCCCCCCCGTTGAAAGTATCCAGAACAATGGAAGCTCGCGGTTCTTGAGGCGACGGGCAGAAATAGTGGAGCACTATGTCCGGGACGATTATGTAATATGCTACAAAATCATAGCGCAGCAGTTGCGCTCCCATTCCACGGTCCAAGCTCTCGAGTGACGAGAATTTTGGCTGCCAACAATTTTTTTTTTTGGTCGACAGGAAGCTCCCAAGCTCAACAACAGTTTCTGAAGGGAGCAGGAAACCGACGTCAAGATGGCTTCGCGACCTGCATTTGCAGCTTTGGGCTGTCTCCAATGTCGTAACACTGTCCTACGAGCCGTTACGTCCAGCTCGGCTACCTTTCTTCGAGCTCCCGCCATCACAACTACTGCAAGTCTGCGACCTCGGAACCTGCAGAGAGCTTTCTCGAGCCTACCCGAGGCACCCAAAACGCCAGGCGAGGCTCCCGCCCAGGCACCCGAAGGAGAATCAAAGGTTGAGGAGCACAACACCGACGACCAGCTTTCCGGCGAAAAAGAAGAAACGCCATGGTTCCTCGAGGTCGACGCCCCTATACATCCCCCGAGAGAAGACGTGTCACCGCTGCCCGAACTGCCGAGCAACCCACCTGCTATCCTCGAGCCTCTGTTGAAGTACGTCTACGAAGAAGCGGGACTCGATGACCTTTCCCTCCTCGACCTGCGCGCCCTCGATCCACCACCTGCCCTGGGACCGAACCTTCTCATGCTCTTTGCAACGTCGCGAAACGAGCGTCACCTGCACGTCTCGGCTTCCCGGCTAGTCAAGTGGCTCCGTTTCCACCACAAGATCGAGGCAAATGCGGATGGGCTGATTGGTCCGGGCGAACTGAAGACGAAGCTCCGAAGAATGAGGAGGAAGGCAAAGCTGCTCGGCTCGAGTGCCATGGTTGCAAAGGGTGGCGACGATGGAATCTCGACAGGATGGATCTGCGTCAACCTCGGAACCAGTGGATCGACGTACAGCGAGAGCGAGCGCTTCGATTCGCAAGGCAAGATGTCTGGTTTCGGTGGGCCAGCCACTGGATCTACCATTGTTGTTCAGATCATGACCGAGTCTCGGCGTAACGAACTAGACCTCGAGCGGCTATGGAGCCAGCAGCTCGTACGCAGCGAGGCCCAAGAGCGCAAGCTGGCCGACGAAGACTCTTCCTATCACAACAGATACGGTGATTTGCCGACGGCCACGATCCGAGCTCGGAAACCCAACTACACAAACACATCGCAGAGGAGGAATTTCTCCACGAGCCTCTCCCGGCCTTCAACAGACACCGACCAGGCCGCTGTGGAGGCAAAAGACGCAGGTACTACTCCTTCAGCAACTTCGAGCCCTGTCACAGACCCGCTGAACAAATACCGACAGCGAATTGAGAAGATACGGTCGGAGGGGGAGCAAGTGAGCGCCGAGGACTGTTTGAAGCTCTTGAGGGGCATTTTCCAGACGCCTACAGCGGAAGAAGACCAGGGCCAGGACCAGGCGGACCTCGCCACCAATGTCATTGAGACGATGCACCAACGGCAAATGCCAGTCATGGACCATGAAATGCTCACGACCATAATCGAGGCGATAGCAACATCACCTGCGCGCGGCGGACCTGAGCAAGGAAAGCTGCGGGGCATTCAAAGTAACTTGGAATTCGTGATGCTCAAAGGCATGCAATCCTGTCCTACGGAAGCGCAGCTCATACGTCTTCTCAGAGCATATGCCATTCAACGCAACATGGATCAATTCTGGGAGGTTTGGAGTCTTCCCCCACGATACAGCGAGCGCAGAGGGCCGGCATTATACCTGGAAGTGTTTCGCATCTTTGCGCGCATCAACAGGAGGTCTCTGAGCATCAACGCTCTTCGGAGGTGTGTACCCGAGATGGTGCTCGAACAGCCCCCGGTGCTGCCAGACGATGCGATATGGCCCGAAATCAAGGCTTGCATTCATATCGCCGACCCCAATGCGGAACACATCAGCGCCCACAAGGTTGCTGGTGGTAAAGTGGCCAGCGATCGCAAGGAGACTGGCGAGTCGGAATTCGTTAGGATGTTCAAGAAGCTCGAGGCACTGCGAAGGAACCCTTGAGACCTTTCCCATGGAGGCTGAAATCGATTTCCAAGGTTTAAGCTCCGAATCGGAATACGTCGACGGGACGGGTGACGGCAGGAGCAAGGTCCTTGGCGAGATAGCGGCAGTATAGAAAGGCGTCTCTGGTCCGATGGCGGGATTCGGCGCTCACCGGCGTTCACCGATTGCGATATCAACTCTGCAATGAAGCGAAGCTGCGGAAGACGCGGCAGAGATGGAGGCTTCACCTCTACATGTACAACACACACCACAAAAGCAACTACCAATGTACTATACTGTAATACCAACGCCAACTACGGATAGACGGCCATGTTACAAAATATCTCACTCGTCTAAAGCTCTAAACAAAATGTGCAATGCAACTCTGAACTCGCCTCCAGTTTTGGTGACGATGAAATTCCTTTCAGCCCAAGCTCTCTTCATCCCAGACCTTCCTATTCGGGAAGTGCTCCGTCTTATCTCTGGTTGAGCCCGGCAGGATTGCGGGGGAGGATCGGAGTCTATTATCAATTGACACAATTTTTATTTTATTTCCCACCTCGGCACTAATGCAGGTGTATTCCAACTTCAATGCGCCCCCGTTTCCGCCTCAACTTGTTGGAGACAAAACATCTGAACAATCAGCTGAGCTGTGGTGACACGGGTGAGCAATGGGGAGATGACATTTGTCAGTCAACCCGCGTCGTCTGAACATGCAGGTTGTATCCGGACCCCCCTGGTCCATCACACGCAGATATTTCCCGCTCTCTCTCTCTCTTTCTGCCTCTCTTTCTCTCGCGCCCGGATATCGGCATGGTAATGTCTGATTGCAAAGCTGTGCAACTCGGATCTTGTGAGCCAATGAGCGTCTGCAAAAGGCCCTCCGCAGTCTAGATCGACGCTCCAAGTTAACCTTAGCCCGGTACTTATGTGAAGCTCGCGATGCCCGAACAAGCAGGAGGACCAACACGATGGGGTCCCTGGTAGGCTGGTCTCCAAAATGCTGCATCACCAACCCAGCCTTTCCAGGCCTGCTTCCCACTTCTCGCCTCCTTACGCCCTGCCTTGCCAACACAGCCTATCCCTATTCCCTTTACCGCCTCCATGGAACACACATCGATCATGAAAGTGGACTAATGCGCGCCGGTCTTGGCCACACGTGGGCTGGAAGGGACCTCCAGTCTCCAGAATGCTACATATAACCCGCACCGCTCCCTTCACCGTGACATTCTCCTCCTCTCCTCCCGCTCGCCAAGGATCACATCTCCCGCCCCTTCATATCCATCCTCCTTGCCTTCCTTCTCTCTTCCTCCCCCCTATCGTCAGGTAGCAATCCCATCGCACACGAAAGCCATGGCCCGCCTCACCCCCCTCACCCTCCTGGCCGCCGCAGCCCTCCCCAAGGCCGCCCTCGCCTGGGGCTCCATGGGTCACGCGACAATCGCCTACATCGCCACAAACTTCGTCGCCCCCGAGACCAAAACCTACTTCCAGCAGCTCCTGGCCGACACCACGGACGACTACCTCGCCAACGTCGCCAGCTGGGCCGACTCGTACCGCTACACCACCGAAGGGTCCTTCACCTCCACCTTCCACTACATCGACGCCCTCGACGACCCCCCGCACTCGTGCGGCATCGACCTCGACCGCGACTGCGGCCCCACGGGCTGCATCGTCTCCGCGCACGCAAACTACACCAACCGTCTGCTGCAGCAGCCCGCCTTATCCCTCAAGCAGCGCCAGATCGCGGCCAAGATGGTGATTCACTTCACCGGTGACATCGGACAGCCTCTGCACTGCGAGAACTTGGAGTTGGGCGGTAACGGTATCGCCGTCGAGTTCAACGGGTCGAGCACGAACCTGCATGCGGCGTGGGACACCAATATCCCGCAGTCTATTACGGGCACGGGCAGCAGCGTGCTGGCTGTGGCCAAGTCGTGGGCGTCTAAGCTGAGCACCGAGATCAAATCTGGCGACTTCAAGACGGCGTCAAAGTGCTGGGTTGGCGGGTTGAGCCTCGAGGATCCCGAGTCGCAGGCGCTGGCGTGGGCGACGGAGAGTAACAAGTTTGTGTGCTCTGTTGTTCTGCCTGATGGCCGTGAGGCTGTTGAGGGTAAGGATATTAGTGGTGCGTATACGACGAATGCGCAGCCTACTGTTAGCATGCAGGTTGCCAAGCAGGGTTACAGGTAAGCTTCGTCCCGAATCCTTTTTTGCTTTTTGGATGAAGTTGAGAAACTGACGGTATACAGACTTGCAAAGTGGCTGGATGCCATTGTTGCCCAGCTGGCTTAAATGCAGCACGGCCCGGGATGACATATTTGTAAATACCAAGCACATGACAAATGTCATGCAACTTGAGATGATGAATGATGATGAAGCGGTTCCAAATAGGATAATCTCTAATAAGATGATGGTCATTGGTCTATTTTGAGACCCCATGATAAGGCTTGTCTTCTGGACAAGGCAGTGATTGTGATTTAAATCAACGACTTTGAGTTGAATGTTGAGCTGCAAGGTAGCGGCTGGAAACTTGAAAGCTTATCGGGTTCTCAACAGGATCTTTTAGGATCTGCTGTGCGTCTAATCTTTGTTCCACCCATAAGAAGTGTTCCATGACATGTAAGACAACTAGTGCCATTGGCTGCGGACACTTCGGTCCACTTCTTCTCCTTTAGACCTATTTGAGAATTGACTCTGCTTATTCTAGCGTAATGTGTCCCAAGTCAATGCAGTCCACCGAATAATAACTCCACGCTTCATGTTCGAGTGCCGCACTTTTCAACACATCTTCATCTCAAAGCTTGGTACCGCCCTTGATCGTCTGCCGCAGCATGGGCGCAACCTGCTTGCGAGAGTTGGACAGACTCTTCTGGTGCCAGGCCATTCTCCACTCCCCTTCGCCAACCTGATCAAGTCTGCCCTCGCCCCAGCTCTCCAAGCCCAAATCATCCTTGTACACTTGGTAGAACTTCTTGCAGTAGTCAACAGCGTTTTCGTTAAAGGCCCACAAGAGAAGCTCTCTCTGGAACTTTCCACCAGGATGTGATGTTGTCATGATCACTCCAACATCCATCTTCTTCTCCTCGGCCCACTTCTTGAACTCGCCCAGAAGCACATTGTCATCGCCGCCAGCCTTTTTGAGGAGGTAGTCCAGATTCTGGACGATGGCCGACACGCCCATGACCTGGTGACGGCTGCTTGCTTCAAAGCCTTCGCCTAGATCCTCCCACTGCTTGTAATCCTTTCGGAATACGTCGCGGAATCCCAGCGAGGATATGTCTTCCTTAACGGCGGATATCTCGTCGAAGAAAGCGTCGCGTCCACTCGTATAATTTTCGAGAAAAGAGACAGCGCTGGTGTCCTTGTCGGTCGTCTTGTCCTTGGACTTGAGGTTTGTGGTATCAATCAGGATTGCCGCCAGTGACAGCCTGGCGAGGTGCCCGTCCACATCGCTAGCACCGTTCTCCGGCTTTGCGAGATCCTCCCATGCTGAGCGGCAGTACTCCACCACCAAGCTCGCGCAGCTTCCGCACTTTTCGACTACGCGAGGCTCGTCGCCTGTATCTTTCGGAACCTTGTGATCATCGGCGTGGTGGTCTACGCAGCCGACTACACTGCTGCTGTACTTCTTGGCGAGGTCTCCCGTGAGAGCATTGTGGTCGATGAGAAGCCATCTAGAGTCCTTCGCGGCGAGATCCTGCGGTATCTCATCGAGGGTTAGAAGGTCGCTCGGCTTCAGCTTGGCGTGCGCCAGGGCAGCCGTCATCTCGGGACGAAGCTTGAGATCATCGCGGGGTAGATTCGAGATGGGAATGTGGAGCGTGTGAGGGGCAGCATGGCTACGGAGGTAGGCGTAGACGACGGCAGAGCAGAGAGAGTCGAGGTCTGATTGTTTTGTGAAAAGAATAGAACCGTCAGTTTCTCTGTAAATGGAAAAAGAAATGCCAAGCCTTGGGTGCCTCTCGTACCTGCAGATTCGTTGCCGACGACCAACGTCAAGGGACTTGCCCGTTGCGGAGCCGTCAGGGCCGATCTCGCGTTGGCGAGGAAGGCGCCGAGGGAGACCCTTGGAGGCATTGAAACAACAGAATTCGATATTGGAACAAGGCCTCGAGCGTTGATAGTGTTAACGCATGGGGAACTGCATGTGCAGGTTGCCGCGGGAGTATCAAGAGGCGCGGTCCTCGCGGCTTGGAGCTGTTGGTGGTTGTGGTGGGGATGACGTCGGGAGGTTGCACAGGTACAACGGACACACGCACAGCTTCTGGGGGATTGGCGGTCCAATTGATTTTGGTGGATTTCAACGGTGCTGTATCTTATCGCTATCTTATCCATAGCGCGGTCCCTTATCGCTGGCTTCCTCCCCCGCTATCGGATCGCGGGGCACTCTGCCTGGCTGCCACGCCTTGCACTTGACTCAACCGCGACCCGCGAGAACCCCACCATCGCCGTGGGACCGCGGTCGGGGCGCCGGCATCTGAGCAGCCACCACCTGTCACTTGCTTCCATGCTTTGTTCTCACGATTCCTTCGTCTTCCGCTTTGTCCCCCAACCTCAATATTCTTCATCGTAAATACCAACCCAGTCTCACTCTGCTACAATAACTTGATTCTCATTCTCGTAACATCTTCATCCTTATCTTGTATATATCCTCTTTCTGTCAAAGTAAACCAACATGGGCTCTCAACCACCCCGCATCCGCCTGGCCATCCTCGAGGCCGATACACCGCAGCCGCAGACCAACGCCGAATACGGCGGCTACGGTGGCGTCTTCACGGCACTCCTGCGCACCGCCGCCTTGGCCAGCGAGCCGCCAGCGCCGCTCGACAGCATTGTTGACCTCTCAGTATACCACGCCGTCGGCGATGATGCCGTCTACCCAGACCTAGACTCCATCGATGCCATCCTCATCTCTGGGAGCAAGCACAACTCATTTGATAACGACCCGTGGATCTTGAAGTTGGTTGAATTCACCAAGAAGTGCATCGACAGCGGGCGCGTAAGAGTTGTCGGAGTGTGCTTTGGCCACCAGATTGTCGGACGGGCACTAGGTGCTGAGGTGAAGAGGAGTGACCTCGGCTGGGAGGTGGCTGTTGTGGATGTCAACCTGACGCCCAAGGGCAAGGAGATTTTCCAGTTGGAGAAGATGGTAAGCGTTCAGCCCAGGCCTTGCGGTCCTCAACTCGGCGCGAGTAAAGGCGGTCTTGCTGTGGACAAGTACTCACATATCACAGCGCATCCACCAAATGCACCGCGATGTCGTAACAGAGAACCCGGCGGGCGCCGAGTCTTTGGCATACACGGAGCTGTGCCCCGTCCAGGGATTCTACTCACCAAAGAAGTTCATCACTGTCCAGGGTCACCCCGAGTTCACAGGTCCCATCGTCAGTGAGATTCTCAACGTTCGTCACAAGGCTGGCATCTTTGACGAGGCAATGTTTACCGATGCCATCAACCGCGCAAACATTGAGCACGATGGTGTCAACATCGCCCGCGGTTTCCTGCGCTTCCTTAGAGAATGATACATCGTCGTTCATAGTACTTCACCCCAATAGACCAGCGACTGTTTTGGATACCAATCTTACACTCCCCAATTGCCATGTTTTTGACCCAAGGCATGCAGCAACTCTTGTGTGATGCGCTCCTTCTCAACATCGGTATATCATGCTTGTCATCCCTCGAACTACCTGCCTCGGGAAAAGTCAAGGTTCGGCATTCGCCACTGTTGCTTGGTTCCTGCTTCTTCAGCTAGACATCTTTCGGAAAGGAACACATCATAAGGCTCTCCTTCCTTGGTGGATTGAAATTCTCCTCGACTTCAACCCTCCACCAGTCTTTCTTTACACACTTCTTCAACTCAACGTCGGCGACAGAATACATCACACCGGGGCTGACTTTACCCTTCAACACCTCCCAGGCTTCCCTGGCTCATCCTGCATTACTTACCGCAAACTCTTCGACTACGTTTGAATTCTTTCGCACTTCTTCAGCATAACACATCGCAAAGCTACTTGCCAAATGGTCGAGATCATTCAGCTCCCATACTTGGACGCGCCTTCCCAGTCAAACCGCTATTCCAGCAACTGCATCGTCGCTTTCTCTTCTCACTGACTCCCTGCTCTCCTCACAGACCGACCAACAAGTCTGATCTCGTGCCATCAACCAAGCCTACTCTATCACTCACGAGTCACTTTTCCTTCTGATCGTTGGATCTCGACTCCAGGGATACTTGGTGAACCCTAACATTCTAAGGGACATTACACCACCTTGTCACCTTGTCACCTTCTCACGTCCACGCTATTACTGCATCTCTTTCGCTATGACGGGAAGCGCCAACTGCAAGAGAACCCGTTGCGGTTTCGAGATCGGAGATGATTCAGAGGAGGAGGGCAACCACGGCCCAATTCATCTCAAGAAGCCTGCGAGCCCTCAAAGAGAAGAGTCAGGCTTTTTTGATGGGTCTATTGAGGACATTATCAGAGAAAGCCGTGACGGCATTGGTGCTAGTGCTATCACCGTCATTCCATCACAGCATGGTAACAACGAACCCAATGGTCTATTCGTTACCGATGATGTCACTCAAGAGACCGGCTTCTCTCAGGACGACATTATGTCAATTGAATCGGACGATGACTTTGACCTCATGATCATCGACAAGGCAGATGCATCTCAAGGAGCTCAACAAAAATGGTCTGCCCCTAGACCCGCATCGCCCATCGATCTTACACAGGACGTGAAAGCTGAGCCGGATGCGCGTGGGACGATTTCAATGTTTGGTCAAGATGAGACGACCAAGATCAAAAACCGGAGCCCCGAGGACGTTCGCGGGAAGCAGCGCGCCTTCTCTCGTCCGGTCGACGAGTTGCCCGACTCAAATCACCTTCAAAAGAGGAAAACTGAGTTATTGACAAAGGGGCAAGATGGGGGCCTGAACCCTGGAGAGGTTGCAGAGCTATGTCAACTAGAAGTGGCCATCAATACTGCACAGGGAGCCGTTAAACCAAATCAAGACAAGCATGTCTTCGAAGAGGTCAAAGATGGAGTAGGGAATGACAAGAAGGATGTAGAGGCCAACTCGAAGAAAACCAAATCGAAACGGAGAAACCCGGAACAACAGCGCAGCGGCCCACCAAAGAATGCTGCTGAGTACTTCGCGAGAAAGGGGCAAGAAATCCGAGAGAAGAAACAAAAAGAATTGGATAAACAATCTTCAGTCAATCCCGCTGGACGTCCCAAGAAGGCGAAGTTTTCAGCAAAGGCCTTGAAAGACGAAGAGGAGAGACGCGATCGAGTGGCAAATATTTTTCAGCCCAATGACGCCATCCAGGATCGAGCAGAAATGGGTGGCACTCAACGCGAGCCTGTCTTCATGGCAAGGACCAAGAAAGACCAGTTCGAGCAGATAAAAGCAGCGATACCCGAAGGCTGTGATCTACGTCGCACCAAGACCCAGCAGAAAGACACAGAAGCTGCATCCGAAGCCTGGGGCTTCGGCAATTGCAAGGCCATTGACAATGAATGGAAACTCAAAGGAATGAATACCGCAATACACCACTATCAGCTGACCGCTGCTGCTTGGATGCTAGAGCGAGAACTCATGCAAGGGTGGGACAGACTACCTCGAGGAGGCATCCTAGCCGATGTCATGGGCATGGGAAAGACCATCATCACTCTTTCATGCATGATAGGAAACCGGCCGAACGATCTCCTTGTACGCAAGGGGCGAGGGGCCACATTGGTCGTCTGCAACAATGGCCATGCCATTGATCAGTGGATGAACGAGGTCAAGACACACTGCGAAGGGGAATTTGCCACTCGCATAGTCCACTACAGTTCTTCTCACAAGATGGACGTGGCACTTCTTCAAACTTTCAACATTGTGTAAGTCAATAAAAGCCTACAACATGGAACCCTCAACATTGACTGCCGTCTAGGTTTGCAAGCTACAGACAAATAGCCAATAGCGCCCCGACTGTGGATGAGATTGAGTTCAAGGAGAAAGAGCTGAAGGGTGACAAAAAGGCACTCAAAAAATGGCTTCGGGAGGAAAAAGGAGATCTTCTCAAAATTAAGTGGCATCGTGTTGTACTTGATGAAGCCCAACAGATCAAAAACCACGAGACGCAGTGTGAGTACCACGTATTCGCACCTTTTTATGGTTCTTGGCCTAAACACTTTCAGCGCTTCATTCTTGCCTTCACATCGACGCCAACTGTCGGTGGGCATTGAGTGGAACTCTTCTCAGTAATAGAAATTACGGTATGTCATTCGTGGTGTCATAATCGCCAGCTAACACTTACATCATACAGAGCTATACCCTTATCTCAAATTCATTGGCTGTGAAGTTGGCAGTTTCAAAGAATTCCTCGTCAAGTTCAGAAAAGGGGTTTGTGTTCTTACCTTTTAGTCACCGAGATCTCCAGCTAATATTGCCTCCAGTCGAAGGCGGAGGCCAACCTGGACCATCTTATCAGCGCCGTTGCGTACAGACGGTATGTAGTTCTAGCTTCTGTCAATGCTGCGGTAACTAACAACAAATCGAAGCACTCACATGGATACATTTCTAGGCCGTCCGATCATCAACCTTCCCCTGACTCATCCCACGCATCAGTACCTCCGAATGTCTAAGGAGGAAATGGTGATAAACAGGTAAAGGAACTGGTTCTACGTATGACATTCTTACCTGACATTGGTGAACAGCATGGTGGAAGAGTGCTTCAGGCGGAAGATGATGCAAGACATGGCTGCCCCTGGTGCTGGGCCTCGTCGGAAAAGTTGTTTTGAGATGCTCCTGCGTCTCAGGCAAGCTGCCACTCACCCTTTTCTTCTCGAATCAATGATGCGGGAGTACATGACTCTAGACGACATCCGAAAGGTACGCAAACGTCTTGCTGATCTTCGAGAAGGCCCCAGCATGTATGACCAGATCGGGTCCTGGACCAAAAGGCATGAAATGTCTGGTGAACGTCTCCAGAAGATCATGATCAGCGTCAGTGAGGAGGGAGAAGAGCGCCGTTTCGATGAAAGCTCAACCATCGAGGCGGAAAGGGCAGACAATGCAGCACCTCCTGAAAGTGGTGGTACATATGACCCTTACAACAGTATCTCTGAAGATAAGAACGAGATAAGCACCGAAGGAGGGTTCGACAGTGACTTGGACGAAGTCGACAGCCAAGATGACTTGGAAGATCTTTCTAATCAGGACTTCCTCGAGCTTAACGCTGAAGACCACGCAGCATTCATGGAAGACTCAGGCCCGTCTCAGACTCTGATCCCCGGAGATGCCCCGCTCGAGCCGTTTGGTCAGAGCAATTTCGGTTTGCATTTTGACATGGATCGGCACATGGATTACCTGGAGAAGGTTGAGTTGATGGAGTTAGCAGTGTGCCCAGTTTGCAAAGAGACACCGACAGTACCAATCAAGGGCAATGTGAGTTGGGCAGAGAACATCCGCGAAGCGCTGTGTCTAATCATATTAGTGCGAGCATTCATTCTGCAACCAATGTGCATTAGATCATCTAACAACCGCAGTAAGTCATGGCGCTCCGATGTTGATACCGTTACTGATGACTTTATAGGGCAAAAAGTGTCCAGCATGCAAGAAAGCCATCGGGAAGATGAGGCCGACTAGCATCTTGGACAGCCAATCAGAAGAAAACGAAGTCCGCGGGAATGATTATTACGGCTACCAGCAAGCCTTAGACAACCGTACAACGGTGTCCCATTTCTTGGATATCAGCGACAGCATGCCAGACGTGCCGGTGACTCCTAGTGCGAAGATGACTGCCTGCAAAGAGACTATTCTGCGGTGGCAAGCTGAGGCGCCCAACGACAAAATTATCGGTATGTAAACCTTACATCACATCGCACTCTGCAATTTCTGATCGACTCGTCATTCTTTACAGTCTTCACGCAATTCGTCCTCGTTGGCAAGATTCTCGGCCGCATGCTCGAAGCCGAAAACATCCCTTTCGTCTACCTCACTGGCAAGCAGACAAAGGACCAGCGCGTCCGCGCCGTCAAGGGCTTCCAAGAGAACGAAGATGTAAAGGTCCTGGTGGCCTCCATGCGAGCAGGCGGCCAGGCGCTGAACTTGACGCGCGCCAACAGAGTCATCCTCATGGAGCTCTGGTGGAACCACGCACAGGAGCAGCAGGCGTGCGCGCGTGTCTTCCGCTACGGACAAATCAAGGAGACACATTTTGCGCGCTTCATCGTGCAGACGCCTATTGAGGACCGGATCCTGAGGATGCAAGCCGACAAGATCATCGAGATTGACCGCGCGCTGCAGGACGACGGGCACGTTATTAAGGGGCTCAGCATGCACGAGATTTTGCAACTCCTGGGCCGGTATCGTGTCAAGGATAATCGGGCTGTCATTGAGCCTGACTACGAAGAGTACGATGACGATTTTGACGATATCATTTCCAACCCGGATGACTGGGACTTGGAAGAGGAGGAGGACCTCGATGGCTTTGTCCTTCCTGATGACACTGCAGAGGAAGGGAGTGAGGTCGACACCGACGACTTGAACGGGACGATGGTGCTTTCCGACGACTCGGAGGAGGAATGAAAGTCCACGACCGAGCATTTACGCACACTTGAACCGAGATCTGAGCCTGGAATTCGTCTCAAGCAACATGGCGCGATATGATCCAAGCAACATTTCGTTTTCTCTTCGTTTTTGCGACACCCGTTTCTGGTTTCGACGACTTGCTTCTTTGACAGCACCACGAGGTGCTACATATCCGACCATATTTTGAGATCGTGGGCCAATGAGCTTTTCTCGAAGCAAGGATATGGATCTATTCTGGCAAAGCGATGGAATCTTTTGGCACCATGCATGGAATCTTACGCGCTGGACGGGAAAGAGTGCGCCTGGAAAGGACAGCTTAATGCCATTGAAAAAGGCATAGAGAGCTTACCCCTGAGCATTTGGAGAGGCAGGAGAGATTGGAGAAACACTCCAAAAACAAGCTCAGGAGATTTGGAGAATAGCTTCAGCCATCGTCTCTCAACTTTCATACCTTGCATATAGACTGATTTCACAATAGACGTTTTCGAATTCAATCCTTTCCAATCCTCCCGCCGGTTTCTCGTCGAACACGTTAAACGAACTTGGCGTTTTCTTGTGCCGACATATGCAGCATTAGTCCCACGTCTCACCACTGTTGCAAACATGTCGGCATTCATTGCATGCCTCGGCTTTTCTCCCACGGCGCTAGTGGGGCCGATGGACCGAATTTGGCGCTCATGCAGGCCTCCAGCGCCGGAGTTTGTGGGTCCGCATCCCGATGGTACCGATAGATGAACTTCCAATCGCCGAGCACAGCGTTAGATTCTTAGGGTAAGATGGTAATTGCTTTACTATTGATTCAATATGGTAAAAGTATTTGTTCATTCAATTCATGTGGTATCAACGCGAAAACGACTACGCTAATGATGTTCTCCTTCCGGCCCGTTGCCGGGCTTCGTCTTTATCCCGCCGTAACTTCGACGGCGTCCTGCGATGCCTGACTTGCGTGTCAATCCACGGCTTTTCTACAGCACAAAACAGACATGCGTTAACTAGCCCCTGAATTGACAGGCTCACTAGCGACAAAAGCACAACCACAAACGGGCCGGCTTGCTCTGGGTTGTCCCAGCGCATGACATGGGCGACAAAAGGGACAGCCCAGATGAGTATGTAAACAAGTGGGTAAACAAAAAGTAGTCGCAATTGGCGACGAATCTTGTCGCGCGTCTTTGCCATTCCTGTGCCGTCAATGGTAGGATGGTAAAGAAAAGGAGTATTATTATGATCTGTATCAGAGTCGAGAGATGTACCCCGACGGAGAATTGACCAGATGCTGGCAAGCGACTTGGCTCGAGCGCTTGTTGGGCTGCTGGGTGGTTGCCACTGTGTGCTGAAGCTGCCGTGGTTATAATGCGCCTGAGGCGGATTCAGGTCGATCGTATCGCGGCGTATGTAGCTCTGCGGAGGAGGAGAGATGGGCTCAAAGTTGGTGGAAAGCGGACTCGTGCTGGACTCAAATGCACGCGGGGAGACGTTGTCGTTAGGTTCCGGGATGCGGCCATCGTCTTCGTTCCCATAACTTGGCCAGTTCCATTGGATCTTCTGCCGGCTGTGAAGCTCGATCTCGGCTGTCATGGTGGTGTTTGTAGAAGAGGTACGTTGCTGATCTGAGTCTTCCATTGAGGTTTCAGAGCCGCGCCGTGATGTTGGGGTGGCTGGCACCGAGGGAATACGAGCCCAATGCCCATCGTCTAGCATGTGTGTTGCGCTCGCCCGTCGCATAGCACTGAGTCGACCGAAGCGCCGCATGCGCAGCGTAACGTAGATATAGATGTAGGCGTAGAGCGCAACAATAGTGAGTAAAATCAGGTAGCGGGGAACCCAGCTCAGGGCGAGCCTTGCCCATTCAGGTCGGGCGGGTAGGTAGCAGTACTCCCCATTGTTGACGTAGCCAGGCCAGTTGATGAATGTCAATGAAGCCATCAAAAGGGGGAAGAATGCGAAAGCACTGAAGGCAAGACGCCGATGGGGATACAATCCACTTTGCCGCCCAGAATGCCGCGGTCGGAAAATGTAAATGGCTGTGTGTAAAGCGATGAGAACAACAGCAATATCTGATGCCTCTATGCCAACCGCGAGGAAGAAGCCGCTGGCTTGGCAGAATGATGAGCTCGAGGCAACGGGACCGTTCTTGAAGTCGACAATGGGGAATATGATGAACCACAGCGATTTAAGCATGTCACTCGACATAAGCAGCATAATGAGACTGTAAAGTTGTTAGTGGAATGACCATTTCCCGGCTTGAAGCGGGTAGCCTGCTAAGTGAAGGCAACGCACACCCCAGTGATCGTTACTCACTCATGTCTGAAGCTTCGCCTCCTGCGAGAGAACCAGTAAAAGGCGAAAGTCACAGATGCAAAACTCAATGCAGCAGCCGCAAGCGAGGTCGATTGAATAATCTTCCATTGGTGATCGGTCAACCCATCGGGGATGCGGGTGTAAGCGGTGTCTACACGGCTGCTAATAATTTCGGGCGGCGACGCAGCTGGCGATTCAGATGCACCAATGTTGTCCAGTGCACGGGGCCACGGTGCCATGACGGCTGTGGTTTCCTGGACACCGGACGTAACCTTGGAGTCGGCGGGGTGATTTGATTTACGTGGGAGGCTTCGGATTCCTCATGTTGATATGATCGTGACCACGTAAACGACCTTCTTGCTTAATGTTGGTGTTTGTAAAGCCGGCGATGAAGCTGCGAATCTGCTTGTATACCCCTAGATTTTTGTCCTTGTCCAACTGCGGGCTTCTGGGATGTGCTCGTTTTTTGACCCGTCATCCAGCTTCCCTACAATGTGCAACGCTCGCTTCGATATCCGTAGATTCCCCTTGTGATCGGCCAGCCTTTTCGTAAGTCGGGTATTCGTAGATGAGTGGGCGGAACTTTAGTTCCGTGGTGCTTTGTTTGCCTCGACAGAAAACAGTAGCCACTTTGGTTACGGCGATTACGCGAGCCAAGGTATGGCGAAAGAAGTCTCCGGTCGGGAAGAGACCTGGATGGCAATCGAAAATATTGGATTGGCTGGGAGATACAAAATTCCTTCTTCTGGTCAAATTGCCCGGGGGTTGTGGGAGAGGATGGGTTGGTGGTTATAGGGAAAGTGTGATGGTACGTGAGTCCTATTTTGGTAAGCCTTCAGCATTCAATGAGCAGGGTCTGTGGGATATGAGGTCCGTCCTCCGCCTGGTATCGGATTGCCGCTCAGGAAAGGGCGACAGAAGCTTAAGGAGGGACGGACGCAGGCGAGACATTTGACCGCGAATAGGGGAGACGGGACTCGGAGGCGCTCAAAAAAGCAAGACAGGCTATTAGCGTCGTGATTTGAGGCTTTTGGGCGGATGTCAGCTTAGCCAATAAACAAGCGGCCAAGGGAATAGGCATCCGGTGCGGTGTGGTGGTGTCTGTGTGTTTGTGCGTCGATCGTGTGATTGGGGGCGTGAAGAGCGGTGAGGGCGTCTATCGAGCGAGCCAGCATACGTCGAGCTTGACTTTGTCTGACGGCGCGTGGGCGTCGGTGTGTGGCAGAGTGCGAGAGAGTTTGGCGGTCGAGACTGCTGAACCAAGGGGGGTAGACAGTATTGGGGGCGTTTACTATCATCCTCGATGGTTTGGGGGTCGGCGACCTCAGTAGGCGAGAGACAAGAGAGAGACAAGCCACCTGCTGGTACAGTCGGCGGCACAGGGGTAACGAGCACAGCATAGCACAGCACAGCGGCTGGGTTGGGTCGGCTGGCTGGCGGCCTGGGTCTGCTGGTCTCGTCTTGTCGTCTGGTTCGCTAGGCGCTTGTTGAACAAAAAGCAAAAAGTGTGTTTGTTTCCCAAAGGGCGATTGTGCATCTGGGGTGATGGTACCAAACTGAGGTAAGCAGCGATGTGGGCGGATGGGGGAACAACGAAGCGACGATCAGTGATGACGATGTGCATTCATCCATTCCGTGTGATCTCCAGGGCGGTCATGACTTTCTCACGATACGATGCGAATGGTCGGAGAGCTGCCGATAACCTCGAGCTATGCAGCAGACAGACGGCAATATGCAAGTGCCCTGCTGGTGGTATTGGCCGAGTTTGCCCATCAGCAGAGCTCTGAGCAAGTCCATGACTAGCTTCGGCGAACCGAGACAAGTGACGAATGGCGGAAACGACAAGCGCCACCTAGCGAGTAGTTTTTGGTTTAACGAGAGTTTCGTTTGCGAAATCGGGCCTGGATGCGGTGAGGCGAAAGGGAGAAGAAACCCGGCCAACCGATGCAATTGTAACTTGTAGGCATTTTGGCGGAAATCTCGCCCGCCAGCCGCCGTCGGCTAAACTCACGTCGAGTTGGAAACATTCCAAAACATGAATGTCACTGAGTGGTTGATGGGACGGTGACGGGATGGCCACTACCAGATCTAAGTTGCTCCACGGATGCGGAATGGCCGTCGCTGAGCGACTTTGGTCCTCGATGCCGTATGTCCGGGAACGGCACTGGACGCCTGGTAATCTGTGGGTAAAGGTAGAAATGCCGGCATAATGGTGGGGGATGGGGGAAGCTGGGGGGACCGTCCACTCCTTGGCTTCGCTTTGAAGGGAACAGTCCAGCTGATGGCCGAGGCGACACTGCTGCGTATGTGCTGGACGTAAAGGCAGAGTCTGTACGCGTGTTGCATAAAGCAACTTGTGCAGAACCAAGCCATTTCGACCGTGGTGATGGTTGAGCTCGGTGGAATTGTAAAGGGACGCAGGAATAGCCAAGATAGGAGTTGTGGCTTTGACGGGTGCACAGGGACTCTAGCGGTGCCTTTCCCGAACTTGCTGTTTGCCAGGTGACGTGGACGGGACGTTGGATTTTCGTCCATCTCTTCAGGTTGAAGCCGAAACGGGCAACGGATGCGCCGATTGGGGTTGTATGGCGGGAAATGGGTACGGAGTAGAGGAGCTTCAGGTTGAGACGGGGGAGCTATGAGCGCCTGGTTCGGTGAATGTGAATAGGGTACAGGTGCTGACGTGTGCAAAGTATCGAAAAAGCCCCGAGGGCCGCGGCAACATCGGGGCAACGACAGAATGCTTACGACGGATTTTCGGAGATGCGATGTTGCATCGGTATGGGAAGATGAAATCCCGTCTCAATGATGAGGTGAGGTGGATTGGAGGATGCGATGAGGTTGCGGTGGTCACGTAGGATGAGGATGCACAAGTGGCACGGGATTCCAAAGTGGGATAGTTGGAAGGCACCAAGGGCACATGGCCGAGGCAAGGAGCACGGGCGGGAACAGCTCATGGTCGGCAAGAACCAAGCAAACCCAGAAATGAGGCAGGAGCTGGCGCAGTCGATGTACGGAAAGAGCTGATCACGACGGGCAGGAGCTGAGGTCGCAGCAGGAATGAGAGACACAGCCTTGTGTGGACGCAGTAGGTAGGTACCTCGAGATGCGGGTGCAGGCAGGGGCAGGTCACGGTGCACGGTGCACGGGATGCGCTTCCCTTTCCTTTTCCCGTCTGTCCATGCCACCAGTACGTACTTCGTACAGCGCACGGAAAGAACGAATAGGCATGAGGTAGGTACGAATACCTAGGCATTATTAGGTTGGAAAGAGAGATCCATGGATGGGCAATATCCTGTGAAGACGGTGAGTTTTAGGTACCTTACCCAGAGCCGGCCGGCCTTCAGCGCTTTGAACACCTACCTACTTTACTTACGGATACACCTGGTAGGCTGGTTCGCATAGCGCTCAGTCTCCCGCCCATCAGCAGCACCTCGGGATCGTATTGGTAATCGGCATGTCAGACTTTCATCCTGAAAGCTGGAGTGCTTCACCTGATGATGAAGAAAACCCAGCTCTGAGGAGACGAGATTAGCCTGCAGTTGCTCCTTGCTCCTTGCTCCTTGCTTGTTGCACGGGGCAGCCGCTTGCAAGGGACGCACCTGCCTACCGTTCTCGGGGTTCCCATGCCCTCTTTCCCTGCCACGGTCTGCCGCCAGCAACACCGGCATCTTGAGTACCATGATCATCATCGCAAGGATTGCTTAGCTGCTTCTCTTGAAAAATTACTCATATAGCGAGCGTCGCATCCGATGCCCCATGTGAAGCACGAGCCACGGGAAGAAATGGACCCCCTGTTTGTCCAATGAACAGCGATGGATGCTGATCCGTCCGCTGGAATGACGGGGGTACCTTGACTACGTACCTCGAGACACCTCATGAGTAAGCCAAGGTACGTTCCTGAGCTCACCGTCTCCAAGCTTCATCCAAGGGACTGTTGTCTCCCTCCTTCTCACCACCTTGCAGCCAACTAATCAACTCCGATTTTGAACCCTCGGGGGCCCGTCCAGAACTCCTTCGAGGCATCTGATCTGATCTCGCTGATCCAAGTCATCTTGAATCACTTCACGATCTCCAGGGGCGGTGAAACACCGCCGTTTGCGCGCTTCGCTGGCACCAACAACGGACCAAGGACGGCACCGACGACCATCTGGATCTCCGGCAGCAACTTGGCGGCGTATCTCGAGCGATAAGCATTCACACAGAGCGTCGATTCGAAATGCACATCTTCATGCCTGGCAAGCTGGCACGCTGGGTAGGGTATTGCCTACCCGTCCACCCAATCCTCGTCGTATGGCTGTCCGAGACGCTAGGCACCATTCCCTGTGTTCCCCTTCTGGGTTCTTGTGTTTTGGGAACAGGTCTACGTCCGTATTTTTCTTTTTCGATGGGACACCCGGCACTACATTCCTCCCTCTCCAAACTTTGTAGCCGACAGCGACAGAGACATGACCCCTATTTCCGTTGCCCATTGGATCGAATCTGGGCTGGCTCGTCCTTCCAGCCCATCTCGCAATCTCTTGTGAGTTGCAAACGCAGACGGTCTGCTGAGCCGAGAACACAAGCGCGAGACAGGTCTCGGCGCCATTGGGGGTCAGCTTGGTTCTCTTCACGGATGCATTCTCCCTACCTACCTACTTTCTCACGAGTCGCAGTGTGCATCCTAACACAATGGAGACCAGACTTTACAGTCACATGATGGCTTGGCGCTATCGAGATTGAATCTACGAAAACCCGCACCATGGGACGGATATGTTCAGCGCCATCTTGATATCGGTAGGGTCATTACATGCAACGCTACGGATACTAGGCAAGCTTTCGTCACCCATACACCATCACAGAAGAAATGTAAAGTCGGGCACCACCCTCGCTCGCGTCAGTCATCCTGTGGACCAACGATCCGAAAAAGCTCTGATCCCCGTCCGTTAACTTTTGCCCTTTTTACCCGCCTGCAGTGGCCTGCGGTATGGTATTAGGGTATGTGCCCGGGAATACGAGGACAAATTTACTCCCTTTTGGCTCTAGGTCTGACTCTTGAAATCCTTCAGACGAAAAACAAGACCTTGGTGTCTGTCCTTCAGGTGTCAATTGTCAGTTGGGCAACGCGCGTCATAAAGCCACGGAAAAGGAACAGACACCCCTTATGTGCCGCCCTCCGCCTCTCCGCAGCGTCGTGGCAGACCTTCGCCCTGGCCCTGAGTCTATTCCCAATCCCGATTCAGCCGAAGCCAGATATGGGCGCCTACCACGTAAGCACCTGAACCGGGCTCATTCTTGCCGCAGTCCTTGCTCAAACAGGGTAATTTGGTCGCCCACTGACCCTTGTCTAACGCTGCAATCACCATCTGCCGAGCATCGCCCAGATCTTGCCGGCCCAACATTCCCATGATTGGCCGACTGCATCGATTGCTCCCACCCGAGCCGTGCCATCCTGGTCGGCGATGGAAAGCTTAACCTTCATTCTGGGACTTGGACCATTGTTGTCGGTAAGCCATGTCGGGTTGTCCCTGCCAGTCAACCAACACATAACCCGCTCTGAGCAGTCAGGCGCACATGTTTGGGCTTTCTTGAACCAACTTACTGCCCAGCACGACACTGTTCGTCATTCATGCGCTTCCTAATTATCCATCTCGGTCATCATTCGACTCCGAGATCTCACAGCTTGCGGAGGTTAGGGAAACTGTAAAGATGCTACAAGCATTTCACACACCTGACCCCTAACATCTTTATAGTCGACGTTGCGCCAGCCGCCACGGGCAGCCGCTACTCAATTATGTCCTGGCGCTCCTATCGGTCCTGCGGGGGACCATTCGTCCGAATCCAATGCTGTCATCACGTCGTTCAAATACGCAGATGATTACTCTTCCTCTATTTCCATCTTCACTAGCCGTGCTCGACGCCCCTCCGGCTTAGCTTTGCTAAAGACCGAAACCGAGATCCTGCACGGTGAATACGTTTGCGAACGGACAACAGCTCCATTTCGGGGTAGCTCCAAATGTCTAATCCGCATACGCCGTTCGGCCATTCAGAGGGCAGCCAGCTTGTCAGGTCTTTGTCCTGTTGCAACCTGCAAGCCCTCTGACTTCGTTTGAGAAACCCGTTGCCCTCTCGCAACCGTCTCAACTTTCAGATGACGGTCTTATTTGCACCTCGGAGGGCTCTGGTAGGACTGCCTAAATTACTAGAGCAATCTGAGTTATCCCGTGGTCCCGAGGCGGCTCAAAATCCCGCGTTCGAACTCGAAGCTCGGAAATGTGGCCAAAATTCGAGGCTCAATAGACACGGCCTGGCCAACACCCAAGACTATGAGCCATCTCTATTCTCGCAACACGTTTCCGGGTCACAGCATTCCACACGTTACTTGTCGACATCATCACGTCCCTGCCTTGCAGCCCCTAAATTATACGTAAACTTGACTGACGCTTGTCAACAGGAGAAATTTGCCTACGGGCAGTTCGGTAAACCTCCTTGATTCTATCCACTCAGATGTCACTGACTTCGTTACTAGGTGACATTCTCCTTGTCACAACTCGACTCCCTGATACCGTGCCGTCATCTACGAGCAGCAAAAACTTTTACGTTCTCGCTGCTTTGAAGGAGGCGGATATCTGATCTTGAAAGCTTCGTTAAACATTCCCCAAGGGGTAATCTTGATACAACATCCGTAGGACGAGATACCTCTCTGCCGTCAAAGGGTATTTGGCGCGAACGTTGTTTCTTCTTGGCATGGATACGGTTACGTACAATGACCAGTCGCGCGCCTACGGATACCCGCGTGTAATCAGACGAACTTATTCTTGCCACAGCCACTATCATTTGCCGAGTCGAAACTATGCATCCACTTCTACCCGGGACATCTACCCGGGACATCTACCGTTTCACAAAGAACCCAGCACTCAAATCATCTTATAACTGGGCTCATTTGTAGAGGAGCTATGGCAACGCCATGGCCACTCTCATGACCAGGGAGATCATCAGATGACCGGTCACTGCCCTCTTTTTGCCCTTTTCTCTCGTTTTTTATGCCCCCCACGGAAAAGAGCAGCCAGTGTTACCGGGATGGTTCCTCTGAGAATAACGCCTTTTTGGGAACGGCTTCCGGAGACCGGGCTGGGGCCAACCCAGCCCTATGAATGGAGACCTCGAGATAACGGGGGAATCCCTGTGTCCATGACTGCTTCGGTAGTCGGAATGAGTCACAGACCTGTCGTTCGTGATGTCAGCCCTTGTCACGACCATGGTCACTACCCGAATCAACCGAGGCCGGAGGGCATGTTCGACGGAGTCGAGTCCGAACGAGAAAATTATCTTTGTTGCCTGTTGCACGGCAGCTATCAAGATGCCGAGCCTCGCTTTTTTTTCCGCGGCGCAGATCAGGCCCGGCATAGCTTTTGTATGCAATCGGTCTTTTCTTTAGAACTTGGAACTCATCATTCACATGATTGTGTTCAAGGGATGTACCACTTGTGATAAAGAAAGAGCCAATCTGAAATTCTAGTCTAGTATGCTGATGCGATATTGTTTCTATCGAAACGGCTCTATGAGATGCGTAGAGATGTTGAGAATTAGTGTAGGTGTTGTAAAAAGCAGAAATTCAAAACCTGAAATGCAATGAAGTGTGAGCTCGCTTGCTCAACCAGTGGAAGGTGGAAGCATTCTCTGCCGCCGTTAGCAAATCTCCAGCTAAATGACGATGTAACCTGCCCTTGTGGTAACCTCCTTGATGCTCATGCCTCAGATTCAACCTCTGGTTAGAGCCTCTCCGCTTCCTCATCTTCCTTCCTAATAACGGCCAGTCCCGTCCGGACCAGCTCCTTGTATTTGTGCGGCGCGGTCAACTTGATCAATTCCAGCTCACTGTATAGTTGAGTTCCATGCGCGTCATCTTGGAGGATGTGCGCGATTTCCTTTGACTTCTCAGCTTGAAGTTGGACAACATAGTTGTCTATCGTGTTCTCAGCCTTGATGACCACGGAGGAGGTGACCTGCGTCTGACCAACGCGGTGGACCCGGCCATCGGCCTGCTTTTCGGCCGACTCATTCCACCAGGCGTCTATGCGTATGATTTTGCTGGCGCAAGTTAGGTTTAGCGCTTATCCGCCTGTCTAGGATGAGATCTGGGGAAGCAAGTTAGAATGATGTAATATGGCGTTTGATGATTCATGTAGAGTAGGGGGGGCATACCATAACTTTGACATCCTTGTTTATCTAGAAGGCCGCGATAGCCTTGTTCTTCTATGCGGAGGTCACCTTGCCATTGAGATAAACGAATGGGGTTCCGAGGCTGTTGAGGGTGATTCCCATCGCTAACGCAGTCTTCGTAAACTCGTGGAAGACTACCAGGATGTCAGCTTGATGATTATCCATACTTGGCGGGGGCTGCCTGCTGGGAAAATGACTTCGTGTCAATGGCACTAAGCAACTTACAAATGATCTTCGGGCTCTGTAACTCGTCTCCGACTTGGATCCTCTCTTTCTGATACTCCAAGATGAGGTCTCTTGCCACAGTAAGCTTGGAACCCAAAGGCAGATAGCCCCCATTTTCACGCATGGCCAGCTTGATATAGGCCAGGTCTCCGTTTGTGAGTGTGGGCGCTACCCCATTGCTGTCCCAGCCGTACTTCTTGCCTAAAAACGTCTTCTTATTTTTTTCCCTGGAGGACTGCGCTGATTTTGCCGTGATCTTCTTCTTCTTCGCCGACTTACCAGAAAAAGTCTGGTCTGAGGGCTCTGCATGGGCGGCGGCCTCCTCTTCATCTAGGCGATCACACTCTGACTCCATGGTAGAGAGAGTCAAGACTCTCCGTACATCGGTCTCTCTGTCGTAAGGAAGGTTGCAACCTTTGTGCTGACAGATGTCGGCTTGAGCGCGGAAACGCCATGTCTTGGTACTGCAATCGCAGCAAAACGTATGGTCGCACTGGAGAAAGAGATTTTGTAACTTGTTAGTGTTCCGAGCTTTTGTACCAGGTTGGTATGGGGGAGAAATGAAATATCATCGCTACTCACTTTATCGATGATCCAGGCCTCCTTCATGCTCTCCGTACCACAGATGCCGCATTCTCTGTCATTCATGAGAATTCCGGATCAGGTATATTCAAGGAGGGATGACAGTGACAAGTGCTCTCCCGTTGGGGCGCCTAGCTCGATTGTCTTCAGGCCATTGCTTATGTGAGCGAGCTTTTCTTCGCCGAAGTCGGTCTGAAAAGCTCTCTCAATCCCGTAAGGATGAGAAATCAGCTGTCTTTGGCGAGACATATACATCGCTGATGCTGCTGCATCTGACTCGTTGTAGGCCAGTGTCATTTCACTGTTTAGTGTTAGACGCAGTCAAACGGAGAGTTGATTCTTTCGCGGATAAGCATCTGACTTACTCATAGAGAAATCTCTCCTGCTCGGAAATCTTCACCCACCTCACCTCCGACTTGAATGGCATCAGATCTTTCATGATTCTCTCCCTTAGGAATTTGTCGTCAACCGTCCTGTGAATGTTACTACCAGTTATCCAAGTTCTTCAGAAAGACTCAGTCTACTCACCTCCGGTAAGTGCAAGTGTTGATTAGAGAATCCAATGCAACGGAGGATCCCTGCAAAGTTGAGCCAAGTGTTAGCACATTTGCATTGCCTCACGATCAATGATGCGTAGGAATGCTGCGTGAACTTAGACCATTCAGGAAGGCCTTCTTGAATCCTTTGAGCTCGTCCATGCCTTCAACGCGTAGGACCTTGACGTAGGGAAATGTTTCTGCGGTATGTGTTATCAGAACCATCTCCTTTCGGGGACTGTGCCATGTTTGGATGTATTCTTACCGACTCCTCCGTTGATCAGGGGCGTGCCACTGATGAGCCAAACGTGTCTCATCGTTAGCGCATAGCAGGCTTTGAAGGCTGATTAGATTTCCCATCGTTAGTATCGACTCAGTGATTTCAAGATTTTGGAGAGATGGTGGCATAGTGCTTACTCTTGGTGGCGACGTTCTTCATCTCATGGGCTTCGTCGAATATGATTCTGAACCACTTCACGGAGAAGACCTCACCAGCTGCAGCTTTGAAGGCTTTGTCAAACTCTTCACCCTGGAACTCTTCCTTCAACTTCTTCATCGCGTCCTCGGAAGGGTAGTTGAGCAGTTCCTGATAGGTGGTTATGCTGTCAAACGAATGTTAGCATAGACACACACACTGGGGACCATAACTTACACGATCTTGTAACGCGATATGTCTCCACCAGAAACTGCGTGATGAAGTTTCTTGTAATAATATACTTCTTCGGGTCTGATGCAATCGACATGTTGTGAGATCTGTTCTTGCCATTGACGGGCAACAGAATCCTTGGGAACGACGACTAGCGTTGCCCCAGAGAATCCCTGAGAATCTGTCTCAGGAGGCGGATTACCAACGACACAGGCAAGGGACATGAGCGTCTTCCCCATGCCCATAGTGCCAGCAAGGACGCCTCCATAGGGTGGCGCCAGACCGTTTTCCCTCTTCACCATCCACGCGACAGGGTTGAGTTGCCATTCAAAAAGCTTCGTGTTTTGAGCCATGCCCTTCAGGCGGTAACGCCTGCTCTTGCTATCTTGGAAGCACTCTACGCTTCGGTAGCCGAAGATTCTAATGGCTTCTCCAAGATGCTTGCTCTGGGTACCGCTACGACGGTTATCCGTTCCGGCGTTTCTCTTTACAGAGATCTTTTTCTGCCTCTGTGCATTTGAGACTCTTGTCATTTGACTGACGGGAATAGGGTCGGTGAATGATTCTGGCGCATTTATCTCCCGCGTTCGTCTTGGCTTCTTCGCCTTAGGAGGCACAACATCGAGGTCCTCGTCATTGTACGTCCTCGTCATTGTACGTCCTCTTCTTCGAGAGTTCCTTCCGAATCTCAACTTTCAATTTTTCTGTGAGTTTGCGGTTGACCATTCTCTCAACATATTGTCGAGAGTTTCTGCTCCTGGCGATCGTCTTTTTCTTCGGCATGTTCGTACTTGCCTTCTCCAACGCAACGAATTCAGAGGGCCCGAATTCATCATCGGAGTCCTCTTCTTCATCTTCAGTCATAGACTCATTATCGTACTCCGAAGAGTGATGGTGAGTGGCCATGACACCACCATGCAAGTCGAAGGAAGCGTTGCTGTCCAGGTCTACAAACGAGGCGGAATCCATGACGACTCGTATGATGTTTGAGATACCTTGAGGTAGCAATGTTTGCCAAGCAGAGTAAGAATGGAACGGTGGTTCTTGCTCGAAGAAAGTTGAAGTTCAATGTATAAGGTCCAAGTGATGAAAGATTTGAAAGTGAGTTGACGGTTGAATGTAGAGAAGTAAAGTGCAAGATGAAGATGAAGTTGTATGAATCTAGTAGCTGAAGGAGCAGAATTGAGTCTGGTATTGATGTGTTGAAGTGAGATGAGAAAGCCGAACTGATGTTGGGTTGTCGGTGTGGAGGAGAGAAGAGAGAAGTGAAGTCAAGTGGTAGAAAAGAGTTGTTTATATAGACTTGAAGGTGGGAGGGCCGAGAGCAGTCCAGTCTGTGATGAGGAAAGAGCAATAGAACTGTCTGAGGAAGTAACTGCTTTGGAATAGAAATGCTTTAGGTTGAAAGAGCTATCGACGAATTTCACAATTTCGAGAGCTGGGAATAGCCTCAAGCTGCTCACCACGGTGTGGTGTGTGCACGGACAGGCTTGGCTCGGTGAGCTTCACCGAGATGACCACCCACCGCCCGTTTGGCAGAACAAATGCCCCACTAAATTTTCATCGACCCCACGCCCCAATGGCATTTTCCAAAGCACTTGCGACAGCAGATTTACGCCTTCTTCACTACAGCCAATTCAACACCGCCGCCATGTCTTCAAAATCCGGCAAAAATGGCAAGGTTGCCGACTCTCGTTTCTCAAACTTTGAGACCGACCCCCGTTTCCGACTTCCCTCGAAGAAGCACACTAAAACTAAGATCGATAAGCGTTTCGCACACGCACTTAAGGACGAATCCTTCACAGCCGGCCCCAAAGTCGATCGATACGGCCGCAAAGTCAAATCCGACAAGAAGAAGAAGGCGCTGAAGAACCTATACGAAGCGGAGGACGATGAAGAGGACTCGGACGGGGGCGAGGGCATTGAGGTCGAGGCCGACGATGTTGTCCAGCGCGAGCTGGCAAAGGCGGATGCCAAGTACGATCCTGCTCGCGGTGGCGGCTTCTCCGAGTCCGAGTCAGAGTCCGAATCTGAGGATGATGAGTCCGACGAGGAAGAGACGGCTGTGGCTGACCCCAAGGCTTCCGTGTCGCGCCTGCGCGACGAAGAGGCTCAGGTCGAAGAGGGCGAGGTCACGAACCGGATAGCGATCGTCAACCTGGACTGGGACAACATCAAGTCGGCCGATCTGTTTGCTCTTTTCCACAGCTTCCTGCCTTCAACTGGCGGGCGCGTCGAAAAGGTTGCGGTCTACCCTAGCGAGTTCGGCAAGGAGCGCATGCAGCGCGAGGAGCTGGAGGGACCCCCGAAGGATATTTTCAAGAAGGATGACTCTGAGGAGGAGAGTGGGGACAGCGAGGAGGAAGACGAGGCAATCAAGAAGGAGCTGTTGGAGGAGGGCGACGCCGACGACTTCGACCACGATGCGCTGCGCAAATACCAGCTGGATCGGCTACGGTACTTCTACGCCATCATGACCGTCTCGGATAAGGCGACGGCGCAGAAGCTCTACGAGGCGACCGACGGCACGGAATACCAGGCTTCATCAAACTTCCTCGACTTGCGTTTCGTTCCCGACGATACCACATTCGATGACGAGCCAAGGGACGAGTGCGACAAGTTGCCAGCGGGATACAAACCTGTCGAGTTCACTACGGACGCCCTGCAGCACTCCAAGGTCAAGCTCACCTGGGACGTTAACCCCGACGATGCCGCCCGCAAGGCCTCCATCAACCGCGCCTTCACCGGAAGTCGCTCGCAGATCGAGGAGAACGACCTGAAGGCCTACCTGGCCAGCGACAGCGAAGAATCTGGCGATGAGTTTGAGGGCTTCGACGATGAGGAGGCGGCCGAGGAGGAGGAGGAAGCAGCTGAGAAGCCCAAGCTATCCAAGAAGGAGCTCGCCCGTCAAAAGATGCGCGAGGCTCTTGGCCTGGGCGCCGAGGAGGAGAAGAAGGCGTCCAAGAACGCCCCCGTCGGCGAGATGGAGATCACATTCACGCCCGCCCTGACTGAGAGCAAGAAGAACCAGAAGCCCGAGGAGGAAGAAACCACAATCGAAAAGTACCAGCGCAAGGAACGCGAGCGTAAGGAGGCCAAACGCCAAGCCGCCCGCGCCAGACGCGAGGGCAAACCCGCCACTCCCGCCACCGAGAAGGCCGACGAGGTCGAGGTCGCGAGCGACGACGGCGCAGAGGACCTCGGCTTCGACGACCCCTTCTTCACGACCGACGAGCCGACCATGACTAAGACGTCCGTCCGCAAGGAGGAGCGTCTCGCGAAGCGTGCGGCGCGCGAGGCTGAGGAGAAGGAGAAGGCGGAGCACAAGAAGCAGTTGGAGCTTCTCATGACGGACGACAAGACGGATGCGGCGGAGCACCTGGATCACTTTGACATGAATGAGATTATCAAGGCGGAGAAGGCCAAGAAGAAGAAGGGCAAGGCTGCGAAGCGGTTGGCCAAGAAGGCGGTCGCCGACGGCGAGAAGCTTGGTCTGCAGGAGGACTTCAAGATGGATGTCGGTGACGACCGTTTCAAGGCCGTGTTTGACAGCCACGAGTTCGCTATCGATCCCAGCAACCCCAAGTTCAAGGGTACCGAGGCGATGCAGAAGCTGTTGGAGGAGGGTCGCAAGAAGAGAAAGGCTGGCGGGGATGAGGAGGATGTGCCCGTGGAGAGAGAGGGCAAGAAGGCCAAGAAGGTTGGCGGCGGTGACGACGACGAGGAGTTGAGCAGGCTTGTTGCGTCGGTGAAGAAGAAGGCGGCGAGCAAGGCTGGCAAGAGATGATTGTGGTTGTTTCTTTGTTCTCGCGCGTTGGTGAATGTTTTGAGGCGTGCTGTGGTCATACCCTAAAATAGACGTCCTACGAAAGTTATTTCAATGTACAAAGCACATGTTCATAATAATGGGGGAAAAGAAATGCGCATCAAAGAAGTTGATCTCTTGATTTTGCGATAATGATTTGTGAGTTGCTTCCATGGGTATCTCATGCTCGCGGAAAGAACCATCCGCCCTACACAGCCAGACCGTTAGTTGCTTGGCGTTGCTTGACCCAGTCTCCATCTGCCCATTTTCCGTTCTCATTCCCCTTCGTCGTCGACTTCCTGTATCTGCAGTCTCATTCTGCTGGCCTCTTCACGATAGTCCCGTATACTCGTAGCTCAAGATCCGAAGAAGACGCGGACGGCAAGTTTGACGAGGCGAGGCGTGGCAATTCTGCAAGTGATGAGGAAGTTGTCAAGTGTAGGCTTGGGTCGGGGTGCTCGCATAACGACGGATTTTTCTGCCTGACTTTCGACATCGTGGTCGTTGAGAGGGAGGCCGGTGTGAGGGTCCCACTCCATGTCCTCCTCGTAGATGGAGCCGAGCATACTTGAGATCCAGAGGAGGTTGGCAAGTATGAGGGTGAGAAGGACGCCTCTCAGGGTAGCTTCGTTGTGTGAGAAGGTGGGCGGCATGGCTGATTTGGAGTGCGGTGATGGGTGCAGAATTATATTCCGGTTGAAGTCGAATATTGAGTTTGAAGGGTTGAGGAATTGTGAGACGACATATGTAGTGAAGGAAGGGGCGGGAAGGAGCCAGAAAGAAACGAGGTCTCATGATGTGGCTTGTTACGAATACATCAAGTCTTTATGTGGACAGCTGACAGATGATACTGGAAGGGTCAGGATGATAATAACTAGGCAGCATCACATTGCAGACTACGTAGGCGGACAGGCTGCATAGGTGCTGTGGGAGAAACATAGGTGCATCATGGAATCTTGCTCTATTTTGGATGATTCAGCAGAACATAGCTGCTTTGACTTTTGTCTATCATGACTTGAACAACGATGAAAGAAATTTACCGAACAACGGCATCCTTCAAGCTGGGAACAGTGCAAAGACCGCCAGACTTGGTCTTGAGCTTGCCAAGACCCCGCTTTCCAAGAGCCTCAACAACACCGGCATCGAAGGCAACGGCCAAATCGTCGGTGGTGGTGAAGCCGGGCTGGAAAGTCTCCCAGATCTTCTTCTTGGGGTTCAACACACCCTCGGGTTCGCCCTCCCAGCCCTCGAAGTTGATGCGCTCACCTGCCTTGGCATCAGCGGGGGGAGTGACGAGCTCGACAGGCCCCTTGTGGTCGTCGACCTCACCCTCCTTGAGCTTGGGGGAAGCGGCCAGAACCATGGCGCACGACTTGATGCCGCGCATCTTGACGGGCTTCAGGTTGCAGACGACGACGACCTTGCGGCCCTGCATGGACTCGAGGGGCACCAGGCCGTTGAGGCCAGAGCAGACAGTGCGGCAGACCTGACTCTCGTACTCGGTGGTGTCATCGTTGGGCTCGTCACCGACGGCAATGGTGGAGACATAGAGGGAGTCGGCCTCGGGGTGCTTGATGGCCTTGAGGATGTGTCCGACACGGAGGTCGATGAGGGCAGGGGAGAGAGGGGCGGCAGCAGGAGCAGCCTTCTGGGGCTTGGGAGCCTTTGCCTTCTTCTCCTTCTTGGGCTGGCCCTCGCCGGCACCAACAGCGGCCTTGACCTTGTCCTTGGCCTCAGCGACGACTTCCTTGACCTTCTCGCCAGCGCTCTTGTCCTTCTTGGTCTCCTTGGTGCGGTCGGGCAGGGCCTTGTCACCAGCAGCAGCACCGCCAGCGGCGGCAGCGGCGGCCTTCTCCTTCTTGAGACGCTCCTTCTCGGCCTTGGCGTCAACGGGAGGCTTCACGTAGAGAACCTCGTCGAGGTCAACCTTGACCTTGTCGTCGGCCTTGATATCGGCGGCGAAGGCGGGGAAGTTCTGGACGAAGTCGAGGTGGCGGACGATGTTGGGGTAGCCCTTCTCGCCGGTGCGCTGCTCGGGGGACCAGGAGGCGACGAGGGGACGGACGGCGGAGTAGAGGGCGGTGTCGGCCTTGCTAGGCTTAGTGCCGAGGAGGGTGGTGCGGGTGCTCAGGTGGGAATTGAGGGTATCGAGGATGGGGGAGGCCTCGTCAGGCTTGGACTGCTGAAGACGAGTGGCAGTGGTGAGCCATTGCTGGATCTCGGTCTCCTCGTTGGGAGTGTAGGTGGTGTTGGAAGCCATTCTTGCGAATCGGAACGGGGAGATGCTGCGCGAGCTGGGTCGGATAGCGCGTAGTGAAGAAAGCATCAGGTGTGAGTCTGAGGTGGAATTTTTACCCGTGTGGCTCTGCGGGGTAAGTGGCAGCAATGGTGTGGTGGGAGGATTGCCCCTCCACGCCGTTCACCTCAATTGAATGCCTCAGGCCTAAGCCACCGGTGATCGGTGAGAGCTGGCATGGCCTCTCGGTGTGCACAGGTGAGCATCCTATGGTCTTTTCGTTGAGACCGTTTCACCACCTGCATATCTGATGCGGCTAACATGTTGTCGATGAAATTGTGCTCATCATATTCATGCATTTCAGTTGCGTCCTCAGTCGATTGCCCTCGCCCTGCCACAACTTGGAATTATTCTTCGAGATTTGAACCTAGCCGCAATCCATCTCTCAGTCTCCTCAAAAGGTGAGAATTGCATTGCCATTTGGGTGGCATCATTTTATGCAGAAAGAGATATGCAAGACAAGGGTCTAAATTGCATCGCTGGGACTCCGATCTCCTTCCGATCCTCGACTTTTTTTCATGACGACGGCTGCCTGAAAGAAAAAGAGAGTAAAAGGAAAGAGAAACCGGGGCTTTAATTGGAATCGACACGAGGTCACGTGCTAGCGCTATCCCTTCGCGTCGTGCCCCTGCAATTTTCCTTGACGCCCCGCGATCGCGCCCTTTCGCAGCTGAAGCCCGGCCGTTCCTGTCTCCTGCCTCCTGTTTCCCCTTGCCACCACATCCTCACTCAATTATCGTATGAATCTCACTTTCTCCTTGAAGATTACCTCAGCTTGACCTTCACAGCCTCATCTCACCAGTTTCCTCTTCTTGCATCTTCATCTACCTCAATTTCACTATCTAACGATTTCGAGTCTTGGAGGCACAGACCTCAACCGCCAAATTTAGCGTCTCCCCTTGCATCATCGATTTAAAGCCCTTTTTGTCTCCCGGATTTCACCACCAACTACTGGTACCACTCACTCACTCACTCCCAAAACCGATATCACCGGGGAGCCATCAACTTCAACCAAATTCACGACCTTAAATTGACATTCGCTCTCTGGATTCATCCTCAGCTGCTTACAAAATGAGCTCTACGGCTTCGGACGTGGAGTCCATCATGTCCGCCAACCAGCGTCTTGATACGAGTGCACCTTCCTCACCACCCCGGGATGAGAGTGTTGAGCCCATGGATTCTGAGTTTGCTATTATAATGAAGGAGGAAGCAAAAGCAAAAGCAGACAACAGCAAGAAAGACAAGGCCGCGCAGAAGTCTCAGAATGTGAAGAACCGCCGAAAGCGCAAGAATGAGCTCTCCAAGGAGGAGAAGCTCAAGTTAGCCAAAGAGCTGGATGAACTGCTCAAGAAGTCCCAGGCATTCAGCAAGATGCTCATGGAGAAGACCCAAGCCATGGGTCGGGTTGGCACCAGCTTGGAAGGAGAAGCGTTGGGTGACCACAGCCTGTCCCTCACTGCCCAACCCAAGATCATGAAGGGTGGCACCATGAGAGACTACCAGTTGGAAGGTCTCACTTGGATGAGAGAGGTGTGTCTGCAGGGCCTGTCAGGTATTCTCGCTGATGAGATGGGTCTTGGTAAGTGCTTCTCCCCCATTATCTTTGGACAACTTACACACCTCTTCAACTCAATGCCGCGCGCACTAACAATTTTCTAGGGAAAACTGTTCAGACAATCTCGTTGATTGCCAACTTGAGAGAGGAGAACTACCTTGGTCCCCATCTCATCGTCGCACCTTTGAGCACACTCTCAAACTGGATGGACGAATTTGAGAAGTGGTGCCCCACCCTCCCAGTCGTTCTGTTCCATGGAGATGCCCAAAAGCGCGCCGAGATCAAGAGGAAGCACCTGACACCAAACATGAAGAACGGCAACCCTACCAAGAAGTTCCCTGTGGTGTGCACATCCTACGAGATGGTCCTAAGAGAAAGGGCAACCTTGAGCAAGTTCAACTGGGCTTTCATTATCATTGTAAGTCTTGTTGCCCAACACGCAGGCTATCAAACCTACTTGCTCACATGTCCTAGGACGAAGGCCACCGCATGAAGAACTTCGAGTCCAAGCTGTTCCAAGAGTTGGAGACTTTCGCATCCGCGACCCGTATGCTCATTACCGGCACCCCCCTGCAAAACAACCTGAAAGAACTCTGGGCACTTCTCCATTTCTTGCTGCCCATGATCTTCAAGAGCTACGAGGCTTTCGAGGCGTGGTTCGACTTTGACGACCTCCAGGATGAAGAGGGCACCCAGGAGTTCATCGCCGACCGCGAGAATCAGGAGCTAATCAAGAAGATTCACGTCATCCTCCAGCCGCTCCTTCTTCGTCGCGTCAAGGCGGATGTTGCCGCGCATTTACCGAAGAAGCGAGAGTATGTCCTCTTTGCGCCCATGACAAAGGAGCAAACCGACATGTACAATGCCATCAACGACAAGGATGTCGATACTCGCGCCTTCCTAGAGAAGATGGTCATCGACCGTCTGAGTGCCATTGCCCCTCCTATTAAGAAGGAGAAGGTTGCGGTCCTCGAAATTCCGATCAGAAGCAGTCCTAGAAAGGCAAAGGGTGAGGCAGTGTCGGGGACCAAGAAGCCCAATGCGTTCTCGGCAATGATGAATCTGGCTAGAAGCTCATCTTCAAAGCCCCAGGAAGCCGCCAAAGCGACGTCAAAGGCCTCGTCAAAGGCATCCTCCCGCGCTGGCTCCAAGCGCAAGGAAGCGCCTCCCCTTGAGACTCCGCAATCCAAGAGCGCCAAGTCATCGAGACAGTCTACCCCCTCGACCACTACACGAGGCCGAGTCACCCGCGGCCGTCGCCGCTATGTCGATTCCGATCCTGACGACGAAGATAAGCTTTCCGATGACGAGTTCGAGGCCAAACTTGCCAGAGAAGCTGAGGAAGCCGACCAGAAGGACGATGACTCTGCCGCCGTTCTTTCCCCCGAGGAACAACATCAGGTCAACATTCTCGAGCAGGCCAAGAAGGAGATGTCGACTAAGAAGCTGGGAAACCCAATCATGCAACTTCGTCTTGTGTGCAACTCCCCGCACAACTTCTTCGATCCATGGGGCTACGAGGGTAGTCCTCCCGTCGATGAGAGTATCGTTACGTCATCTGGAAAGATGTTGATGCTGGATCGCCTCCTTCCTACTCTGTTCGAAAAGGGGCACAAGGTCTTGATCTTCTCTCAGTTTAAGACCCAGCTTGATATCCTCCAGGACTACTGTGAGCTTCGGAAGTGGAAGGCCTGTCGTTTGGATGGCTCCGTTTCCCAGGAGAGCCGTCGCGACCAAATCAAGGAATTCAACGAGAATCCCGTGTTCAAGATCTTCCTGCTTTCGACGCGTGCTGGTGGCCAGGGCATCAATCTCGCGAGTGCCGACACTGTGATCCTCTTCGACAGTGACTGGAACCCGCAGCAGGATCTCCAGGCGCAGGACCGCTGCCACAGAATCGGCCAGACTCGCCCTGTCATTGTGTACCGTCTAGCCACCAAGGGCACCGTTGAGGAGGAGCTTCTCATGAGTGCTGACGCCAAGCGTCGTCTCGAGAAGCTGATCATCAAGAAAGGCTCTTTCAAGACGATGGGGCAGAAGATTGACTTGAAGGAAGACCTCGACGGCGAGACGCTCAAGTCTCTGCTGCTGAAGGATGGCCAGATCTTCAAGTACTCTGGCGACCACGAGGTTCTCAGCGGCAAGGATCTCGATGTTCTATGTAACCGGTAAGACAATCAATCATCGTATTTCTAGATCGGGACATTGCTAACATGCCTTACAGAAGCGACGAGGCCTACTCCAAGGCAGCTGAGGGCACCGCGAACGCCGACGGCTACAAGGTCATCGAGACCAGCTCCGACGGCATCACCATTGCTGGTCAGTCGACCGCTTAATGTGTTGCAGCCTGTCCCGTTATTGCACTTTCAACGTTATATCGGCGACACCGAGAATCGCTCGACAGGCCGTGTACACCGCTGCCATGGCAACCCTACCGATGTCGACAGAAGCCAGCATCATGAGGGATAGTAAAGCCCTGTGAAGAATTGTCTACAAAAAACCTCATCAGATGAAGCATGATGAAAGCAAGAAGTGGGGATACTTGCTTACAAAACCAAACGGTGGCCGCGGATCAAATTACTTTGCTAGAATAGAGGGCCATCCTCATATACCATGTATTCTGGATCGGGTTGGCCTACTCTCTGGATGGCTCCCTTTTCTCAGTCTTGTACTATTTACCCTTGGCGTTTGATACCCAGGACTGATCAAACGATTTGCATTAGATAGTTTGAAATAACACCAATACTTGTACTTTCTTCTTGGACTATGAACCCGTGAAACGTGTGTACGGCAGAAGCTACTACTTACTTGAGAGGCGCGCAAGGGGACAGAGCTGCATGAAATGAGCACCGCGGCGGGCATCCTCGGCCTCTTACATATTCATATCCTCCCAGACACTCTGCCTAACCACAAAGCCCTCAATCCAATGACCCACTTCGAAGATGAAATCCCCAGCGTATAACAGGACTTCTGCGGTTAGATGTACGACGAGACGTTGGACGTACGGACGGAACGTCTCGACGATCATGGTGTAGAGCATGCAAACTAGACTGGTACAAGCAAAGCCGGCGACAAGTTGAAGGAACAACCACTCGGTGCAAAGCAACTTGCGATCGATGGCAGCCACGGTCGTATCAGGGACCTCTTCGAGAAAGATGTGTAGAGCAAGGAGAAACTTCTGGTTTGATTCGCAAGGGTGTTTGGGGATGTAATCCGACACCGCCCATACGAATCGCGACGTCTTTGCGACAATCCAGCGAAGGACGAGGAAGAACAGGTGCACGACGATATGGACTGCCAGGCTGAGAAGCAATGGCATATGCAACATCCCAATGACGAAGCCGTAGAGATGGGCGAGGTTATCGAAGTACCTATTGTCAGGGAAGATAATCCAGCAAGCAATGATGGGGCCAAAGAGGTTGGGGAAGAGGAAGAAGCTGCGGAGGTAGCCCTCGACGAGCCAGCGGTTGAAGGTACCTATATGCGAGAAGACTTCGTCGTTCTTCTTGATCTCTTGGAACTTGCTTCTGAGGGGCGTCATTACGATGGCGGCATTTAGTGTGAGGGAGAAGTAGATTGAGGCGGCGGCGAAGATGTGGTAGGCCATGGAGAGGTCTGCGCGGTAGAAGACGGTTTCGAGGGGGGTGATGGAGAGGGTGAAGATTGCGGCGAGGAGGGAGGGGGGCCACATTGTGCGGAGGGCGAGGGAGAATGGGTGTGTTGATGCTATCATGTTGTTGTTACCTGGTCTTCAAGTGGGAGATGATGGGTTGTCTGGGTCTGACGGATGACTTTGGTCGTGGTTGTAAGTCTGGTATCTGAGTATAGATGGATCTGTATCGTTGGAAAGAGTATGCTACGAGAGCTTTTGCTCCTTCGATTGCAGATTGTCTCATGTATATGAAATGTCTATTGACAAAGCATCTAGCCATTGCTGTTATTCCTGAATCTCTTTGGTGTTCAAGCATGAGATCAGAGCAAGCCGGACAAAGCTGTACACGCTCGGACCCTTGAGGTGACCCCTTTGATGCCCTCGATGAAGGGATAACTGTGTATCTCACAATGACTTGGAAGATCGATGAAACCATTTCCTTGCTTGACTAAATGTTCCCTGAGAGGATGCTGTCGGGGGATACCCACCCAACCCCGGCAACCCACCAACACCAGTGACGAGAAAGTCGGGGAAGTATCGCCGGAGTTATGCGGATGTAGCGGCCGACGCGGCCGCGTGCCCGGATATAAGTATCATTCGCGGTCCAACACCACCGACCTGCTTCTTCAACGTGTAGATAAGCTAATAACTCGTTGAATAATCCCAAGATGTTCAACTTCAATTCGATGCCGAAGCAGTTGGAAGCATGCGTTTGACTAAGCATGAGTCGTTGCCTTTGACACGGAGTCCTTGGGCATGCCGTCCAGCACTCCTAGTCCATATATGATGCCAGCAATGAGGTCAAGTTTGCGGAGTTTAGCTCATGACCTCAGGGATCGTGAAGCTGTGGGTCTGTGGATTGTTTCTTCGATGCCAACGACGAGAACTCAAGCGAGCAATTCTCACGAGAGAGCAATGGAGTCTATAAGTGACCATCGCTGTCAACGATGAAAGGTCTCGTTCTGAAGCAAGCTCAACACTCTCATCAGACCAAGCATCACAGGATCCCAACTACCTTACCTTCGACAGAACAACACCTGAATCACCAAAATGGCACCTCCAACAAGCCTCCCCGCTCGCCGCCTTGGCAAGACCGGCCCTGAGATCACCGCCCTCGGTGTAGGACTGATGGGCCTCAGCGTCGCCTACGGCAAACCAGGGTTCGTCAAGTCTCATCCCTATCAGACCTTTCAACTCGATCACTGAGGACAACTTGACTAACCCCGTATCTTCTATAGATCCGACGAAGAGCGCCTCGCATTCCTCGACCGCGCGTGGAAGCTCGGCGCCACGAACTGGGACACGGCCGACGCCTACGGCGACAACGAGGACCTCATCGGCAAGTGGTTCGCGCTGCACCCCGAGCGCCGCGCCGACATCTTCCTGGCGACCAAGTTCGGCTTGCGTGGGGAGATCAGGACCGACGGAACCTACAGCGTGACGATCAACAGCTCGCCCGAGTACTGCCGCGAGGCGTGCGAGCGCAGCTTGAAGAGGCTGGGCGTTGAGAGTGTTGATTTGTACTACGTCCACCGCCTGGATGAGACTACTTCCATTGAGAAGACGATTGAGGAGATGGTCAAGCTGAAGAAGTGAGTTTGAAACTGGACGTCATGTTCCTCGAGATGATGCCATGCACCTTTGATGGCTCCAGTTTGCTGACACCTTGCGCGAAGCGAGGGCAAGGTCAAGGCCTTTGGCATCTCTGAGTGCTCCTCCAAGACTCTCCGCCGCGCCTACGCCGTCCACCCCATCTCGGCCGTGCAGGTAGAATACAACCCCTGGTCCCTCGAGATCGAAGGCCCCGCCGGCACAGACCTCCTCAAGACGTGCCGCGAGCTCGGCGTCACGACCTTCGCCTACTCGCCGCTTGGCAGAGGCATTATGACGGGCCGGTACAACTCGGCCGACGACTTTGAAGAGGGCGACTTCCGGCGCCAGATGCCGCGATTCATGGGTGACAAAGTCAACAAGAACACGCAGCTTGTGGAGGAGTTTGCCGCCGTCGGGCGCGCGAAGCACGGTTGTTCTGCGGGGCAGCTTACACTTGCTTGGCTGCTTGCGCAGGGCGAGGATGTTATCCCGATTCCGGGGACGAAGAAGATTCAGTACCTGGAGGAGAATATGGATGCGTTGAAGGTTGTGTTGGGTAAGGAGGAGGAGAAGGAGTTGAGGGCTTTGGTTGATGCTGCGGATGTGCAGGGTGATCGGGGCGCGGCGTTTGGCAACTACTCTGATTCGCCTGCTCTCTGAGGATGTCTCTCATGGAGGTGATGCCGCAAGGGTGATGATGGCGGCGGGGGTGTCTCGGGAGTCGGCGTGGGTCCCCGGCCCCAGCTTCCGAAGCCCCGAAACCTGGGAAAGAGGGCGGAGGGCTGTGATCAAAAGCTACTAGATAAACAGCATCATTTGAAACTTCCAAAAGCTCGACTCCTTTCACGAGATATGTGTACTGGCGATACGGAATCCGCTTAAATCATGATGGCGCCGCAGGTAAGGATTCCGCTAAGCCAGTTCCCCTCGGGGAAGGGGGCCGATGCCGGCTTGCTTTCGGAGATCGGAGTGGGTCACCGACACGCCGTTGATAAGTGGCTGCGTCGGCGCACGCGCGTTTAGGCCCGTCAATCAGTTGATACCGACGTTCATCTTATCAGTCTGAAGACGGTTCAACAACTGTTGCTTCATGAAATTGCTACTAAATCTCGCCAGACTACCGCTTGATCGTACTTTACCTGATTTGACGAATCTCTTGCCATTCTTAGAGACAATCTTCTTGAAGAATCCGCAACTTCCCATAACCAAGTATGGCAACCATCTACAAGACCGGCGAGGATGCTCGACTAGCATGCCGCTCCGGTACCTTTGCCTCAACCACAGCCGGCCAAGCACCAACATATCTCCAAGCAAACCTCATCGTCCTTCCACGACGGTACGCCGATGACTTTCGTCTCCTCTGCCACCGTAACCCAGTACCGTGTCCACTTCTCGCAGAATCAGTAACTCCCGGCGACTTCAGCAAGCTCAAGTCCTACGTCAGATCACCGGATGGCGAGAAGATCCTCCCCGTGGCCACAAACATTGATCTCCGCCACGACTCGCCCCGATACCGAGTCTACGAGGATAGCAAACACGTCCCGGTAAACGACGTCTGGGAGCCCGTGAACGTGGAGGATAAGTGGCTTGACGGCGACCACGTGGGCTTCTTGATAGGCTGCTCCTTCAGCTTCGAGAGAGCCCTCAACGAGTCTGGACTTACGCCGCGACACATGACGCATGATCGCAACGTGCCCATGTATCGTACCAACATCCCGCTCTGCGCGGCGGGCGTCTTCAAGGGAGCAACGTATGTGGTCTCTATGAGGCCGTACAAGGTGCCGGAGATTGAGAAAGTGAGGGATATCACCAGGCCTTTTGTCGCGACACATGGGGAGCCAATCGCGTGGGGATGGGACGGTGCGGAGAGGATTGGGGTCACAGACATCACGAAGCCTCACTGGGGTGACCCAGCCCTACAGCTGGATGGCAAATCTGTGTTCGGACCCGATGATGAGGAGTACGTGCCTGTCTTCTGGGGGTGCGGGGTCACGCCACAAGAAGCTGTGATGAGAGCCGATATCAAGGGCACGGTGATGGGACACGCGCCTGGTCATATGATCATCATGGATGTAAGAGAAGATGAAATCTTTCCCATCTCATAGCGATGAAGAGCTGTGTCAGCACATAAGATCATGAGTCATTCAGGGGATTCTTCATAGTGATACTCAAATTGAATGTTCTCTCTGGATGAATAAGCGTCGAAGGCAGAACGAAGGTTGTAAGATCTATTCCAGGTCGTGTGTCGAGGGATGTCTAGCCAAATTGGACAGATCCAATCGACTGAGACTCATCTTTCTCACCCCGCGATGCAAAAGGGACTTGTGAGCAATCGGATCAATTGAACCGGCCTCACTGAATGCCTCTAGACGACTACAATGTCTGCGCGAACAGCTGTTGGCCTCGTTGTCATCTAGTGAAAGACCTTTGAATTGCCTGGCTTGTGCTCAGAGAAAATGTGGCCCAAGTCCAGGAGAGTGCGTGAAAGACGCAAGAAACAAGGAGCCTTGTAAGCAAGACAACACAGATAACCTGCGCCAAAGACGTGAAAGATGGAATGAAGAAAGCAATCGTACAATGGACGACAAGACTGCCCAAGAACCTGGACTCTGGTATATGTATAACTTTGGCATTCAAGAAAAGATGCTGTGTATTCGACTCACAAGAATCCACCGCCAGCATATTCCAACACCTCAAGCAAGCAACTCAACCAGACCTGATTGATTCTCAAACCAAGTTTCTAACCCACATTCCCAACGCCAGTTTCAACTTCCAATCGATTTCAATAACATCTTCCAGCGCTTTCCCGTGCGATCTCCATCATTCACTTACTCTTCAGCGCTGACGTGTATTAGCAAACAACTAGATGGGTCCTAAGAAGAACACTGGCGCTAAACGCCCCCGGAGGGCTCCCGACCCGGGAGTTACTCGTCGACAAACTCGTGGTCAACGACAGGAGGACCTCTGGGAAGGACTCACCGATAGAGGAGAGGCATATGACGCCCAAGGCAACCATGTGTTAGTGCGCCCGGTGCGCCAGCGTCGAGGCACACAGGAGTCGGCGGCGCATCCTCCTCCTCTTCCTTGTCCGCCACGGATGCCTTCTCCACCAATTGCCTCATCGGATGATGAATCTTGTGATAAAGCTGGTGACGAACCTGAGGCTGGGCCTGACGAGGAATCTGAGGCTGGACCTGGCAATGAATCTGAGGCTGGACCTGGCAATGAATCTGAAGACAAATCTGGTAATGAACCTGACACTGGATCTGGCGATGAACCTGCCGCTGGATCTGGCGATGAATCTGAGGCTGGATCCGGTAATGAATCTGAGGATGGGCCAAATGCTGGACCTGAAGATGCACCTGATGATACTGCAGGTCCTTCATCGGCTCCCACGTCGCCAAAACCCCCTCCGAGAAAGCCCCTTCCAACTGAAAGACCAAAGAAGATCACGATCAAGTTGAACCCATCGAAAACCGCAACGGCGCCAGCTCCAGACACACAAAGCGGTACTGAGAGCGATGATTCAGACTCTCCCATCGACACATCCGCGGCCGAATCCGACAGCGATGCATCCGGCGACGTCAGTGATGAGGAAAGCCCGAAGAAGAAGAAGACAGACAAGGGAAAGCAGAAGGCAACAAACAACAAGGCAGACACCGACTCTGATCCTGAAGTCACCGAAGTCAACTCTGATCTTGAGGAGCCCGAAGAGGAGGTCAGTCAGGACGACAGTGAGGAGCAGAACGACAGCTCTCGGAGGGACGAAAGCAGTGACCCAGAAGGTTCACAGAATGGCCGCCAGATTACAGCCGGCGGGGTCACGCCGCCAAGAGAATCAACTCCCGAATCGGACGGAGGAAATTCCGGGCACATCTCCACCCCTTCGAAGACATCTCAAGATAGAAAGGGAAGAAAGAGCGATGATCCCATTCAAATAGACAGCGGCGGGTCGGAGCAGAGTGATGTTGACTCTGAACAACGGAGCGAAGAGTCTCTTCAAGAAGAAGATGGAGAGAATCCTGAGCAGGAGGGGGACGAGGAGTCTAGCCTGTATCCAAGCACTATTGTCCACGATGACAGCGATGATGAAACGGAAATGCTGGTTTATGATAGGCCTGACCCAGACCAGACCATCGACTATGGAGACAACACTCTCAACCTGACGGACTATCCGAGCTCGGTTGTCGAAGGTCCCAACCGGAGTGGAGAGTATGACGGAAGCGACGAGGGCGGCGACAACGAGTATCGTGACCAAAGTAGCTACGGCAGAGGTGGCTATGGGGACAACGATGATCGCGACGATGATTCTAAGATCCACCTCCCCAACTACACGATGTTCGATCCCGACGACAGCGAGGGTCAGCCTGAAATGGGCCGCGGCCAAGGCAGCGAGTCGAATCTTTCAAGGCAGTCGTCGCCGGGCGGTGTCTCGCCAGGTTTCCCTCGACACAATCGGTCGCCCAGCCACTCTCCAGACCCATCTGCCGGGGGACAGCAACTGCCGTCTGGCTCGAGCGGTGGGCAGGGCTCTACAGCTCAGGGCCGTAAAAGCAACCAGTCCCAGGGATCTTCTAGCGGCAACAAGGGTTCGGCGTCAGGAGGCGGAAACGGCTCTGCTGCAACGAAGACGAAGAGTGCCACTGGAAAGAGAGGCAGGCCTGAAGATCTTTCCGCAGACAGCGAAAGCAGGCCACAGAAGCGACAAAGGGAGGACTTGGGCAAGGCTACGATGCCGACGATAAGCAACAAGATTCGCTGCGGTTACCGGCCTTACCCACGCCCTTTGGAGTCACAACCTCAGACATCAGACAAGCGAGCATCAGCTAAAAGACCAAGCAGCTCGCTTGACGAGACAGTAGTGAAGCCTGGGAAGAAGACAAGGCTTGTATAAGGGAAAATTGGAAGAGAGCTAGAAAATTGACTGGATGTTTGAATGGCATAGTTTTCAGACTCGTAGATTTGGTTCGAATTGACACTGCCCTATTGAAGCATTATCGGGCTAGTGTGAACATGTATCATGAACGCGTGTCTTACCACCTGGTGATGCTTCCGGTGTTCAGAGCTGATCGGCTGATGGCAGAATCTGGAGCAGATCGTTCGAGATGCTGGAGGTAATCAGCAGAGCGCGGACCGACATGACTTCTCCCCAAAGCCAGTCCGTACGATGGTCGTGTCAGACGCAATCGGCGCATGAGCGCAACTTCTCTTCGTTGTATTGGCGTTGGAAACGCTGGGTATCATAGCATATCTTCGTCTTCGTCATAATCGCCATCCCCGCTGCCTCCTTCCTCCTCTTCATCACGCCTGCTTGCTTCCGCACTGGCGCCAATCTTCCGTACACCTTCTATGACGCCCAGTAAGAAGCCGCGGCTCTCGGCCAGCTCCATCGCTCCAACTCCACGCAAACTCATGACACCGCCTACGCCGTCGGAAAGATCCTGCGTACTCTTGCGCATCTTGGCGGATCGTACCTCCTGAAGGTCCTTGAGGAGAGACCTCACCTCGGAAGTGGAAGGTATATCGTCGGATGCGTGGGCGAGCAGGACCTCGGCGAGCTCGAACCAGTGGTAAGGGAGCGCATTCGGAGGCGCATCGGCTGTACATGACGGCAGGAACGGCGGTGACAGGGTTTCGTCGAGGGTCGCGCCTAGTCTTCGGGCATTGCCTCTTGCGTCGCCTCGTGCAGGAGGTGGCGGGGGAGCAGAGAAGGCGTCGGGGTTGAGTGTCGTTTCTTGATGTACGATCTTGGCGAGGGAAGTCGGATGGAGCCACTGCGGTGCGACAATGTTTGCTCGTCGTTGCTTCTTGAGGAGGAGTGCCAACCAAAGAGGCAAGTCAGCACGTGCCGGGGGTCGCAAGGCTGGAGTTGCACCCTTGGAAAAGCATCGAGAATTAGCAGAAGGATCTATCCGCGACGCGTCGCGGGGTAAGTGGAAAGGGGTCCGTTCTTACGCTCAATAGATCGATGCTTTCCAGCCGCTGGCGGGGAACGATTGTGACGAGCTCCATCTCGCATAGGAAAGCCACTTCGGCGGGTACGAGACCCGAGGGGAGAGGCAAAGCCATCGTTGGTTTCGCAAACACCTGTCGCTGCAGCAAGCCCCGTCGAAGTTTGAAGCTGCTGCAAATCGCCTTACTCCAAAGACGCGTCCAGTTTGGCGGTGCGACGGCGCCGCGGGGTTGCGCACGGAAGCATCCGGCCCGCTTTGGTGGGAGGCTCGGGCTTTTTGACGACAGGGGCCAGGTGCTGATAGCAAAAGAGTACGTACCGTCTGGATCGGGGAACCGGGCAGAGCTCCACCTGGCGCTAGGCCTTGGACCCCACATACCCCCGGAAGAAGACCCACTTTCAGCCCGGGTCCTCCGAGCCGTCTACCAGGGTCATGGAGGAGCCCAGCTGTCCAGGGCGCGATGGGATTAAGATAAGGTAATGCGCCCTACGTAAGGCTGGGCGATAATGAAAGGCCTGGATGCATAAGAGCTGAGGCTGTCCTTGCCTTGACCAGCTGAAAACCTCCGGGCTGGCCAATTCTAGGCGCGTCCGGACCACCGCGGTATAATGTGAAGAGGTGGCACTGCAATGTTGGATGAATCTGGACTCTCCACATATGCTCGTTATTTTTACTTTTTGTGCTACCAAATATCCATGACCACGCCAAGCTAGAAATGGGCGGACACACCTTTACAAGGGAAGCAACAAATTCTCATCCTCGCCAATCGGCGCTCAATCCGCTCTGTCACGCCAATAGCGCGTGAAAGAGATGGCTATCCGAGCAAGTGCGACAGGTATTGACGTCCCTTGGTCTCTCACCTGAGACATCACCTTAGCTAATCGGCCCTGAGAGATCTGTGTCACCTCATCTACTAGGGAAAGGGGACCTCTGCTCCTCAACAGCTGCAACCCTACAGCTGCAGATCCCTCCTCACTTCTCTTTCCTTTCTCCGCGTCGCCTAACCTAACCACTCGAGCCAAAGGTCTCTGAAAGTCTGAACTGCTGTCTCGAGCGGGTTGGGCCGGCCCTGTCCCCCCATCTAGAGTTCCTTATTGCATTGCTGCTCTGTCACCTGGAAGCTCCATCAACCATCCGGAGGATTATGTCAATGAACTATCCAATCGTTCCCAGCAACGATCTAGATTCCTATTCCGTGGCGGCCGCCGCATGGCCGCAGCCGCCCACGCTCTAGCCTTCCTCCGTGATACTCGGAACCGGACTCCGAGAGCAACAGATAGGCCCATTCGGATTCCCACGATCAAACTGATCTATCTTCGAGTCATGGTGACGAATCACTGCATATTCTCCGACTCGCTGTTCAAACGCCGCTAAGTAGGCACGTTGATTCATACCGGAAGAGTCAAAAGCGCAACACGAGTGACGAAGGAAGAGGAAGAAGGAAGAGAGACACACAAGCCCAAAATTGCAAGGGTATTGCAGTGAGCATCCGCCGCCCAACCGCTCTAGCCCTTCCTCCGAGTACAGACGACGGGAGTACCCCACTGTCATCCTCGACCCTCGTTCTGAGTCCAAAACCCCTCGTAGCGGGATTGGACCGCCCAGATCCGCCTGTTCGGCCGCAGTCGCCTTGTTTGGAACTTCAGCTGCAGCAGTAAAGGCGGTGGCCCTGACGTGGTCCTCTCCTCTTGGACCTTCCAAGTTCCATCTCCTCCCACACCGAAGTGGAGTTTTTTGGTTCTGCTCTCACCATCGCCAGAGGTTTAACATCGATCATCACACGTGGCAATAGACCCTCGTCTTGATCAACGTTCGGAGCCGGTACAGTGATACGGACGAATCCATCACCACTCTTCCCGCTTGGAGGGGCCCTCCCCATTCTCGAGCCCAGCCCACGTTCGGATATGTTGGCAATTTTGGAGCAACTATCAAGCACTCTTTTTGGTGCTTTACAATCCCTGACTGCTTTATCGTCTAGCTGAGGCTTACTGTCCTTCGGGAAATCCGGACCGGCGCCAGACGAGCCTTCTAGGGCTTCGGCGCCGCATCCCTTCCCGAAAGAGACTGCTTGTCCGCCCAATTTTCCCCACCGCCGCCCAAGAGGGCCTCATCGTCAAACTTTTGTCAGCACGCTTGTGATTTATCCGAGCAGATAGTCTGCCTATTCAAGTTTTAGGGATTTTTTCAACTACAAACATGTCGTCCAATTTGTTGAACTTCAACAAACCATGCAACGGATGTCGACGTCGAAAAGTCCGCTGCGATAAGGCCAAGCCATGCCTCAACTGTGTCCGTCATGGCATTTCTTGTGTCTACGACCCCCAGAGGGAGCCCGGTATCCCCAGTCCCGAAAGTCAACAGCAGTTGCAGGAGAGAGTCGACCGACTGGAAAGGGTGATCGAGGAGATGAAGGGCATGTCTGTTCGAGGAGAATCGCACAAAGGAACCGGCAGCTCGTTCCCGTCTGCGAGTCCAGCAACAAGTCACTTTGGCGAGTTTTACAACGAACGAGATGAGTCCCTGGCTGGAGATCCTGGGATGCAAGTTTACGACGAAAACGTGTCCTATTATCTTGGCCCCGACTACTGGCTCAACCTCCAAGACGTCGTCTACGAACCAAGATGCCTATTCCGTATCGACTCGGATAAGACGGGCAAGAACCCTGCGAGTCCGTCGTCCTGGCCTATCGGTCGAACACCCGTTCTGGCCGACCTTTCCCATCTACACCTTGAACCCGAAAAAGAAGACATCTTGACCGACCTTTTCCTCGCCGATGTTGAGCCCTACGTTCGGATAGTCCATGAGTCCTACTGGCGGCAGCAAATCACGGATTTCAGAGTGGGCGTCCACAAAATTCCGATAGACGTGGAAGCAGGCATGTTTGCAACTCAAGCCATGACCGTTGCGGCAATGCCGGCAAACCTTATCCAAGAGAGGCTAGGCAAACCGAAGAAGGATCTCCTTCGACACCTGCAGGAAGCTACCCAACTAGCCCTTGAGAGAGCAGACATATTGCGGAGTAGGAAGGTTTTGGCTTTCTTTGCTCTGCTCTACCACATCGTTCGTTCGACCCCTTTAATCTGTTATCACTCATGATTTTGAAGATGGTCTTTGCTAATTTTCGTAGCAAGCAAAATTCATCACGGGTGATGGAGAAATTGCAGTTTCTCTTCTCGGGTTGGCTGGTCGATTCGGTACAAGACTTGGACTGCACCGAGATCCAAGTCACTACAGCTATTCGCCCTGGATAGCAAATATGAGGCGCCGAGTCTGGACTCACTTCGAAGTCATGGACAACCCGGTGTACAACTTGGAGGGCGCAGATTCCGGCCTGCCATCAATATCCGACGTGCAGCCTGCAAAGAATGCAAACGACAGCCAGTGGATACCAAATCGATTTGCAAAACCAGGTTCTACTCCTCCAGATCAAGATGGAATTACAGACATGTCATTTGTTCTCATACGGCAACATCTGTTCAAGACGATGCAGTCGATAACGCGAAGGAGGAACGATACGAGCCCGGAAGAGCTGAACAGGATAATTGATCAGACCGAGAATTTTATCAAGGCCAAGTTCATATCCCACGTTGACGGTACATCTGCGAGCCATGACATCATTGTGTCATACTTCAGAACAAGTGTGAGGAGCATGCGACTTCTTGTCGAGACGGTTGTGGCTAGACATACAGGGGTTGGTCAAGATGCCGAGTTCCGTTCGGGGTAAGTTAAGACTTAAAAGCAAAGACACATACCATTGCTAACGTTTCGAGATAATAGATTATATCAAGAATGTGTAGAAATCCTGGAGGAAGCTGAGCGCGGAGAAGCAGTGGCCCTTCAAAACCATTGTGGATGGATATACCGATGGCCTACGACACCCTGCACAATTTCAAACATTCTCATCGGTCTCGCCCAGCAACCCAAACATCCGGTCACGGACCGAGCATGGCGGCAGATGAACATTGTGTTCCGGAGGCACAACAACGAGGACATAAGCATGCGCAAGTTTGCTGCTTGGAGGGTCATCGAAGCTCTATGCGACCAGGCTATGCTCTACCACAAGCAGAGATCACACGAAGGGGCATGGTATGCCCAGAGGCTAGACCAAGTCCAGGCCTTGACGACGGCGCAGGGAAAGGCCTCC